TCTTTGGCATTTTCGGTCTCCAGATCATCCACTTCCACATCCACATCCCAAAAACCCAGCAATTCCAGCTGAGCGTAGCAGGCACAGCTAATCAAATTAGTTGGCTCCATGAATTATCCACATTCGAGTGAATCTGGGGTCGTGACAAGGCCACTTGGTTGGTCGAGGTGAGATTCATTTTTTGGCAGCGGATCTACGAGTGCAATTTTCATGTCACACGGGATTTAGCCATCATACTTTTCGCCTGGTCTAATGAATGGATGCAACATGTGTGATTAACGTGATTTATTAATGCAAATTTCACACTAGGCCAGCAATCTTTGTCTTATTTCACAAGAACCTCTGGTAATACACGATAAATATGCCATAATATCTGTTTACCCCGACAATATGTTTCCACTACCGCATCCATATCAATTTCCTGCCCAGCGTCAACAAAAACTAATCAGGCAATTTAATATATAAAACTCGGCATTATTTGCCGGCCATCAGAGATATCGTTCGTATAATATTCGACAGACACCTGTCGGCCCATGGAAATGCTGACAGGCAGCTAGATAAGTCCATTCATCGATAAAAGTCACTGCCAAAGGAATTCGTAATTATAATTTGAGTTGTAAGTGGCTCACATACTGAGGATGAGCGATAAGCAAGGCTGGTGAAATTAATTATTGATTGTCGCCGTCTTCGCTATATCATCGCTATAGCGTCGTGCTGTCCCACATTTTGTGCCATCTCATTTGGAAAAAGTGTTGAGATCTCCCCACCTATCCTATGGCAGCAGGTCCAAGCAAAACACCAGCCACAACAGACATTTCCGCCACAAAGACCCATATGATGATGACTGGGGCAACGGGTAAATACGGAAAACGTTTTTCAATTGCCTGGAAAAGCAAAGAAACATCGCTGCCACCGGATCGGCAAAACGAAACGAAGCGAAAGTGATGGGCCCCACGTTGGGCGCCATATTAGTGGACCAGCTAGTCCCACGTTGGGCGCCACTTAATGGACCAGATAAATGGATCGATAGCGGGGGTGACAAGGCGTTTGGGGTGTCACGATCGCTGAGATTGGGTAAACAATAGAATTGCAGTGTGCAATCATGGCATTAGGATGTGTCTCACAAGATGTTTCACATGACACGACAGTCATCTGGTGTCAGGTGCTACCACCACTTTGTGTCAAGACTTCGGAAAATGATAGGGATGATTAAAGGAAGAAATTAAAGGATTAGGCCATTAATATTAAAGCTTAGTTAATTAGTTAGCTATTTAAGATTCCTACAATATTTTCACTTTTCATCTTAAATGATAACAACACATATGCCATAATCACAGAGTGGATAATTTGGATAATTTCACTGATTTATTACATTTCTTTCCTGGTTTTCCCTGGATGAGCCTACCCATTTGGCCAGCTGTGGCTCGGAGACCCAATAAATTTGAATGCATTTTTTCATGGGGTCATTTCTGGGGGCATAGCTGCCGTCTGTCTCTCAATCGTGCCATCCATATGCATATACACATCCACATCCCTCTGCATTTCCACCATCACCACCACCACCACGTCCGCTGGCGGTTGACGACTTTGGGGCCCATAAAAAGGCATTTGTTGTTGCCATTACTTTGTTTTGTTTTTGTGCCTCTGCCTTTTCTTTTCCTTTTTTTATTTCTTATTTTTTTGCAACAATATTTCCAACGGCTCATGCGATATGAGTATATTTTCATAATTAATTTCTTTGGCTTTTGTTGTGCTGAAGTGAAATATGGCTGCAAACACCGATGTTTGTAGTTGTTGGTGCTTGGAAAACCTAGTGCCGCACTGTGACAGTTTTTGTTGTTTATATTTTTTTTTTATCCCCGCAACCCCCATCAAGATCCCGAGTTTTATCGACAATTTCACTTTTGCGCAGAGGAGGCGAAGATGCAGATGGTCTCTCCGTCTCTCATATATGCGCGATGACGGGCCAACACAATTGCGGTTTGCTTATTTTGCCCCCGAAAAAGATTCCCAAGCACATTGTTGGATCGCGTGCATTCGCCTAGGCCCACTATATACATACGTATATATATATCCCATTTGTCAAAACCCTATGGGCTCTATGGGCCCATGAGTTTCCCATTTTTCAAGAAATTTTCAAGTGCAAAGCCAAGGTTGCATGTTGCAGATCCTCTCCGGCGGGAGTTGCTTTTATTATCGACACGAAACGAGTTTTTTTTGGCTCTGTCGCACAGTCAGTTCCCAGAGTTCCAACCAGATCCGATCCAGACCCAGACTTTGGCTGGGGACTTCACTTGGCGAAAAGACTGCCGAAAAGCCTGCCCTGAGGGTGTTAATTATAATAAAACCCTATTTACTTAAATCTCTGTAGTGTTGTTCTTTTCGAAGTTTCTCGAGTGCTTGTTTTCGAATAGTGTATAACAAAATTAAAAAAAAAATAATATTAAATAATACACTTTAATTTGGATTCACATTTTATTAAATTCTCACAGAGAAAGATTTATAATAATCAATAACAGTACATAAAAATTATTAATCTCATTTTTAACATATAATAATGTAAATTTGATATTGAATTTTTATTACATTTTTTTCTTTACATTTTCGAACGTACACTTTACATGTGATAATGTAAATTTGATATTAAATTTTTAAAAATTTTTTCTTTACATTTTCGAACGTACACTTCACATATAATAATTTCTTTTTGATATTACATTTTTTTATTAATTTTTTTTACACTTTTGAACGTACACTTTTCCTTTTTTATCAGTGTAATTTGGGATTTTCTCAGTGTAAGAGACGACTGACTCCTCCATCCATCAGCTGCTCGGTTGTTTGCCAACAGTTGCAGAATTTCACTTTCTTTTCAAATTGCGGCGACCTCGATTTATTGCCAACCCAGCGACATCGCCATGTGGACGAGGTGGATTCCAGCGGAGTGGGATGGGATTCGTTTTCGTCTTCGGATTGAGTAGCGGTGGCAGTGGCTTTGGCTTTGGCTTTGGTGGCCCCCGCGGATCTGCTTTTGTTTTGATGCCCATACCATCTCGTAGTCGTCGGCGGGCATAATTGAATTACGTTGAGCTGAGAGGTTGACTTGAATCGCAGCTTCTACGTGGAAGTATCCCAAATAGGAGACGAGCTGAATAAGCACATAAAATAATAATAATTATGGGAAAGTGAACGCCCATTGTTGGCCCTGTGTCTCAGCTGTCTCGGTCTCGGTCTCCGTTTTTTTGGCTGCTTATTGATAACTCACATTAATGAGAGCTAATTTTCACATAATTAGTTGCCGGCTCACTGGGGGACTGGGAAACGGGGTCTATAGTCGTCTAAAGGGGTTGGTTTTTTAATGGTATTTGGATTTTAAATCCACCTTTGGGGAATCAAAAGTTCAGTGACAAACTCTCTTCTAAATTTGAAAAAAAAAACAGATCAAAAAAAATAAACTATTAATATCTGTAGAATTTGCACATAAAAACGCTTATTTCTTAGTAGGTTTGGAAAAAAATGTTTTTTTTTAAGTAATTATCAGAATTTACAATTAAAATAAATCCTATTTCAATAAGTTATGGACCTTTTTAGATTTTAAAAATAATTTTAGTCTGTTCCATTGATCGATCTTTTGTTTCCCACACTTGTACACTTTTTGTGTGATTTTCCGAACGCTTCCCACAATTTCCCCAGATATCTGTTGACCTCCAGTCGACCTTGTGAGGGGGTGGCTCTGCTCGGCCTCTGTGATGGCCATCAATCGGATCGGATGCAGTTCAGTCAGTTGGCAATAAATCAGCGGATGAAAATCATGGCCATAAATAATGGCAAATTGTCGTTTAGAGATGCACATGAGTTGGGGAGGAAGTCATCATCCGAGATTTTTTTGCGGTCGAGTGTAGATATGTGGGAAATGGTAGAAAAGGGGAGTTGGCCAGTAGCTGGCGGCCAATTGCCTGGGCTAATTATCAATTTGGACAAGTGACCACTGACCAAACCCCACTTGACCAACCCGAAATCCACCCGGAGAAAGTAGCGTCCATTTGGTTAAATTTCAACATAAACAAAAGTTTTATTAGGTTTAATAGTTGTAGAGAATTTTTGAGAATTTTCCTCAAGCTAGTTTTTGAATGGTTCCTCAAAAAACCAAAGGAATTCCCACTTAGCACCTGATAATTGGGTCTTTATCGCGCGGCACCACATATATTACGACTGAGTCAAACTTGTTTGTGCTCCGAGTGCTGGAGTTTAATCAGTTCGTGCAAGTCTTTCCATTTAAATGCCATTATCGTCGTCCAAGAATCTGATATTAATTTATTATTGTCGTCGATTTTTTGGTTAAAGGTTATAACAAAGTGTAATAGACCATGTGGTTTATGAAAAGAATCTTCTGGTAAATTAAATTTTAATATTATACCATTTAGAAATTATTTATTAGGGTTTATTAGTACATATATTGGGGTCACCCTTTTGGAAAGCTCAAGATATGTCATTCAAATTTCAATAAATCTATCTTAAAATGGACAAATTAAGTTTCAATCAAGAGCAAATTAGGAAGCTATTTGATAATATTTGGGTCACCTTTTCGAGGAGTCGAAGAGATTTTTTAGGGTTTATTAGTACATATTTTGGGGTCACCATTTTTGAAAAGGGACCAAGGGATGTCATTCAAATTTCAATAAATCTATCTTAAAATTGAAAAATTAAGTTTTAATCAAGAGCAAATTAGGAAGCAATTAGATAATATTTGGGTCACCTTTTCGAGGAGTCGAAGAGCTTTTCATTCGACCTTGTCGTTTAAAATGCTCCTGTTTTCCCTGTGATATCTCGATTTGCCGAATGTCAACCACAACTCCGAACCGGATCACATCTTTCATCTCTGTCGGCAACCGGATCGCCTGCTCTCTATAAATGATAACCTTGGCGGGGATTTATGAGATGGAAAGTGAAAATTGTCAGCTAATTGGATCACTCTCTCTCTTTTTCTCTCTTTTTCCTACCAGGCTCTCCATCGAGGATCTCTGGGTCCTCTCACCTTGATGCTTCTCACCTCCTGGCTGGCGGTATCCACATCGCAGTCGGTTTCCTCCCTGGGCAGATCGGCATTGCCCGCCCAGCCGGCGGATCACCTGGTTCCCCCGCCACTGCCCATTCCCCAGCGGCTCTCCCATGCCGGAGCAGGATCTCCAGCGGTTCCTGCAGTCTCCTCCACTCCAATTTCCATTCCCGAAGCCTCCGGATTCATGACCCGCGTGGCCAGATGGTTTGGCCTGGGTGGAGGCAATCAATCGCCGAAGGATCAGCAGCTGAGTGCCACCAATTCGCTGAGTTATGCTTATCCAAAGCCCGTTGCCTCGGGTTTCGATGCCGGTGGCAAGCCGTGCAGTTTGTGCAACAAGTATCCCTGGGTGCCGATGGTGGGTCAGCAGGTGAACAACCAGCTGTTGCAAGTGCAGCAGCAGCAACTCAAGCATCTCCCGCAGCAACAGCAACAGCAGCAGCACCTGCAACATGCAACATGGCAGGTGCAACAGCAGCCAGTGGCTCAGGCATCCCAGCAACGCCAGCGGGCGGTGCAGTTCCGACCCAGTCCATCCGGATCGAATGTCTTCCTGCCGCTGGCGGTGCCACTGCCACCACTGTACAATGCCCAGCCATTCCGTCCGGTGGTGCAGCAGCAGCAGGTGGTGCAACCAGTGAAGCTTCAGGAGAACGTGGTGGCCCAATCGGAGGTGCGACCCGTGGTGCCCGTTGTGGTTGCAACTCCTCCACCGCCGGCCAGCACCTCCAGCTTCGAGATTGTCCAGAGCCACCAGGTGACGGACTTTGTGACCTCCGTCGAATACCCGGCCACCTTTGTCCAGTCGCATGCCATCGATCTGGGATCAGGTGCTCAGCAGGAGGAGGAGGTGCCCTCCTCCGAGCCTCCAGTGCAGATCAGTACGGTTCGCTATCAGCTGGAGGATTTGAGCAGTGGTCAGGTGCATCAGCATTTGCCCGCCTCCCAGCTGCTCACCGAGTTGGGTCACTTTGCGGAGACGACGACGCAGTCACCACCACCACCACCGGCGGATAATTATCCAGCTGCCTCGTCGCAACAGCAATTGCAGCAGGAGCAGGAACAGGATTCCTTCTACTATGCCGAGCAATTTCAGGAGGAGACCAGCACTTTGGTCTACAGCACCACCACGGAGATGCCCACCACCACCACCACTGGGGTTCCGGCCACATCCTCACCTGCCATCGAGCTAAATAATCACCTAATCCAATCGCATGCCCAGAATTACCGTCAGGGGATTGGACGAGGCAGGGAAACCCCCAAGCGTCTGCTGGACTCACCCATCAATCACTTGGGAGGAGGAGGAGCAGCAGGGAGACCCTTCACCCGGGATCCCGCTGATCTCAGCTTCCGGCTGAGTCAGGTGTACACGCCCACTGTGGGCCCACCCACGCCCACTTCCACCTACGGAGCCATCGATGCCAGCGGTCAGTTCGCCGGAATGGCACCACCACCGCAACCACAACAGGTGATCATTCCCTACACGACCAAGCAGCGGCCACGCCCCTTCGAGAGCTGGACGCCCTCGAAGCAGCAGCACCAGAATCATCATCATCACAACGATCTCGAGGAGGAGCCACACGAGCAGCAGGAATCCAAGCTGGCCACGGCCACGGTGACGGCACCACCATCGCGACGCACCACCAAATATCTGACCAAGATTCTGGCCTCCAATCTGAGGGAGCTGCTCAAGCGGGAGAGGGAGACCAAGACCAAGACAAGGCCACCACCACCTGGCCATCAAGGATTCGGAGTGGACATCTCGCGGCTGCAGCACAACATCGATGGCTGGACGGAGCAGGAGTACAACTCGCTGTCGCATCGACCCAGCACGCCCACAATTCGCGGAAGGAGCAAGCACATACCCTCCGAGTACCTGACCACCACCACCACCACACCAGCACCAGAGATTCCGAAGCAATCGAAGCAATCGAGGCAATCGAAGACCACGCGGGGCGAGGGCTTCGAACTGGGTGGTGCTCCGCTGCCCACAGATGCCGGTGATTTGTCCACCTCCATCAACAATCTGGAGCAACTGCATCTGCTGGGCGGCTTCCAGCCCATCGAGGACAACCGGCTGCATTTCGATTACCACGATCTTCAGCAGCAGCGACTGAGATCCACCGCGGCCATGACCACCCAGAGTCCAGTCACCACCGCAACATCACCCACCACCACCACCAGCACTACGACAACCACTGTGGTGGCTCCACTTTACGTGCGCAGCACTCCGGCGCCCAAGGAGCTGTGGAAACAGGCCCAGGTGGCCATCCTGCCGCAGACCAACGAGAAGGTCTACGTGGTCACGCCGCAGCCGCAGCGGCAGCAGGAGCACGGGGATCGGGAAAGGGAAAGGGATCGGGATCGTCATGTGGCCTCCGGTTCGGCGCCAAGACCAGTTTACCAGACGCCAGCACCGCGCTTTCCACGCATGCGACCTACTCCAGGTAACTTAAAGCCATATCCTTAAACTGGTGGTCTAAACGATGCAGCAGCCGAAAAGCTGAACATGTAAACCAGAATCACTTAGTTTAATTTCACATATGCATGGCTTATTTTGATATTCAGAAGAGTCTTGTGCTCTGTATAAGAACTGCTTTTGCAGCTGCTTCATCGTTTATACATTATTTACATTGTTACATTTTTGGATCAAACGATGCAGCAGCCAAACTGAAATTTTACACCTAAATCATTTAGTTTAAATTATGTATAGCATATTTTGATATTCAGAAGAGTCCTTGTGCTCTGTATAAGAACTGCTTTTGCAGCTGCTTCATCGTTTATAGCCTTACATTTTCGGATTAAACGATGCAGCAGCCAATAAGCTGAAACTGTACACCGGAATCATTTAGTTTAATTTCACATGTGTATGACATATTTTGATATTCAGATGGGTCTGCATAAAAACTGCTTTTGCAGCTGCTTCATCGTTTATAGCCTTACATTTTTGGATTAAACGATGCAGCAGCTTATTTAATTTCACCACTTATCTAACCCACTTAGCTGGCGAAGTGAAGTCGGCCACGCCCACCAGTTCCTCGCAGCTGCGCAACTATACGCCGGATATTTTCGGGCTGATGGGATTGTCCTCTTATGTGCCCGCTGAGCCCGTGGAGATCATCGACGGAAATTCCAAAGTAAATCGCAACTCACCTCGTCTAGACATGTAATCGAGCTTCTCTCTTGTCTCCACCGCACACTATCTACACACTATCTACACACTATCTACACCATATCTACATACCATCTACACACTATCTACACACATTTTCATACACGCACCACCCACAAAAAACATCACATACTACACCACAGGTCATCACGATTGTGACAGCAGCACCGACGGCGGCTGCACTTCAGCGACCGACAGCGAGGTCCACGATTTCTCCGTCGCCCAGATAGAGGTCGAGCCAAGGTCACGATCTCCCCCCACCCCCCTTTAACCCCCTCCTGTTGTAATATATTTCCCCCAAAGGCTCCCGATGATCGTAAAAAGGACCGAGGATTCCACATAGTTATAGAGCAAAGTCTTTGGAAGTGCTACGTTAGGAGAGAGATCCCGAATCAAAGTTAGAGTATTTTCGCATTTGGTAGCTTTATAAACACATAGACGATGAAGAGGACCACGAGTATCCAAAGAAGTGGAGTTACCCCTAGAATAAACTATGTATTCGCAAAAGGATTTGTATTCTTTTTTTTTGTTTTTTTTTTTGTTCCGGCTCTCCCTTCGCTAGTTTTAGTTCTATGTATAAATATATCTATTATATCTATTTCAATCTATCCGAAGAGTCGGTTGTCGAGCGGTTGACAACGTTATAATCGATGGGGAACCAAAATGTAGCAAAAATTAACAAACGAACGATCAAATAAAATAAAATAAATCAAAGTCATGTACCTACGCTACTTTGTAAGTATGATTGAATACAAATAAAATATCATCGGACTTTTAATATATAAACATACAAGCCCAAAAAGTAGACTATCGGAAAGCCAACGAACATTTGTGTAGTTTAGCTTGGCACACTTCTGGGCATTTGGAAAGCAATTAATGCTCGGGCACATTTATTATACAAAACATTTTCTTAGGGCTAGCAAAAAAAAAAGAGTTGTTCCTATGCTACAATGTCTTTGAGTTGGATAACGCCTCCTCAACTGTCCACCAGGCGCCGCTTGCGACGATGCCGCCGAACCAGGGCCTCCAAGGTCCAGGAGGCCGCCGCCACAAAGGACATCATGTTGAGACAGTGCAGGGTAACCGAATAGTTGTAGCGGTCACGCACCAGGCCTGCAAATAAAAGGGAACATTATTAAATATTGTAGACCAGATAAAAACAAATTTTTACAGATCTAGTGAAATAAATTTAGTTTTTGACCAATTTTTGCATTTTTGATAGGGGGTAACATCATATTTTTTTGCAAAAAATGGCAAAAATTTCCAGGTTGAAATGCCAATCGATTGTGGATTTTATTACGAGTTCAACGAGGTATGGCATTCCATATTTGGGCTATTATTTCCTCTGTTTCGGCAAAAAAAAGCTGATATTTTAGGGTGGAAAGTAAACACTCGAATTTTAGCCAAAAAATCAGTTTTTTCTGTAGTAATTTGGACAAATTAAGGCCAACAGCTAAGATTTTAACGCAAATCGATATATCAAACAGATATTTACAGATTTCAAACTGATATTTAAAGATATCAAAAAGATATTTACAAATATCAAACAGATATTTACAGATATCAAACAGATATTCACAGATATCAAATAGATTCGAAACAGATGTTTACAAATAATAAATATATATAAAATAGATATTTATAATGATGTAAATTTAAAATTTATCCAATGATTTTGAAGAGCACTCACCCACAAATGGTCCGCCGATCAGGGTGAACAGTCCCGAGATGAGGAGCTGGAGTCCCGAGGCTCCCGGCAGGCGGTTGAGGGGCACATAGCCGGGTATGATCAGCGGCCAGAAGATGGTGCGCACCCCCTTGCAGAGGCCGATCCACACGAAGCTGCAGAGGATCATGCTGTAGGATCGCGTGCAGGCGACCACTGTGCGCCCCAAGGCGATGCCCACGACGCCGATGAGGAAGAAGACCCGATTGTCCCACGGTATCTTCTCGGTGAGGAAGGGCACCAGGAAGCGCATGGTGATGTCCAGTCCCGCCAGCAGCGACATGGCCAACGTAATTTGCGGCGTGTCGAACCCAAAGTCAACCAGGATGAAGGGCGTCAGGATGGAGAAGTTGAGCTCTCCAAAGTTGATGATCGTCAATCCTGCCACCAGATTTACAAAGGTGAAATCGCGCAGCAGGTCGAGGTCAAAGAAGGTCACCACTTTGGCCAGGAAACTCATCTGGGGATCGTGCAGCGGAGGCTCCTCCTCCTCCTCCTCCTCCTTTTCCTTTTCCCTTCCCTTTTGGTTATTGTTGTGCTCCTCCCGCTGCTTCTCCGAGCAGCGACAACATAGCTTGGCCTCCAGATTCGATTCCACCCGCTCCCGGCGAAAGTTATTCGGTCGCAGGAACTCATCGTGACTCTCGTGGCCCTGCTCCTCCTCGCTGATTGGGCAGTGGAGCCGCTGCGTCTGCTCCAGATCCTTGGAACTCGAGATCGTGCGGAATCGCAGGCGACCGGAGGTCAGGGACAGACGGGATCCGTACCACCCATCGTTGGCCCGCGAGAGCATCGGAGTGCCGGGCTCACAGATCTCGTAGCCCGGCCGCTGGGCATCGTCGTCCTGGCACAGATACTGGCTGGAGAAGATCCCGCCCGGCTCCCGCTTCTGCTGCCAGGCACAGTGGGCACACAGCGTCTGCTGATCCGCCGCCTGCTGCTCCGCATCCGCCGGCTGATCCTCCGGCGGCCTGACATGGTAGCGAACCGGCTGGTAGATCAGGGCACACACAAACGAGTGCAGCGAGATGGCCGCGAAGAGGAGCGTCGTCCCCTGGACACCGTAGATGGTCAGCAGGAAGGTGACCAGGTGGGGCAGGAAGATCGGACCCAGGCCGGTGATGGTCCACGAGAATCCCGCCGCCCGACGTCGCTTCTGCTGGAAGTACGTGTTGATCGCCAGCGAGGAGGCGGACACACTGATGCCCATGCCGAAGCCTGTGGGTTGAGAAAAATATATACATTATAACTATATCATATTTCTATATAGGTAAAAGTACGAATTTTTAATATTTTCAAGTCCCAAACTTAATTAAATGAAGGGTATTATTTATTTATTGGTTTATAATAATAAAATTAAAAAAGGGTACCTTTTTTATTATGGTATAATTGGCATAATTAAATGGTATATTTTAATTTTTATTAAATGATAATTTTTTAAGGATATTTAGTTATTTATTTCTCAGTTTGATAATTAAAATAAAAAAAAAAAGATTTTGTATAAAAAGTTATATTTTTTCGAGTTGGGTATTTAATTTATCTTGAAACCGAAAAATTTGAAGACCCTTTTGTTGTAAGGTTCTTTAAAGGAAATATATACATTATAAGTTATAACTATATCCTATTTGTATATCTTTCTATGCTACAAAATAATTAAAATAATATAGTAACTAAGTAAAATAGAAATACTAAAAGAATAAAAATGTATTGTAATTTTAATACTTTTATTTAAGATCCTTCACTCAGAAAATGAATCGCCCTGAATTTTAGAAAATCGCCTATGGATTTGCTTCACTGGCGATTTTTTTCTTTAAAATAAAAAAATTTTCTACTGGTAAAGAAAATTTTCTTCCAATTAATCAAAATTCATTAAATTCAAGAAATATTCCAGAAATATAGAAAAAAATCGCCAGTAAAGCAAATCCATAGGCGATTTTCTAAAATTTTTTTTTGAGTGTTGATGAATTAAAAAAAGAAAAACGTTTATACAGAAGGTAGGGGAAAGTTATATATTTCCGAGTTGGTTATTTAATTTATCTTGAAACCGAAGAATTTTAAGACCCTTTTGTTTAAAGGTTCCTCGAAAGGAAATTTGGTTTCATAGCTATGATATTTCCCTTAAATACATAATAATTCACAAACAAAAGTATTATATCATAAACCCACGAGTTCATTGATTACTCACCAAAGAGCAGGGCGTAGGCCACCATATAGCCCAGGAAGGTTTCACAGAAGGCGGTCAGTGCGATGCCACTGGAGATTAGGAGTGCACCGGCCATGGCCACCTGCCGGAAGGTGAACCTCCTGAACATCGGTCCATTCAACAGACCCGTACAGGCCGATACGGCCGGATTGGTGTTGATAATGCAAGTGATCTGGGAACTGGACATGCCCAGATCACCAAGGCGCTCCCTGAACAGAAAGCCAAACTGTTGCAGGCAGGGATAAATGGATAGCTGTAAGGGAGATCTATTAGAGGCATTCGGAATGGGAAACTTATTCTCTCTATATATATATTACAAATATATGATATAAATTATATTATATAAATGTTATTATCTGTTCTGTACAAAATCGGGTATTTTTTAATAACAATTTTGGTCCCATCTGTTTTCATGTCAAAATGATATTTCCGAAGATATGATTTTGTACCATAATGATATGAAATCATACCATTTTGTTATGGAAAAATTGATATGAAACAGTATCAGTTCCATATTGTTCCGTTTTTTTCTCTGTGTAGATCTATTCTCTGACTTTATATATATATTAGAAATATATGATATGATATATTAAATGATATATGATGGTTATATTAAATAGAAAATTGGCTTGGTTTTACCTACATTGGAAACGCCGGCGGCCACGCAAACGAGCCACGCCCATCCGCCGTCGGGGGCCACAAAGTCCTCGCCCAGATCGCTCTTATCGTGCCTATTGTAGTACCGCGTCCGGGAAACCTTCGGGAGCGGTCGGGTTGTGTCCTGGTACACCTTCTTCTCCATGGCTCTCTGGATCAAAAGGGAAAGAATAATATATTAATATTTCAAAATGAATTTCTTCTGGAAACCCATGATTCGGAATGGGGAAGTGATGTCGGGGAAAATTCCATTGAAAACCCGAGTTCGTAAATGATTTACGGCAATTACCACTTGGCGCAATACGTTAACGATCACTTGTCACAATTAACCATGCGTTCCGGCAGGCAGATCGCTATGATATAGCGGTATAGTATTGTTGCCATCTGACCAGAACCAGAAAAAAAAGAAATATTTCAAAGTCTCTGACTTTCCAGCCCCTTTTTCTCTCTCCCTCTCCTTCTCTCTTCACCTGCAACTTTCCTTATCAGCAGCCTCCGTCATGTGACGAATTTCGACCCAGAAACCCAGACCAAAGTTAGCGCGCAAATTGTGAATCATGTTATTGTCCTCTATGCACACAAAAAACTTCTAGGAAAAAAGCCAATATTAAGATGTATTTAAACAAAAATAATTTTATTATTATCAGAAATTATAATCATATAAGGGAACTTTCATATTTCAGAGGATTATGATATGATATGAAATGATATGATATGAGAGATATGATCTTAACTCATTTTTTTTGGTGTGTGGTGAAGGAGTTTTGCGTTTCGAGGAGCAACCCACTTATCAGCAGTTCGTTTCCATATTCCGTAGTGCTCCGGATCATATCATATCATATCTGCCATCAATGGCAGGCATTGTCTCTAAAGATTCCAGCCAATTCCAGTTTCCAAGTGCGTTGGGGTGTGCAAAATATGTGCAAGCCTCATGATTGATGGTGAAATGGAATGGAAAATGGAAAACACGGAGGTGAAATCAGCTGGAAAGTAAAGATTGTCTATGAAGAGTGATTGTTATTGGTAATGAAAAGAGTCAAATGATGTTTAAGAAATAAATCAAACTAAAATTGATATACAATAGAGAAAAAGATAACTAAAGAACAGACTTTATAATTGGAAATTATTACATGACAATGCGAAAAGGAAATTAATTGGGAAAATAAATTAATTGGTTCTTTCGTCATGACTAATCATTTAAGCAAAAGATCTCGCCTTTACGAGAGTTGAGGTGCATAAAAGGCTGATAACAAATTCAACTGATAGCAAATAAGGTATTAACAACCTGTTCGATTAGTAGGGCTCTCAAGAAACCAAAAACAAATAAATTGCAGACAATTAAAGGGAGAAGTGAATATATTTAGGAAATATTCCACTGGAAATGGTATAGCGAGAATCGCTTCAATCAATTCAATTAGCATGAATAAACACTTTGCTTAAGTCGATCGGAATGGGTGTCAACAAACTAAAATCTTTTGCGAAACCTTCAAATTCATATCGAGTCATTTAGTAATCTCCAGCCTTATATACTTTGTACTAGAAAATATAGTAATTAAGTTGAATGCATAATTAGGAGGTTGAACCAACACGTTTTTACAATCTAACGGATAGTTGGAAAGTACATACGTTTTTGAACTTTCGGTAATTATTGCACAGGTGAAATACAAAATTTAATTTTGTGGCTACAGAAAAACGACATTTGCACGTCGCTCATAAGTCACTTGACAATTTGTCATAACTAAACTACCGATAAACTAATATTGTAGACCAAGTTATTTTGGTTTAAATTCCCCCATGCTATTGGTTCAACATTCCATATGCCTCGATTTTTTGCCAACAAAACCCGTAGTAGCTAAGCACTTTATTCACTCGAGTTGATTGAAAACAATTGGCACAGCACTAGATACAGATCGAGATAAGCAAAGCCCAGTGACTACGGATCCATCGATAAGATTGATAAGATTGCGGTGACGAGCATGGTTACATGGCTCTGCAGCTTGGGTCTTTTGGGCCGACAAGTGGAAGCCACATATTTCACTACCGGCTGGGTTCCCAGATAGCCAATGATTAGGGTATTGACACCTTCCCGCCTTCGACTACCTTTGGCATGCACTCGGAAAAAAGACCGTGAATTTCGTACAATAATCTTATATTTTAAATTACTAGACTTTGAAATACACATCCAATTATGAAAAGCATTTAAATTTTAATTTTAATTTAACAGAAAGAAATCAGTATAGATTTCACTAACGAAGTTTTTTATTTTCATGTCTCAAATATGTTTATACATTTTTTAAAAATTCCTTTTTTTCTAAGTGTTTACTTTGTTTTTCAAATATTAATTAAATAAACAGGTTGCAGCCAATTATTCTTTTTATTGGTTTCTACTTATTTGGCTTCCCGATTTCAAAAATAATTATGTGAACTTTTTTTTTAGCTTAAAAAATTTAATTTTTATAATTTGTCGATTTTTTTAAAGTTTTTAAAGGAGTTTCTGGACAAGTTATCTTGAGTTGGGTATAAAAATCGTTGTAAAAATTTGCACTAGAATCAATTAAAAATGTTCGCCTTCTTCGCTTCAAATACAAAATGTTTTGGCTACTTCCTGCTTTGGTTTCAGTGCTCTTGAGTTAAATGGAGGGCAGTGTTAATCGGTGAATCGAGGGAATCAATCAGGTGTTGCGAACATCTTGCTGATAGCAGCGCAAAAGACGTCTTATAAACTCGTGCGAGGTGTGTGATGGGAACGTGTCGCACCCACCAAATCCCGATTCCTATTCCGATCCCCATTCCCTATATTGCTTACCTCTATTCAGTATTCCGTAGTCTCTATTCCGTATTCCCAATGGGATCCACGTATAGTATCTCGTTGGCAAGCCCGCCAATTGGCAGCACAGCTCTTCCTGCGCCAGTAGTTTTTAGCTTTTATTTTGGTGCTTTTATTTATTTTTATACACTACGAGAGATGCACTCACACACCGACTGAAAGACCGACAAACCGACTGAATGGCCTGCATCTAATTGAGAAAATGCGGCCCAAGTTCAAGGTGGCTAATTAGGTGAAGGTGGGGAGGGGTTTTGGTCAAGGTTTAGACACTCCTTAATCACCTAATGTAGAGTTCTAAGCCCTACGTCACATATGTTTGCCCGATATTATTCCGAAACAAAACCGATTCAATACCAAAATCTCATTTCACAATCGCCAGTCGAAATCGCGGTACTTCCATCGCCGCCAGCTGCGGAAATGAACTAAACCGAATCTCAACAGAACAGAATTGTTATGAGCTGAAAAAAGAGCCGATGGGAAGATCGGATCCGGATCGGCTAACGCCAATCGATCGGGCGTAATAGCTACATACAGTCTACATATGTCCACGTAATGGCATAGCGGCCCTCTGTTAATTAACAGCGCTGCTCGGGAGTCTGGATGAGGCAATAATTTCGGCAATCCTCGAAATTGATTCGCGAATCTCTCGAAATGCCCCCGCCAAAATAAAAATATTCGGGGCCACCGGGGTTTCCAAACTTTCCATCCCAATTTTCGGTTGACGTGTGGTTTATCTATGTCGCTGGGGATTGATTTCTAGTTGGGAGAAGCTGAAAGCCCAAAAGTGGGCAGCAATAAGTAGTCTTATCATTCCAATTTGATTTATTGAATGTCCATGGATAAGGTCTTATTATATTATATTAATATAATATATTTCATTTACTTTTTTACTTTCTATAATTTAGCTATGATACATTGTGTCCTAAAAATAAACACTATTCTTAGTATGGAATCGTACAATTATCTAAAATATTTTTTTGGGATACAACAATACATCCTAATTAGCCAGTTTTATTTTAAGAAATTTAACATCACATAAAAATTTAAAAATGTATTCATTTCTGTACATATGAAATTATATTTATTATATTATTAAACCAAATTAAGGTATTTTATTTTTTTATTTTTATACTTTAAAATAAGAAAAAGTTATGATTACCATTAAATCAAATCATATCAATTGGTTTTTTAGTGGTTACCACATTAACTATAATCACAAAAAGGGCAAGAAGCCTCCTAAGTTGTTATCTTTTTTAAATATCAAATTTAAGTATCAAATCACTATCTGAGTAGGGTACCAAAGGTACTAAATATGGTTTCAAACAGATACTTCCCAAATAAAATGTTTAAGTATTCTACTACTTAAATATGCACTTCAAAGTATATAACAACACCAAGGCTGGCTAAAAAGTACCCAAAATTGTACCTAAATTCGTATTTAGGTACTCTCCGGTTACGGGAATACCCCATATGTTTTCCTGACTTCCCCAAACCCCATTAGAGGGGATTTCTTCCCAACGGTCACACTAATCCAAGTGCCGGTTTCGATTCACGTTGCCACTTTCGTTCGCTTGCCACTGGGTTTTATCCAAAATAACCGTGGAAATCGGGAAATTGGAGCGGCGGAAAATGTCTGGGAAGTACGAAAAGCTGCAGCAGCAGTTCCTCTGCTGCTATCCGGTGAACAAGATGGCCTGGTCGGTGGGTAAACGATTCCTTCTACCCCAAATTTACTAAGCCACCTGTTGCATCTTCATCTTTGTTTTTCCCCGATTTTCCTTTGCAGTCGGTGGCGTTTCCGCTAAGCTGGGAGGATCAGCAGGAGCTGATCGCGGCCACCTGTGGCCATCCGCTGAACCGTCGCTTTCCGGTGCGTCGCAGCTACCTGGAGGCCTTCCTCAAGCAGCTGATGCACCTGCTCCGCGACCAGGAGGATGTCCACGACGACATATACAGCAGCTTGTGCGGCCCGATGGGCGAGAAGGCGAGCACTGGTTCAGTTACGCCATCAGCCTACGCCTACAAGCACTACCTAATCGAACCGGGTGCTCATATAACGCTCCGCGAATCCCGGAGCTTTGTGGCCGAAGGCACCACCGGTTTGTGCACCTGGGAAGCGGCCCTGGCCCTCGGCGATTACCTGCTGCAGCACCGTGACCTCGTCGCCGGCCGGAACATTGTGGAGCTGGGAGCTGGCGCAGGGCTCCTGGGAGTCCTGCTCAAACTGCCTGCCCTGCAGCTAAAAACGGGCCAGGTGCTGCTCACCGATGGCAGTGAGCCCTGCGTCCAGCTGATGCGCGAGAATATCGCCCTGAATTTCAGGGATGGCCCGAGGGAAGCGATGCCCCAGGCGGAGCAGCTGAACTGGGATGCGGTCAGCGAGTTTCCCTGGCACGCCCATCCCGAACCGGATTTGCTACTCGCCGCCGATGTGATCTACGATGATTCCCAGTTCGATGCGCTGCTAAGTGCCCTGGATTTCCTGTACACGAGACGAGGCAAGGGGCTGGAAACCCTGCTGGCCAGCACGGTTCGGAATGTGGACACGCTGCACAAGTTTATGACCCAGCTGGGTGAGTTGTTGCCTCCTAGATTCCTAGTTTCCCAGTCTCCTATATCTATGGCTTCTTCTTGGCAGGTGATAATAACTACAAGGTGACTCCCTGTGCGAATGTCTCGGCCTGTGCCAGCCACTTTTGTCGCGATCACACCGCCGCCGTTCAGATTATCTCCATACGACGCTAGTTTTAGTCCTAAAATAAACCGACACAACGAAAACAAACACCCACTATCTGGATCTCACTTAAGAACTTTATGGTGCCGCTGTTTGAATTGCACTTAGCAGGATTCAACGGGAGATATGATGGTTCCTAAATGTTATTCGTAAAATAGTTACATCTAAAATGCATTTTTTGGATTCTATGAATATCTAAGCACAAGTTTATCATATAAGACTATGATAGAATAGTAAAGCTTCGGAGTGAAAAATCTATAGAACTATTCAGGTAAATTATGATTTGCTATATCGGAAAAAATCACTGATTCGAAACCTTTATTAAACCCTTGGTGTCTTTGAAATTCGACTGAGAAGTCTATTTATTTTCGAATAGTTAAATACTGAGTATTTGTGATATAAATAAGAAGGTGCCCAGCTCCTCGCCTCACTGATTGATGGTCGGAATGGTGCCGTCGTTCAGCCAGCGGACGTTGAGCTGCTCGATCTGGTGCTTCATGAAGATAATGCCGTAGACCTCGTACTGGATCTCCAGCAGCTGGGCGCGATGCGTCCGCGGTACCTTCATGCCGACCACAAGGGCCAGCAGCGAGCTGATGATCAGGAAGACGAATCCCTGGGCCATCAGGGTGCTCGAGTCGGTGGCATAGAAGTAGGAGTTCTTCGCATCCGCCACGAAGTAGTAGTAAACGATGCTGGTGCACAGTAACTTGAGGACATAAGACAAACAAATGATGCATTCGGTGAAGCGCAGATGGGTGACCTCCATGAGGGCGATCTGCTGGCTGGAGTACGACATGCCAAAGAGGACGAGGAGCAGCCAGAGTGACCACCTGGAGTCCGTGACGCTGCAGAGGATCATGGCCAGCAAAGTGAGCGCCACGAGGGCCACCTGGGAGCCCACAAAGGTGACCTTCACCGAGAAGAACCACTGGCAGACGAGGGCCAGCAGACTGCCGCCGAAGATCACCCAGAACATGGCGTCTATGCCGGAGAACTCCGTTAGCCGGATGGCCGGATTCAGGGCGAACCAGTAGACATAGTAAACGAACAGAGCGAACTGCACGGCCTCCGTGAAGAGCAGCAGCAACATCATGTTCCACTGCTGATTCTTGGTCACATAGAAGAACTGCAGCCGCTTGATCACCTCCGAGCGCCGCTCGAAGATGCTGCCGTTCGAGTTGGCGATCCGCAGATCGTTGTCCATGCTGTTCACCAGATCGACGGTGCCCAGGAAGTGCAGGACCTTCTGGCCCACCAAGATGGCCAGCACGGCAGCCGCCACACTGAGGTACGTTCCGGCGAAGTTCACGTAGATCCCGTCGATCAGTTGCTCCGTGGTCGCCGTCTGTCCCGCCAGCTCCTTCACATTCCGGCTGTAGGCGGCCACAATCAGGCTCACGGCGGAGGCCACGCCCAGCAGGTAGCAGCTACAGCTGCCCGAGAGGAACAGAGCCCGACTGCCCTTGGAGCTGATCGTGTGCAGGAAACTGTAGCCGGCCACGAAGGTCATGCTGTGCGCCACGTACGAGATGTAGGCACCGACGTGATCTGAAACGGAAAAGGCATCCAAGGATAAAAAATAGTTGGATAAAAATTAGAAGGAAATATTTATTTAATATTAATAGGCATCATTTTAATATAAATATACAGTATTATTGATATTAAAAAATATAATAATCATCATAAATAGAAAAATATAGAAATAGTTTTGAAATCTCCTATAAAGGTGTCTTAAAGTATGCAGTGAAAAACTAAGAATCCCTTCAGTTTCCGGATTTAGAATATATTGTTGCATACTTTTAGACTGAGCTTTTAATTATTATTATTATAAAATTTTTTTATTAACATCATTTCAATATCAATAATATTGTAAAGACAAACTAATCATCATAAATAGCAAAAATAAGTTTCATAAAATATTGAAATAGTACAGGATACCATAGAAATAACTGTGGTTTTAAAATCTCCTATAAGGGTGTATAAAAGTATGCAGTGAAAAACTAAGAATAAGCCATTGATTATTATTAATTCGTTTTTTATTAATTAGTTTTTACCCTCTACTATTTTAATATTTTAGAAAATTAATATTTGAATATTAGAAATAAAATAATCAAAAATCATATCGTAATAGTTCACTTTTTTTAATTGTATAACTGTTTTTGTTATGTTTTTTTAAATCTATTTACCCTACAAAAACGACAATTACACTCCTCATCGATTTAGAAAATGCACTTTGTATTTAAATATGTAAACAACCCGCACTAGTGACTCACCAAATCCATCGGCAAAGTAGAAGCAGCTGGCTATGAGACTAAAGACCCCGGCGGCCAGGAGCAGCCACGGCTGCCAGTAGACGATGCACTTCTTCACAAACTTCACCGCCAGCATGGCCAGGGCCGTGACGACCGCCCAGCAGGCGCCCAAAATCAGGGGACCATAGTTCGTCAGGCCCTCGTTCAGATTCCTCTCGGCGACAAAGGCACAGATCGTATAGCCAAAGATCATGCCACAGGGCAGGAAGCTCAGGCAGACTGGAAATCGAATGAGATATAGTCGCTGGATTTCCCCATAAAATACCACTCAATCGATAGCGTGACTCACCCACATAGCTGGGTGCATATTTGAAGAACTTCAGCACCACCTTGCCCCACACGTTCGTCATGTTGCTGCAGAAGATTAGTCCGGCAGGAGGAGCTTAGAGCATTTTAGCAGCGTGCAGCTGGAGTGGAGATGCCCACGATGAGCCGCCAGACGCAAATGGAGCAGTTGAAGTCCAGCGGAGCAGCCGACAGCGACGAAGGCGGCCGAGATAAGGCGATAAGATAACCACCGACCAGGTGCATATGTGTGACCATGGCTACACGGAGGAAAAAGTAACTGTCCAGGATTAAATATCTGGAAATTGTAGCTTTATTTTATGAGTTATTAGATAGAAAAAGTAAGTCCCTAAATAAAAGGGAGAGGGGTTTAACAGGGCTAAAAAATTATTTGGATAAAAGCACATAGTTTTTTTAGAGGAGTATCTGATTTATTGATTTATTTTTAGTCCACAATTTTATCTTACAAATTTATAAAATGTATGGTTCTTTATTATAAATCCATATATTACAATACAGATTTCACTTCATTTATAAAATCATACGTTTTTTTGTTCTCCCTTTCTTAAGCCAAGTGCGGAATGATTTTTTTTTTCGACTAAATTCTATCTGTCATACATCTCGTATACGTAATTTTTAAGGAAACTTTCGCAATGCGTAAATTATAAAATAAAATAATATTAATGGGTGGGAACAGGATTATATTTCTTGATCCACCCTAATGTACATACGTTGCAATAGGGGCTTATATATTTTTTTATTTATCTTGTCAATTTATTTTTTTGCTTTAAATAACTTAAATTATTTTCCAAGTGTAACCGCTTGTGAGTGACTAATGCCGCAGTGGAGTAAGCCACTTGGACAGATAAACAGATGTCCGCCGCCTGATAAGTCCCTCGGGAGTTGGCTTAAGTTGAGGGCCCCTAATGTTTACGATACTCAAAGGAAATACATAATACCATGCATAATTTCTACCTTTCACATATACATAAGCCTACATATTTAAGGCCTATTGGTCTATTCATTTGTTGGGGCTTAAAACTAATCTGGAATGGCTAATGGTGATAGGGAATTCGGGCAATCGAACGTCCGGCGATAAAGCTTGGGAAATTGATTTCAATTGAATATTATATGCCATTCGGTATTTTATCAGGCGTTCGGTGGTGGGGTTGGGGTGATTAAAGTGGGTGGGGGTAAGTTCTTGGTTAGTTTGTTTACCTTTGAGCAGAGACAATTGATTGCAGCCGAGAGCAAAAATGGGAGAGAGTGGCGAATAGTAAATGAGAAAATAAAAGGCTGTGAAGAGAAAGCATGGATGATTTAATTTAAGATGCCAATTCCCAGAGAGTTCTCTCAGTTATTTATTTAAAGACTATGAGTAAACTAGAAAATGTTTTTTTTTAAATAATATACAACTTTGAATTTAAGATCTTATGTAAAGATAGATCCTTAGAAATTTTTCCTTCAGAAATATATATTTATCATTACGAATTTTTGCCTTGAATTCTTTAGATCTCTGATACCAAAGCAAAAAACAGTTTATAAATTGATTTAAAGGGGACTAAATTTTCTCTGCTCAGCACATTTTAATAAACTTTTTTATATTTTAAAATAATACTTGCGACGTCACAACTTGCGAGAGGCAAGAAAACGCTCAATTGCATAAGGGTCCTGGTTCCTGAGAGAGATGAGCGGCCAATGCGCCTGTGCGCTTCCCCCGACCACCCGAAAGACCCACATAAAAACACGAGAGCCGGCGGACCAAGTCGCGCTTATCCGCTGCCAGGGCACCCCAATGTCTTGGCCCGGCCTTATCCCGGGCTTTCACTTCCGGAACTCGGCTGCGACGACAGCTCCGGCAACTGCAGGCCGAACTCGAACTGAAACACACCCCCTCCCTTACTTACACCCACTTAACCCCACCCCCCATTCGCGTTGGCGGTAGCCGCCAGCCGCTGCTGCTGCTGCTGCGATTGCAAATCAGAATCGGAATCCGAAAACGAAACCGAAACCGAATCCGAATCAGGATGCTGCAGTCAGTGCTCCGGGGTAACTGACTGGCAATGGAATTCGACGGAGCGGCACTTGGACTGGGATTAACTGGAACTAAGGGAGCCATAGGCATCGATAGCCAGCCATGATTGTGATGAGCATCTGGTGCAGCAGCCTCAGCCTGAGCAGCCGCAGCCTGGCCATCGCCCTGGTGGTCTGCGTGACTCTGGTCTACTTCTCCTACAGCTTCAACGCCTGCCTCCTGGCCAGCATCAGTCGCAGTCTGCAGCAGGTGAATATGAATCAAGGAAAAACCATTAGGAAAATGTACCCCAATTACAGGGGTTTTAGGGTAAATAATGTTATTAATCCTTATTATTTCTCTTTTGCTCAAATACATTTGTACAAATACTTATAAAAAAAGTGAACTAATGGTAATTATCACGGTTTAAAATCCCTTTAAAATGTGCCAAAAAGTATGCTGTGAAAAATAACTTTGTTTCTTGTTTTAGGCATCATTTTAAGGGATTTTAAATATTTATAGAGATTAAAAAAGGTATAAATTATTGTATACCTACTTATAAAAAAGTGAACTAATGGTACATATCACGGTTTAAAATCCCTTTAAAATGTGCCTAAAAGTATGCTGTGAAAAATAGCTTTGTTTCTTGTTTTAGGGATATTTTAAAGGGATTTTAAAAACCAAAAAAGCGTATACCAAAGTCGTTAGAATAAAAAATTTATAGGCGAATCGAATCGTTGAGTTTCCTTGCATGTGTGGCATTGACCTCTGACCTCTCCCGCACAGAGCAACTTACGCAACCTGCTGGCGCTCACCTCATCGCCCCGCAACGAGAGCAGCGACGCGGGAAACAGTAGCAACAGTAGCAGTGGCAACAGCAACAGCAACAGCTCCTCCTCCTCCAACAGCAGCACCACCAGCAGCAGTGCTCCTCCGTCGCAGACGGTGACCAGCAGCCTGGATGGGGCGCCCAAGTATCAGCTGCTCCGGCAGCAGGGCCTCCGACCGTCGCGCCACCTGCCCGACACCCTCATCATTGGCGTGAAGAAGAGCGGGACGCGGGCGCTGCTCGAGTTCATCCGGCTGCATCCGGACGTGAGGGCCGCCGGCTCCGAGGTGCACTTCTTCGACAGGCACTACCAGCGCGGACTGCGTTGGTATCGCCACCACATGCCCTACACAATCGAGGGCCAGATCACCATGGAGAAGTCGCCCAGCTACTTTGTCACCAAGGAGGTGCCGCAGCGCGTCTACCACATGAATCCGGCCACCAAGTGAGTCATCTGTTATCGTATGGTAGAGAACTCTGGAGATTTTCACTTTAAACACCCATATCGATTTTACATGAACCAGTTCAACGACCAGTTCAAATTTACCTGGCCGCATATCAAATTAAAATTGATCTTAAGTAATGTAAAATCGATCTACGTTTCATATCGATTTTTTTTTTGAACGAAGGCCTTCTTAAATTATACTTTTTAAATATTTTTCTGGTAATTTTTAAGGGTTTCAGAAGTTCTGAATCAGAACTTCCCAAAAATCCATAGAGTAACGAAATCTCTAAAATATGTTTCCAAAAGTAGCATACATTTAAGGGTATTTTTTAAAGACGTTCTGAGAAACTTTCGTTATTTCGTCATGTACAGCTTACATTATTTTCTATTATCTTATCTTTTTCCAAACTTATACAAAACAATATATCATATAAATGTATAAACCTTTAAATATTACTATAAAATGATCTTTTTCCAAAATTATACGAAACCCAATCACATATCGATTTTAACTCTTTGGATATTTGTATAAAAATTCTAATTATATTAAACTTTTAACAGATATTTAAAATACAACTATGATTTCTGTAAATTTTTTTTGAAAATTAATACTTCTTATCTTAAAGAACGATCATTATGCCTATCAAATACATGTTCTTACCCATACAGATTGCTGATTGTGGTGCGGGATCCGGTGACGCGGGCCATCTCCGACTACACCCAGGCGGCGAGCAAGAAGGCGGACATGAAGCGCTTCGAGCAGCTGGCCTTCGTCAATGGCAGCTACTCGGTGGTGGACACCAACTGGGGCCCGGTGAAGATCGGTGTCTACGCCCGCTTTCTGGAGCGATGGCTTCTCTACTTTCCGCTGTCGCAGCTTCTCTTCATCAGCGGCGAGCGGCTGATCATGGATCCGGCCTACGAGATCGGACGCGTCCAGGACTTCCTGGGACTGAAGCGCGTCGTAACCGAGAAGCACTTCTACTTCAATGCCACCAAGGGCTTCCCGTGCCTCTTCAAGTCGGAGGCCCGCTCCACGCCGCACTGTCTGGGCAAGACCAAGGGTCGCAATCATCCGCACATCGATCCCGGAGCCATCGAACGGCTGCGGGAGTTCTACCGGCCCTTCAACAACAAGTTCTACCAGCTGACGGGCATCAACTTCGCCTGGCCATAGGATCTAGGATCCAAGGGGCTGGGTGAGTATTTAAATATAAATTAAACCTAAGCCTTGTAAAAATTCCTTTCCTAATAACTTTATATTTATTTCCCTTTCAGCAAACGTAAAGTTAATGGAGTTTAGAAGAAATCGAAGATAAAAATGAGAAATTGTTGTTGCTGGCCAGGCAACGGACTGATATTGTTGATTGCATTTTTGATACATATAATTGTACTTATATATAGTATATACACACGTGTAAAATTAGTGCTCAATTAATTGTAGCTTTATCAGGAGACAAATTCAACGAAGTACGGCCTCTACCATGTCCGCACTCAAACAATACGGTTCCTCACTCCAATTCAAATGAACTAAAATCAACTCACTTTTCCCCAGTATACTTCAAAATCACAGATCACACCACTCAATGCTATATACTACCGCATATACCTAAGATAATTATGTGCATTTATATACAAATAGTGAACAAATAGAGCTTACTACGAAATTCCTACAGTCTCCTATTATATATATATACAATATTAAATGAATAGTTCCAAGAATTTCAATTGCATGAATCAACCAATACAATTGCTTAGCTAATTTCAATTAAAATTAAAACACAACCTAAATAAATCGACTTTAACATAAACTAGTCATCGTTTCGTTTAGTAAAAAGGGGAGGTAATTATCCCTTCTTCAATCAGTAAATCAAGTTTGAGGTTTCCATTTTTTTTCTTCAATTTATTGATTTCATTTTGGTTGTTTAATAGGTTGTGATCGATTCACGTTATTCGCTTTTCTTGCATTCTCTTCAACTTTAATGATAATTTCTTGGTTTAAGGATCTTGTGGTCTTATTGCTTTCGTCTGCCACTGGTTCTCTTTTAGACTTTTAAGTACAATTGATTAAATAAATTGCGGTGGTTTGTGGTTGTTTCTTGTTGCTTTAAGGTAATCATCCAATTTGCTTCTATACAATACATGTTGTGATAGATATTATATATTAGAAAATTATATTATATTTTTTGGGATTTTTGTTGTTTGTTGTTGGTTTTCTTTTCTGCTTAAGGTTATGAATTTCATTAAAAATAACTATGCATAGGTGATGATCGTAAAAATAATTATGATAATAACATTAGGCGTAACGAACTAGGCGAAAATAACTTAGTTCCTATAGTAGGGTGTTTGCCTAAAACTAGGTAGCTACATGTTCTTTGATTTGATATATTACAATCATCCGATTGGTTTCGGTTTCGGTTTAGGAAGGCGGGCGGGCGGTAAATGAGATGTGTATGAGTAGGCAGTGCGGTTTCCATTGGATTTAGACTACTTCAGTTGATCCTCGCCGAGCGTGTCAAGGATCTGCCGCCAGCTGGCCACCCCTGCCCCACCAGATGCTCTTCTCGCGATGGCCACCTCATCGAGAACCGCCTCTGATTTGGAGCTCTGCAAACGCTTCTCGCAATAGAGACTGCCCACCGGCTTGGCCATCGATGCCGCCAAGCTCTTGGTCACCGTGGAATAATGCAGCGCCGACGACGACGACGACTCACTACTGCCGCCGCCGCCGCCGATGGGCGACGTTGCCTGCGCATCTGCGCTCACCTGACGCTTCAGGATGGGCACAGCCTGTGTGGCGGCTGCTGGTGTTGCCTGGCTGCGATCCTTGATGGGAAACTTATTCTTGGTGCAGCTCAAATCCAGCTCCAGTGTGTAGAAGCGTCCGCGGGTGTACTGTCGGTTCTCGTTTCTCAGGCTTGTACTCGCTTCATCCGATGCACTGGCTCCTCCGGCGGAGGTTGAAGTGCCCACAGCCACACCACCGGCACCCGGTGGGTGCTGGCTTATGGTGCAGATGCTGCTGCGATTGCTGTTCCCGGTGGGCAGGGCTGTGTGGGCAGTGGTCACCGAGCTGGCCTGAGTGCCCGCTCCACTTCCGTCGCACACATCCTCGCCGGGATCATCTTCGCCCTCGCTGCTGGACAACGAGCTCTCCGTGTCGTCGATGTGCAGCTGATTGCGGGTCTTCGGTTTCATTTGGGCACTGGCATTCGCATTCGCATTGGTCGGAGCGGCGGGCGATGCCTTGTTAATACGCGGCGACTGGTCCATCAGCAGGTTCTCCCAACTGGTCTCGTACACGCTGGCCAGCTGGGCCGGCGGCTTGGGCTTGAGAATCATCTGCTTGAACGGCATGGCCTGCATGGCCGTGGGCGGCGTGGCCTCGGGCTTCTCCTCGGCGGGAAATTTGCCCCGTGCCCCAATTATTAGCTGCGGCTCCACGTAGAAGGAGTCGAAATTGAGGTCCAGAAAGAGCTCCTGCAGGAAGCGGCGGGCAATCATGCGATAGCTGCTCCTGCCCAGCGTTTTGCAGGACTCCGAGTACAGGCAAATGTCCTTCAAAAATAAATAAATGATTAGTTGGTTATTTCCTTGACCTTTTAAATAGTTCTTCTCACCTGAAAGGCGTGCGGATGCTTCTGCTTCAGCTCCAGCAGCGCCATCTTCGACTGCTTGGCACTGACGGGATTGGCCAGGCGCTGCACGTTGTACAGAATGGAGGCCGTCAGCCTGTCCGGCAGGCTATCTTCGCTCAGCATGCTCTCCGGCGAATGGAAGCTGATGTCGCCGCCAAGCGCCGCCGAAGCGGATGCACTACTCTTCTTGGCCAAAACTGGTCCCGCCTGAATGCCGGCCGCCACAAGAGCGGCCGCTGCACTGCTGTAGAGTTCGCAGGGTGCCAGAGAGGCGCCTCCGCCGCCGTTACTCTGCCCACCGCTGTCGTGGCGGGGCTGCTGTCTTGGCGACCTGGCACAATGGAGGCACTGGCTCCGCGCATGCTTGGCGGCGCCCTGCTGCCACTGACGCGGCTGCCGGCGACTGGCGGACGAGACGTCCGACAGCGATGATATCACCGAGGACTCGTCGCCGCCCTCGTTGGTCAGCGAGTCGTTGAGGAACTGCTGCCGTCCCATGCTGCCCAGCAGATTGATGCCCACCAGATCCTGGTCCTGGATGTCGCGCGACACATACGTGCGACTGAGGTTGCGCGTGGGAAACAGATCGAGGACGTTCTTGGGCAAACAGATGCCCGCATAGCACGGGCCCTGCAGATCGTTCTGGGGCAGAAACTTGGGAGCATTCAGCGTGGGCAGTAGCACGTTCAACTCGTCGGCGGAGAGGCGTCTGCAAAGGAAGAGTTTGTAATTAGTTTACCATTCACTTTCTGGGTGAACTATGTAGCTTACCTGTAGAAATCATTCAGCTTGGGCTGGCGATCCAAGCTGCGCACCTTGAGCCGACGATGCGGATGCGTCCAGTCGGGCCGGCGCATCTGCACCTCGGCGGGAGTGGTGGTGGTGGTGTCCATGATCTCCGCAAAGTCGTAGAACTCCGCCGACGACTCGGAGAAGACGGGGCGACTGTGGGCGCGCAGGGAGCGCAACTGGGCATAGCCTTTCATGGCCATCGGACTGAGCGTGGAGGGCAGCAGACTGGTGGCCAGCTGATGGCGTCGCATCAGCTCGTCGCTCTCCAGCAGATTGGACATGCTGGGTATGGGACTCAGCGGGAACTGCTGGAAATCATTGGCCGCTGCTGCGGCGGCCGCAGCTGCAGTGCGTCCGGTCACCGATTCGCAACTGCTGACGCCAGAGGTGTTGGAATCCGTGCACGAGTTGTAGCGTATGCGGTGCTGATACGGCGTGGGATAGAGACCCGTTCCCGATCCCGATCCCATCGGCATTGTGGTGGCTCCTCCAACTCCTACTCCTCCCACTCCTCCGCCGAGCAGGCTGATCACATCCGTAGTCTTGGATTCGGAGAGCGAGCGCTGGTGCTTGCCCTGGCGCAGATTGCTGCCCTCCGGCAGGGTCTTCGATTTGGCCGCCACTCCGACCAGGCCGGGCAACAGTCTGGGATGCACATCGTCCGTTGCGGTGGTCGTGGCCGTTGTATTCGGATCCTGCACCGTGGGATGTACACCACCGACGGCGCTCCCCGCCACGGTCACTCCGCCGGCGCCACTCGCATCCGTCTGGTCGGCGAGCAGGTTCCAATAGAAGGAGCCCGTGTCGTAGAACCTCTCGATATATTCCTCCATCATGGTCATGTTGTCCGCCGGCACGTCCTCGTAGTAATGTCGCACGGGCGTATACTGGCTGGACATCCAATCCTCCGGCTGATGCACTGGCCACATGGTGTTCTTGTCATGCCGCACGCTCAGCCAGTCTGTAGAACATGGATTTGAATTTAGTCGAATATTTGAATATAAATTATTTATAGAAACATGTTCATGCAATCTTTCTTTTCACAATAATTTTCAAAATGTTTTCAATAAATAATATAAATTAAATATAGACAGTATAATAATTGATTACTCACTCAATTTAAAAAGAATATTGGCTCCTGCTTGGGTGCCGGCGATGAGTCCTAAGGCACTAAAACAGGTGGCTCGCACCGAATATACTTCGCACTTGGTCACCAGTACGATTAACTTCTCGTAAAGTCTGAAAGTAATCAAGAATATAATTTAATTTAATTCATTTAATTATTTAAAATATACAATATCACTCCACAGAAAAAAAAATAACAGAAGATCAGATTGATATGTGCTGGTCAATTTTATATTTTTTGAAGATCAAGTTATTCATATCATTTGCCTTTTTTACATTATTTGTTCAAAAAATACTACATTTGGTATTTTTTTATATAATAAAATATCAAGTTGATACGATTGAATCATAAATTTGACATAAATCATATCGGCTTTTTAGAATTGATATGAAATAAGGTAGAATTGATCCGCTCACCTGGCATTCAGTTCCACAAAGTATTCAATTCCATTGGCATGCGTCGAGGCGTGGGCCAGGGCCCAAATGGCCGCCTTCAGTTCCAGGCACTCGGCATCGTCGGTGCATTTGGCGCGGGTGAGCAGCTCCAGGAGCTGCGGCAGATCGCCGTGCTTCCTCAGCGCATTCATTCCCTGGCCCGTCTGCGCCATCTGGCCGTACAAATGGGGCGCAATGTTCGGCGGCACGGTCTGCGGTCGCTGGTTGCAGTTGCGCCGCGAGTAGTAGCCATCCTCGTTGCGGATGTGCAGCGTCAGGCTGGAGTGGGTATCCGCCTCGACCAGGAGCACGTATCGCTTGTTGTACCCGTTCCGCCAGTACCGAATCTCCTCCTCTATCCGCGCCATCGTGCTGTTCAGGCCGCGTGGCAGTGAGTAATAGCGGGCCATCAGCAGGCGTCCGGCATCGCCGCGCTGCGTCAGATTGGGCCACCGGCTGACTATCTCCTCCAGGTAGTACTTATCGTGGCAGGCCTCCTCCAGCACATCCATGGCGGCCAGCACCACGCTGCGGTCCGCGTCGCGCGTCTGGTTGATGATCAGCGGTATGCCCCAGACCTCAAAGTGCGGCAGACGGGCGCGCAGCAGCACCGCCATGAACTGGGTGGCATACAAGCGGCCGCTGCGCGTCTTCGCCGAGGTGAGCGCCTTCTCCAGCACCTGACGCGGCAGCTTCTCGTAGCTGTAGTTCAGCCCGGAGACAATTAGCTTCACATAGCAGACATGGTCCGTCACTCGCACCAAGTTGATCAGGCTGAAAGAGGGGATAACTGGATTAGCTGGGCTCTATATCTATGAGAAACCTAATTACTATTCAAATACGGTGGTGTTTTTAAGCACTTCAATGCCCTTAACCGTTCGGCACATGCGTCCAATGTAGAGGAAATACTGCTGACACATCGTGTTGTTCATGTGCTGCGGACTAAATAGACAGTCGTGGGCGCGATTCGATGTGGTGACGGCCGCCAGTTGTTGGCTGATGTCCGAAAAGTAGTCGGTTATGTATCGCATGCATTCCAGCTGCAAAAAAATAAAATTAATCTTGGAAATCATTTAATTTAAATACGAGGCTAGGCCCAACCCACCTCGTTGCTGCCCAAGAGGACATCGATTAAATCCAGACCGGCACTGACATAGGTGGGCAGGCTTTGACCGGGCACCAAATCCTGATGCGAGAAGCGATTGTTGCGCGGCTTGTAAAAGTCCACCAGGCGCTTGAGGAACTTTCCCAGAGTGTAGTCCAGTTTTCGGATTAAATTTGACTATCATAAATGTAATTAAATAATTATTTTTCTTAACTCTCAACTTCTCAACTCATTTTAGCCCACCTTAAGTATTGTGGTGATAACATCCCAGTCCCAGAGATGAGCATCCGCTTGGCTCAGCACCCGGGAATCGGTGAGCAGCCTATTGAACGCTCGAAAGTTATCGAAGAAGGCTTGCGGCAGGAACTTTCGCTTCAGTCGAAAACTGGACCTCGACGAGGTCGAGGCCTGTGAGTTGGACTCGTCGCTGGACGACACAGAGTCCAGGCGATAGCGATCGAGGGTGGCCCGAAAGGGTCCCGAGGCGGGCGGCACTGCCGAGGCGGCCGCTTCGGCCGTATCCTGCAGCTGGAGCACCGGACCGCCCGCCTGCTCCTGCACGTTGAGGTGGCGGCGAAAGAGACGCGTCTGGATGAGGGCGCCGCCCTGGATAATGCTGTCTAGGAAAAGGCTGCACGATGCCGGTCGCTGGCGCAGCATCTTCTGGTAGTTTTGCAACGCCGCGACCGCCGCATTGGCCTGCTGGTTGCCATGCGTGGCATGGCCCACCAGGGTGGGCAGCGCGGGACTGGTGCAGCAAATATCCGGCGGCAAATGTGTGTGCATCAGCTGCAGGATCTTGCCAATCAGCACCGTGGCCTGCACGGAGACGAACTGATCGCTGGCCACGGCCACCTCGACGAGCGCATTGAGCAGTCCGGTTTCGAGGAAACAGTAGAGCATCAGCGAAAGGTGCTGCTCCACAACGCTGGGCGCACGGGCCGCCAGCGTGGGCAGAATGGAGCGACCCTCGGCGGAGACGAAGCCATTGCTGAGCAGCCAGGAGGCCTGGAAGTCCGACGGATCCACGGCCTGCAGCGCCACCGCATAGTCATCCGTCCACGTGGGCTGCGGCAGCGAGAGCAGCTCGTACAGCAAGTCCAGTATTGCTTTCTGTGGAAATTAGGTTGAGGTTAATATTCGCACTGTACTTAGGGTTTAGTATGTATACTCACTCTAACTTCGATCTGATTTAAATACAGAGCGTCGACTATTGCTTTCAGGCCTGAGGGTTTGCTGGGATCACAGAATTCGAGGGTGCCCGTCCAGCTGCGCAGCACGGACAAAAGAGCCAGTCGACAGCTGGTGTAGCGAAGTTCACGCGCATCTCTGTAAGATGAGTAGATATTTACGTGAGAATTATGTAGCTGATAGTACTTGGCATAGCTTCTATAGAAACTGCTGACTTGGTTGTTTACTTTTGGCAAATCAATAAGTGAAATCGATCGTCTGGCGCATGAATCTGATTCAGCAATTGTGCAATTTCCGTAAGCGGAAACCCTTTATCAATGTTTATTTAGGTGTCATTGATGACTCTTTCACAGAATTCTCAAGTAAAGGCTAAACTTTTAGCAGCACTCACTTGTTTTTATCCATTATCCCCAGCCTGTAGGTAAAATCGCAGTAAGGAGCCGCCAGGCAATCCAGCCGCACACCGCAAATGTTCCTCGTCTGCGGCCATTCGAGTAGGTAGAGCAGCACGCCGCAGAGGCTCTCGGCTATCCGGGGATTGTGGCACTCCAGCACGTTGCGTGTGATGGAGGTAACGCCGCCGCAGACGATGAGCAGCGCCGGATTGAGGACAGCGAACTCGGCCAAGGTGGCCAGGCAGGCGCGCAGCAGATTGTCGTTCTCCTCGATCCCGCTGTCGGCCAGCGAGACAAGGCAACGCACCACCGCCGGACTGATGTCCTCCGGTGCAATGGCCAGCATCTTGCGCACCAGCTTCAAGGCCTGGACGCGCTCGTCGTCGTTCTTCAGCATCAGATCGATGGAGCGGCACAGGAGATGCTGCAGCTGCAGGTCATTGAAGGTCTTGATGTCCTTGGGCGTGCTGATCGCATAGCGGATCGTTCGCAGCGCCGCCGCTCGCACTTGGGTGAAGGTGTGCACCAGTGAGGCACTCAGGCTGTAACAAGAAAAAGGGGATTAGATATTAAACACAGAGGTTGCGGCTATAGAAACCTCACCAGTAGAGCAGCTCCTCGGTGCTGAAGCGTATGTTGCTGTGGTGGGAGCCCTTGCGGGCCCCCAAACAGAGCGAGGCCAGCGCATTGAGCAGGAAGAGCCGCTTGGTGTCCCGCGTCTCCTCCAGGCAGAGCATCGAGTAGATGTCGAAGGCATTCTCGGCGGCCGATCGCTGGGTGTCCAGGCGGTAAAAGTCCTCCGGATCCTGCGAAACTGCAATGGTAATAGATAATATCTGCAGATTAGTTATAAGTCGTTATGGAGCTCTAGGCTTCGTAATTCTCAATGGTATTTATTTGGATTTTATGACCGGAACTCGTTAAATAATATGATCTTGATTTTTACATTCTAGGAGTGGGGAATTGTATAATTTTTATGTAGCCGATCAGATTAGAGTAAATATATTGTTATATGTTATAATATTTATAATATCCCATATAAATTTAAACTGTGGCTAAGAGCATTTATTTATAATTTTAAAATTGTATATATAACCTATATAAAAGCCTTATACTATTTTATAAAAGAAATTTTAAATAAAAAAAAACGAATTTCTGGGTTATTTGAAAGTTTAAAATAAAATCACTTGATATTCGTAGTGATTCTTAGATTCTAGGAGTGGAGAATTGTATAATTCCTATTAAAGAGTAAATATATTTATATGATATAATATTTATGAGATCTCATATAAACTTAAACATTTATGTATAATTCTCAAATGGGAAAGATTATTTAGTTTGTATCTAAAATAACTATAAAAGCCTTATAATATGTATAGGGTAGTACTAATTAAGATCAGTATATTTAATACATCGGATAAGGAACATCATAGCATATGTACTTTAATATATGTATTATGATCTGCTTAACGATCTGGAATGCATAGAGACGTTAAGTTGCATTAGAAAGCGATCAAAGTGAAATTGATCAGCGAGGAAAGCTAATCAGACTTTGCACGTGAAATGACAACAACGACGTCATAACAGTTGCATTGTTGTTGTTGTTGCTGCTGTTACAGCTAACTGTACTTGTATGATGGATTTGGTTGGAAAGAGAAAGGAGAGAAAGAGTGGAGAGAGCAAGAACGAAAGAGTGAAGGACATGATGAATGGAAGAATGTTGTTGCTGCTGTAATTTTTAATGTTTTATTTTTTTTTTTATGTTTATGTATGTTATTGTTGTTGCTCTCTGCTGCGTCATCGTTTTTCGGGGGCTCTCTATGCTAGGCGACTATGGTCTATAAATAGTCGGCCAACATGTAGCAGAAGAATTTGGTCAAATGGCAGCAACAACAAAAGCAAACCAAAATAAAAATAAAAAGTACATAAATAAATAGGAATAGGAAAAACAAAGAGTGATTCGATATAAATAACGGGATCGGGATCGGGATCAGGAGAAATGCTGATCAGAATGCCATGCTGTCGATACATTGGTACATCACTACTACATCGTTACCGTTATGTTATGCGCAGTGCTGCCAGCGTGTTTTCGTGCTGCTGCTGCTGCTGTTGTTGTTGTTGTTCTTGCCGTTGCCATTGCATTTGACATCAATGTCAACAAATGCAGTGCAACCAATTATTGAATAAGGTGAAGAAGAAGAGGGGGTCAAACGGTAACAATAACGGTTCAAGATCCACAACAGCAACAGCTGCTGCTCCCCGACCGTGATGCAAAATAAAGGCTAGAAAACCCCAAAACAGTGGTTGCGCCAACATGCCGATGATGATGATGATGATGTGATGATGATGACGGTGATGCCATGTTGATGTCAATTAACACATTCGTTACATTACCTTTAATGCGTAATTGTAATTTGCTCCGCTTGCCAAAACGCCAACTGGAATGTAGGGAGGCCATCGCGTTTTTTTCACACGCGCGGATGGGGGCGTGGCGGGGCCAATGGCGGCGTCGCCCGCTCGCCGATTAGGCTTTAGTTTCCCGGGTTATCCGCGCACACACGGATCACACACTTAAATATATTGCTTTTCAATTTCACTTGCTGCACAATTTACATTTTTTTTTTATTAGCTCGCCGCTTCGGTGTGACCGTCGTCGGGCCAGGCGAAAAATACCAACTGAGTGTGGCTTGTAAATATTGGCCAGAAGTAGAAATACAATACGGGTATTTAACGGGTTTTATTTTTATATTTTGGATTTTAATTTTACCGCCTATTTTATTGAATCAAAAAATAAATCAACGGCAAGAATGATGTAAGTTGTAAGTTGTAAAGTACTGACAACAAGTTTTTTATGCCGGATCACAGTTTTTTATTCTAATGTGTATTTTGGCCGTAACAGTTTTAATTTAGGTTTTAAAAATTTAATTTTTCTAAATCAGTAAAAAAGTTAAAAAGGATGGATTTAATAGGTTGTTAGTTGTTTATAACAGTAGGGGATTCCCTAAACTGTTGAATTGCTGAATTGTTGAATTTTGGTCAGCTGTTAATCAGCTGTTCCATACAAAGCCAACTTTCAGAAATTTCAGCAATTCATCAGCCTCGGGGCTGTTGAAAATTTTGTTGAATTGCTGAAAAGCCAGAGTTGTCACCTTTTTTTAAAAGTCGTGGCAACTCTGTAACATTTTAGTATCACCAGTACGCATTATTTATTTTAAAATAAACTTTGAAAGCATATTTGTGGTTCTTTTTACCTTGGTAACACTTTTAGACAGTAACTAGCAATAATAAATCAAATTTTACATGCTTTAAGTTCCGTGAAATTTTTCAACAAGTAACAGCTGTTTGAAAATTCAACAGGAACCATTTTGGGTCGTTCCCTTAATTGCTGAAATTTTTTGTTGAATTTTCAACAATTCAGCAATTCAATAGTTTAGGGAATCCCCCTAGTACGTAACCTCGGTTTTGGACAATTTTTGGCAAACTTAAAGCAAAAAATTACAAAAAAGATACTATATTTGCCAAAAACTCAAATTCCGATTTTTCACTAAAACAAATCAGTATTTTGGTCATAACAAAAAAAAATAACAGTCCAAAAATGGAGTGTAAATGGAGTGTAAAATTCATATATAGTTAAAAACTCAGATCATCTATTTCCACCAAGAAGCTCTGTATTTTGGCAATAACAATGTAAATAATAAATAATCATACAAAGTGGAAAATCATACCTAGAAACTGTTAACGGTATCATTTGAAAAAAGCCAAACAATAAAGCTAAATAGAACGTCAGCACTGATGTGAGATTCTGGTATTTTCCCCATCCCCTTGGTATATTTCCACTAACAACGAACGGTCATACGCGAGGCAAAGACATATCGGAAGTCGAGTCCGCTCTTCCTCTTCGATAAACCCAATATTTTGCAATAAAATAAATTAGTTTTTAAAACTAAGGCAGCGAGCATTTTGCAGCCGAAAGCGAGTCACAGTTTTGAGCGTAATTCGGTATTTCGGTGCGGCACGCGGCAGCGCAATTGGCGACCAACCGATTTGGGTCGCCCACCTATTGTTGTTGTGTTGTGCTTGTGCTTTCTGTTTTCCCTTTTCCGCTTTTCGTTTTTCGCCTTTCGTTCTGTGTATCTGTGTGTTCTCGTTCTCCACATTCGCATTCGGTTCAGTTTGAGTTCACCAATCCAATCGCAATTGCAACAACAACAACGGCCAACTGATGAGTCTCAATTGTTTTCATTAACGCTACGAAAGTCGCCCCCTTCCAGTCCAGTTTCCAGTCACCCTACCCGCCCCTTTTGGCCACACCCACCCCCCGAACCGCCACCCGTCGAAATGGCCAGCAACAGCAGCAGCAACAGTTTTGGGGGCGTGGCAGGCGTGAACGGGGATCTGTGGCGCGAATGCGTCGCCTGGCTAACCAGGTGCAAGGTCATCCCGCCCGACCACAAGGCCGCCCAGGCGGACGCGGAGATCCGCATCCTGGCGATGACCCTGCGCGACGGAGTGCTGCTCTGCAACCTGGTCATCCACCTGGACCCCAGCAGCATGGATCCGCGCGAGTTCAATCGCAAGCCACAAATGGCACAGGTAAAAAAATGTGTACTTTAATAGTAGGATGGAAAAATATTTGCCAAGATCTGTTGGGAAAAATATTACAATTCCATGGGATCCACAAAAAAATTATTATCAAATTTTATAATATTTTTATTAATACCATATGAAGAACTTTTTTGTGTAGAAAATTAAAAAATAGCAATCACTATTAAAATATTATAAATTATAAATCCCATATTTTATCTGCTTTATTATTATATATAAAATTTTAAAATAATAATATTTATTATAATTACTATAAAAATACCTTTTATCAATTTTATATTTCCCCTGCTTAGGTATCATCAATTAAATAATATCATTTTCATATTAGACATATTGCTACACAAATAATTTTGATAATTTGTTTAGCTATTTCAAGCAAATTTAATTTGTATTTAAATAAAAAAAAAATGTTTATAGGGTTATTATAAGTGAAAGTTATAAGCTGTTACAAGTTGAAGAAATAAAAATAATCATTATTTTCGGTCCCTTACATAAATATTTCCTTCAGTGTATTGCAATATTACATATTAGTCGTCTATCCTCAATTAGTATAGTAGTAAAAAGATTCAAGAAACCAAATATATCATACATTATTTTAAAATTCCGTAGTATTTTTAAGTTTCTAAATTCTAGGGCTAGAATAATATAATAATAATAATATAAAGACCCTTGAATTAAATCTAAACCGTCTAAACCATTGCAGTTCCTGTGCAGCAAGAACATCAAGCTGTTCCTGGACGTGTGCCACAACAACTTCGGGATCCGCGACGCCGATCTCTTCGAGCCGACGATGCTGTACGACCTGACCAACTTCCACCGCGTCCTCATCACGCTCTCCAAATTGTCGCAGTGCCGCAAGGTGCAGCAAATGCATCCGGATCTTGTGTGAGTATTCCGATTGCCCAGTCCCAGCTTCATTATCGCCAGTTTGCGATATCTGGGTTACGCCCAGAAGTGGGCAAACAAGTGGGCCCTCTGTTCTTGAGATTTTCGTTGCTTTATCAATCCTTTGAGACTCGAATGGGGTTTATAAATAGAATGCTAGTCAAAGAAAACCGGAAACTGACAAAATATGGATTCTATCGGGAATGGTATTATATTTTGTTTTTGCTTATCCAATATTAAATTTGCAAGACAAAGTACATAAATTTTTAAAAATATTTTATAATTTTATTAAAATCTGGAACATTCTGAAAATTCCGTAAAAAAAAACAGAAATTAAAAACAAAATAATATTGATTCATGAGCATTTCTAAAATACCCGCACGGAATTTTGGAATGTTTATCAGTGCTAAATTAATTTTTCAAAAATAACACATCAAATTAATAAGTCGGTCCAGTTTACAAATGCATATATTTCTTTCACGGAGCCAAATTGGAATTTGTACAATGATGCATGACATTGTTTCGACACGTTTATATGAATAAGCATTATTTATAGACTATATTTCGAGAAAATGAATTAAGCAATTAGCTCAAAAAGCCTTTAGCATTTACTAGCATAATAGAAAAGGAATTAAGCACCGGTAATTAAGTAGCTATTTGGGGGTTAGCATTTAATAGCATATTAATAGAATGGGAAATATGAAGGGTAATTAAATACCTTGCATATTAGAGGGATATCTTTACCTCTTCACCGAAGTTAATTAAATAATTAATGTATTATTTATGAATATCCAGGAATACACTATATTAGTAAAATTATATTAAATACCTTACATATTGGAGGGAATTAATGTATTATTTATGAAATAATTTTATATTATCCAGGAGTATGTTTCTAATAATTAATTATCTACATATTTGAGGGATAGACTTACCTTTACACCGTATTTAATTGATATATTATTTATAAATTAATTTTATATATCCAGGAATGTAAAAAATTACCTTTACACCGAAAATATTAATTAAATATTTATGAATTAATTTTATATATCCAACTAATTGATTTGAACCCCTTTCAGTGGCTTCAATCTGCAGCTGTCGCCCAGTGAACGTTCCCATTCGGACGAGGCCATCTACAAGGACCTGCATTCCACGTGAGTAGTCCAATTCTGGGCGGGAACCGTCTGTCTGCAGTCCCCCAGTCCCTCAAGCCATGGTGCGTGCTCCCCACCCCCCTCTCGCTTGATAGCAGGCGATGTGCCTGCATTTCCTGCCCCCAGCATTGTGAACCCCCTCGACCCCGCCCCTAAATCCAAGCCAATGCGACCCGAACCGATCTCATTATGCCCTCACATACTTCCCGGACCCCCAAGTCTATATAAGCCCATGTCTGGCTGCTTATCGAGCACAGGGAAAGAAAATATGATTATTTAAAATCTTAAAAATAATATTATAACCAGAGTTCACTTGAAAAGTTGTCTAAAACTGGGCTACAATGCAAGCACTACTTCTAGACAACCTTTAAAGTGATTATTAGACATCGGATTTCAGGTGAAATCGTTTTTTTTGAATATGATTTAAAGCCACATTTGATTGGCTAAAAATTGTTTACAAAAATCTTAATGAAGTTTGGCCTAAATCTAATTATACCCTAATAAATAAACTATTCAAATGTGGCTTTAAATCGTATTTAAAAAAAAAAACGATTTCACGATAAAATCCGATGTCTAGTGATTATAATAAACAGAATATATTAGATATTTCCCATATAATCCGTATTCTCTGTGCAAGATGAAGGAGTTGTAGACCGATCTCAGTGCCCAGCTTTATCTAACACACTCTCTCTTTCTCTCTGTCTCCTATCTCTGTCTAACACACTAACTTTGTGCAAATGAAACCGAATGAATGTGCGTGTGTCTGTTTTGTGTGGTGGTATATATATATTTATATACATATGGGGGATTCCCCATTTGGAACCCAAGGGATCTGAGCATGCGGAAAGCGAGCAGCATTGATGCCGCCTCCGCCTCCTCGTCGGCGGAATACTACGATCGAACCTCGCAGAGCGGATCGCTGGACGAGAATAGCGACATCACCATCGAGAATGGCACCGAGGACACCGACGACTACATCGAGGATTCGCTCTCCAATATGTGCGATTCGACCATTGAGAACGATTTGCTGGAGGATGCGGGCGTGGAGACGCCTTTGCTGGCCGATTGCGATGGTGGCAGTTTGCGAGCGCTCTCCTTTGATCTCACCCTGGATGTGGTTAACTCGGATGCCTCCAATGCGGTCACACCCACGCCGGAATCCTATGCTGCCGCTTTGGGTGACACCGCACCAACAGCAGCAGCGGCAGCGGCGGCGTCGGGCATTCCACCCATGGGCCGCCTGGTGTCCACCACCTCCTCCTCGTCGTCGTCGCTTTTGGTCAGCGAGAGCCAGCGACTGCAGAAGGCGGCCGCAGCCGTCTACAATTACCGATCCTCGATGGCGTCCACCGAGCACGAGTATGCCTACATCTACAGCGAGGATGATGAGAAGGTCTACGAGGACCTGTGCTACGTCACCTTCCAGGCGAAGGCCAAAAAACCCGAGGTGTGCTGTCCAAAATATTATCTGTCTTTCTGTGTCCAGCGTGGGGTGGGATTTAATATATCGAACTAACCAATACAACGACCGAAAGCCACACAATTTTCATACAAAAATAACGTTGAAAATCAGTTAATGTAGATATCATGTAGATATTATGTAGATTCGGTATATACTGTATGGAAATTTGTAGTTTCTGGTCTAGTTGGAGATGTATTGCAAAAATCCCAGGAGCGGAATCTGTAATCTGTAACCAATACGACCGAAAGCCACACAATTTTCATACAAAAATAACGTTAAAAATCAGTTAATGTAGATATCATGTAGATATTATGTAGATTCGGTATATACTGTATGGAAATTTGTAGTTTCTGGTCTAGTTGGAGATGTATTGCAAAAATCCCAGGAGCGGAATCTGTAATCTGTAACTAAATGTAATGTAATGTATGCAAAGATTACCTTTTGCTCCTGCGATTTGGTCCCAGAAATCCAGAAACCCACCCCAGTGTATCGTCATGTGTAAACAGCCTCTTGCCTCGCCTCTTCTCCCCTTCCTCTTCTTCCTTCCTTTCTTTCCCAGAATGCTTGATGATTCCCCTAGATTGTTAAGTAGAACCACTGCTTGTCTTGCCTGCGCTTGAGCTTCACCCACTCTCCAAAGCATTAACCACCAGCTAACTACTAACCCGGACGCGCACCACCACCAGAATCCACTCTCCGTTCCTTTGCCACCCGAAATGGGAATCCAGTGGGTCAGTGACTCCCAAACGTAGCCACCGGAAGTCTTTTCGTTCTCTCTCTTTATTTATATAACTTACTTATAAAGTATACATAACCATATATCGATCCATAACCAAGAGCTTCTGCTTGTCAAGCACATGGGATGTTGTGATTTGCGATAAGGTCGACAGAGATCCCATTAACCACTAACTCGTCCGTCCGTTTGGCCAATTACATTGTGATTATCCCCCGATTCGATATCTATTTATAGATTTAAATATAGTTAGTTTAACCCCCCATTCAGTTTGCAATTCGTTTACATTTCCATACGTATTGTATTTGGTTTGCTTTCTGCTTATCTAGTGCTTACATTCTTTCATATTTGATTAATGTATTCAGTTTTTTTCGTTATCACTTAACGTGTCTATCTAAATAGAGCCTTTTTTTGAGATGGGATTCGAACGCACAACACACACACATACTCGGTATACTCGATCCAAAAGCTAGGAACTAACACAAAACAGTTGAGTGGCTCAGATTCTGAGTGCCACATCGTCCTCCGCTTCGATTTCCAGCTCCTCCTCCTCCTCCGCGTCGTCCTCCGCGTCGTTCTCCTCCTCATCGCTGCTACTGCTGGCCATTGGGGCCATGTCGCTGCCCAGTGACAACAGCGGCTGGACATCCATGTGGGGCGCAAACTGCTTCAGCAGTTGACCCACCACGGTGCACAAACCCATCAGCCGCTTCTCCATTCGCAGCTCGTAGCGACGACGGTGCCTGGGTGAAGGGAATTTCTCCATTTAATAGGTCTCTTTATCAAGAAGTTTTACCCTCCTCACCTGTAATACTTGTCCTTCTCGCTGAGCACCTTGCGTTGGTGGCGTTTCTTCATTGTTTTGACCACCGGCGGCTGCTCCAATTCCTCGGTCTTCACAACCGACTCATCGAAGTCGTTGTAGCGACTATTGGATAGCGACACCTCGCCACCAATCATCACGGGGCCGCATTCCATCTCGTGCAGATGGAGCATGCACACATCCTCGTCGCCGCCGCCGCCTCCGCCTCCACTTTCTGCATCCTTGCGCATGGTGGCCTCGGCCAGCAGCCTGTCCAGCTCATCGTTGTTGCCGTCCTTATTGTGATTGCTACTCCGATGGCAGGGCGACGTGGCGTCGTCCATGTCGTCGGTGGTGTCGCCATTGGGCGGCGAGCGTTCGCCAAAGTTGTGATCATTGAGCACGCCGAGCATCAGAGGCGATAGCTGGGCCTCGTCGCAGGAATAGACGCTCGCGATGGCCAGGTTGTTATTGGGCGGCTCCACATTCGGCTCCTTGAGGGCGTACGAGTGCAGGTCGGCGGTCTTCTGGTTCATGTAGGCGTGAATGGAGCCAAAGAACTCCCACTCCTTGTTCAGCTCCTCGATGCTCTGCTTGTTCAGCGGGGCGCCCAGTGCGTTGGCCTTGTGGATGCGGTAGCGCTGCACCATGGAGAACCATTGCTTGCGCAGGGCTATCTCGCTGAAGTCGCCGATCTTGGCCATGTCCTTGAATTTCCTGGGGGGGGATATAAAGAGATTTTAGTAAAAATGTTTGCCTGCGAAAATCATAATTCCAAGCTGAGGTGTTAGAAATTGAAACTTGATTATTATTTTTTTTAAAAGGCAATTGAATTAAGTAGCGTAGTATTTTATTTATACTTGAAATTAATTTAAAAAAATTCCTTTTTTAAAGATAACCCGAATGAGAATAAGGCTGAGGTTTTTTTTTAGAAATCTTTTATAATAGTTTTGTCAAAAAAAAGTTTAATTTTTTATTTATATTCCTAAATGTATGATTTATATAAATATTATTTAAAATTCAATTGATTTACAAGTAGTAAACTTAATAAAAGTTAATAGGATTTATATATCAGCTATGAAGTTAGACCTATTCTACTAGTCCCTTTAAAACTGTTATTTTTTTAATAATCTTCATGTTCTGTAAAAAACCCAATTGGGGTCACCAAATATTAAAGATATTTTAACCATAATTTTTGACTTCCCCTAGTTCTTGACCAATTCTCCTTCAAATTTCTCCATTTAGTGATATATTTTTGTTATTTTAAGAAGGTGTCATTGGAAAAAAACCCTAAGTTCTGTCGGAAATCCAATTGGTGACCCCTCTAGAAGGTATTTTAACCACTAACTTTGGAATTCCTCGAGTTATCAACCAATTTTCCTTTAAATACCTCCACTTAATGATATGTTTTAGTTATTTAATAACGAGTTATTATAAACAATCCCCAAGTTCAATTGGTGACCCCTCTAGATGGTATTTTGATTCTAAATTTTGGACTTCCCCGAGTTCTCCTCGTGGATAACCAAGAAACTCACTTCCATGGCTCCGCGTGTTTGGGCGAATACCGCGAGAACAGCTCATCCGCCGCAATCCGTTGCACCACCAAATCGCGTTTCTCATCCGCGGACCCTGAAAAAGTGCAATTTGCAATTGCCAAAAGTCGAAAAAAGAGCAGAAAGAGGGGAGAAAAATGCATGAGGGGAGAAACGTTTAAGCAAACACGTGTGTTGTTGTTGTTGTTGTTGTTGTTGTCGCCTACACTTTTTTGATCCGCTCTTGGCGTACGTGTGATGGTCCATGGTCCCCGGAACGGAGGAGCAGGTGGCCAGGCGGAGCGTGGATTCCGAATCCAAGTCCGAATCGCGGGGGCGGAGGGGGAGATGATGATAAAAAATGAAATCCCGAAAACACACAGTTTCTTTTTTTATTTGCGCCTGCCAACTGATTTTTGTACACCACTAGCCGTGCTGCCAACCGATTTAAAACGCCACTCAACAGCGCGCTGTTAGTTAACAGCGAGGGAAATCGATTAACTGCTGGCCGGTCTATCGAATTCAAATTTAAGGGCGCGTTGGATGGAAATTACTTACTAATTCTGGAGATCTCAGTCTTTGGCATATTATTTTATGGTTTTTAATAGCCACTCCCGAAAATCTCCCCACCTCCTTATGATTTCCATATTATTATTATTTCCCTTTTTATTTATTTTTTTTGCCTTTATTTCCTTTTCGTTTAGTACCACCGACAATATTGCATGCAATGGAACCGGTTACGACCACACAAACACGAAAGAGGAGGAGGTCTACCAAGATCTGTGTGCGCTGCACAGGACGAGTAGAAGCCAGGTAGAATTGCAAGCCTGTCCGTGCATGAGAAACCTATGTATTCCGGGTGGCCTTTCTCATCCCACCCCCACTAATCCCGCACTTAATCCCTCTTTCCCAATAGACCGCCTCGTCGACGAGCTTCGAGCAGCGCGACTACGTCATCCGGGAGCTAATCGACACGGAGTCTAACTATCTGGACGTGCTCACCGCCCTGAAGACCAAGTTCATGGCTCCGCTGGAGCGGCATCTCAATCAGGACGAGCTGCGTCTCATATTCCCGCGCATTCGAGTGAGTTGCCATTACACCCAAAAAAAAAAAAACGCTCTGGTCAAATTGATATGAGCATGGTAAAATTCTGGCATATCGTTTTTACGTGAATGTGAGCGATATTGATACCACATAACGTAAAATCGATCATCGTTTCATATTGAGTTTCTTTTTCATCATTTGAGTGAGTTGCCACTTCACAAAAAACAAAACGCGTTACGATCAAAACGATATGCGCATGGTAAAATTCTGGCATGTCGTTTTTACCATGCAATATCGATTTCTTTCTCTCTCTCGGAGATTCTCTGAATTCGAAAAAGAGAGGAAGAGCAATGTGATACCACATAATAGATCATCGTTTCATATTAAGTTTCTTTTTCATCAACTAAAATATGTATAAAATCCCTGCAGGAACTGGCCGACATTCACACAAAGTTCCTGGACAAGCTGCGCGAATCGCTGACGCCGAATGCCAAAATGAAAATGGCCCAGGTCTTCCTCGAGTTCCGCGAGCCCTTCCTCATCTACGGCGAATACTGCTCCTGCCTGCTGGGCGCCATCGACTATCTGGCGGATGTGTGCAAGAAGAACCAGATAATCGACCAGCTGGTGCAGAAATGCGAGCGGGACTACAATGTGGGCAAGCTGCAGCTGCGCGACATCCTCTCGGTGCCGATGCAGCGCATCCTCAAGTACCATTTGCTGCTGGACAAGCTGGTGAAGGAGACGTCGCCGCTGCACGACGACTACCGATCGCTGGAGCGGGCCAAGGAGGCCATGATCGATGTGTCGCAGTATATCAACGAGGTGAAGCGCGACTCCGACCATCTGGTCATCATACAGAAGGTGAAGGACAGCATTTTCGATCTGAATCTGCTGCAGAATGGCAACGGCAGCGATTTGCTGCAGTACGGACGCCTTCTCCTCGACGGCGAGCTGCACATCAAGGCGCACGAGGATCAGAAGACCAAGCTGCGCTACGCCTTCGTCTTCGACAAGATCCTCATCATGGTGAAGGCGCTGCACATCAAGACAGGCGACATGCAGTACACGTACCGCGACTCGCACAACCTGGCCGACTATCGGGTGGAGCAGAGCCATTCGCGCCGGACTCTGGGCAGGGATACGCGCTTCAAGTACCAGCTGCTGCTGGCCCGCAAATCGGGCAAAACGGCCTTCACATTGTACCTCAAGTCGGAGCACGAACGGGATAAGTGGCGCAAGGCCCTCACCGAAGCCATGTAAGCAAAGTTTTTTGATATTTTTGAGTACTCTGATAACTAATGCAATATGTATGCTATGCAGGGAAAGCCTGGAACCGCCCGGCTGCCGGAGTACCGACCACAAAATGGAGATCTACACCTTCGATGCGCCGACGACGTGCCGCCACTGCTCGAAATTCCTCAAGGGCCGCATCCACCAGGGCTATCGGTGCAAGGTGTGCCAGATAAGCGTGCACAAGGGCTGCATCTCGTCGACGGGGCGCTGCAAACAGAATCCGGTTAGCGTGCCGCCGCCCGTCTGCGATCGTCAGCTGTCCGAGTTTAACTGGTTTGCGGGCAACATGGACCGGGAGACGGCGGCCCATCGGCTGGAGAACCGTCGCATAGGCACCTATCTGCTGCGCGTTCGACCCCAGGGACCGTCCACCGCCCACGAGACGATGTACGCGCTTAGCCTGAAGTGAGTTGACTAGACTATTTACCTATGTAAATCTATATCTTTTACTTTGTGTTCTCTAGAACCGATGATCATGTCATTAAGCACATGAAAATCAACCAGGAGAACTCCGGCGATTCCATGCTCTATTGCCTGTCCTCGCGCAGGCATTTCAAGACCATTGTCGAGCTGGTTTCCTACTACGAACGCAACGATCTGGGGGAGAACTTTGCGGGGTGAGTTTAAAAGAAGAAATAAATCGGATTATTACTGATCGCATCTCTTTCCCAAGGCTCAATCAGTCACTGCAGTGGCCCTACAAGGAGGTGATCGCCACCGCTCTCTATGATTACGAGCCAAAGGCCGGCAGCAATCAGCTGCAGCTGCGCACCGACTGCCAGGTGCTGGTCATTGGCAAGGATGGCGACAGCAAGGGCTGGTGGCGCGGCAAAATAGGCGACACGGTAAGAGAGGCTTCTGATTCTGCTTCAAACGATAACTGATCTGAGTTTCTCCTCCTTTTGCAGGTGGGCTACTTCCCCAAGGAGTACGTGCAGGAGCAGAAACTGGCCAGCGAAGAGCTTTGATATTACAATTACGAGGTTTACTTTGCACCCAAGGCCATTACGCCCGCAACGGCAGCCATTGCTGAGTCGCCAGGAGGAGCTGAAGCTGCCAGTGGAGGAGGAGGAGCTGTAGCCCCCGCCGAGATCAGCCTGATCAGCAGCCAGAGCCACAGCAACAACAACTGCAGCTAGATCGTACCCTAGTTAAATATGTTTATTTACACACATATTTTAAAATACAAATTGTTTTGTTCTTTTTTGTTTATACATACATATTTTTTAATAATTTGTGCGTCGTCTGCTTAGAAACTTTTGTGCCAATCACTACAAAATCGATATCAACCACCAATGTTTAATGTTTCCAATGTTTTAAATTTTAAATGATATATGTATGGCAAATATATTATATATCTATATATATGTATATGTTTCTAAGAAAGTTTAGCTTCATAAGTTTTTTTTGTTTGTGCGTGAGTCGTCTGTGTTGTTTTTTTTTCACAATTTCTGTATTTTTTTTGTATCTTTTTGTTTTTTACAAAATGTAATAATCGTCCCACGTCGAGTGAGGGTTGTGCGAATGTTAGGGGAAGTAATATAAAAAGAAACAAAGCTTTAAAAACTTTATATTCATATTATTGTACTGCTAGATATTTAACCCTAGTTGAAACGCAAATGTTAACATAACGAAAGCAACGCAGCCACAAAATGTTCGAACAGAAAATAAGAGTACTACGATGATGTAGCGACGATAAGGAAGTAAAAGCTTTAGCACTAACGATAACCGTCATATTTACAAGAAGAAGAAAGATGATCAACACATTTTAGGCCAGCCAATTTATAGATATATCTATTATGATACGATTAACTACTTATAATGTACCTATTTATATACACTTATAGCCAACGAATAACTTGCGAAATATCGATGAATCGAAGAAACAAACATACGAGTAGCTAGAGAACGCAACGAAGTTTTTGAAGCAAACAACAAATATAGAGTTTAAACATCGAAACTAAACAACTAAACAAACTCCCATCTTCACTTAGCACTTTCATTCGAAATCATAGTATTATTTTAAACGATTTTTGTAATAAGTAGGGCAATCGCAAATCGAGTCAATCAAAATGCAGCGGCCACCAAATCGAATTGTCTAAAACTAAATGGTGTACCACAAATAATTGTTAACTTTTAATTAAAGGATCCCCAGGAAAGTAAAAATGGGAAGATAAAATTCAAATATAATTCTATTGAAAAGCTGTTTGCCAATATTAAATAATTTTCTCTCTCTCAACGCACAAGCAAATGCAATTCAGATCACAATAAATATTCAATGTCCTGTTTTTTCTCCGCACAAAGCACAAAGCAGCCACAATAGAAACCAAAAATATTGCAAATTTCTAGGCTAGAAAGTCGGTTTCAGACTCTTTTTTCATGTGTATTTTGAGTATGGTTTCATATTTAAGGCGTTGTGATCTTAACGTTAACAATTCCGAAAGCTGCATTTATCACTAATTGCTATCTCTATCTAGTTCACTGCTCTCTAGCTGTCCCTCTCTATTAATGGCAAAATGAAAATTAAAAAATCTCTTTTTCTTCGGCAGCTCCAAAATTATACCTAAGTCAATGTTGTTCGGACCACCGGTCTTTGTGTATGTTTAATTGCAAATTGTCGCATCTAAATCTAAAGAAAATGTTTGTGGTTTTATGAATACCTAAATAAAACGATTAGGAAATCGCTGAAAATCTGAGAAGCGCAAATAAACGACTTTTGTGAAAGTTTTGTTGTTCAAATCGAAACCAAACGAGTCTTATTTATAGGATTTATTATATAGGATTCCATGGAAATGCTATATTTTCGTTGTCACATGATTTTTTATTCTTTATATATCATATGTTTATTGCACAATTCTTAGGTTTTTAATTTGTTCTGTATTTCTAGAAAAAGGTTACTATTGTTTTTAGTTATTTGACGTGCCCCTTTTGAATCAATATTGTGAAAGAATCGATCATTTTTAAGTTCCACTTTCGAAGCCTCAAATCTTATTACAATTTGGCCTGATAACATATTTCATATACAATTTTATTATTATTCTATCATTGGGAAATTGAAAGCAAGTGTTTTTCTGTGAAGTAGCAAATCCTTAAAATTACATGTTTCTTTAATTCGTTTTTACTGCATTTCCATATTTCGGTTTTTTCTTTATTGATTCTAAATACATTGTATTCTAATTTCAATTTTCAAAAGCATTTCTTTTAAAATTGTACCTCTTAAGATCCTTTTCTTCTTCAATTCTCTAATCTTTGCTAGCTGATTAGCCCACAAGTATGCAAGGTGATCTTACAGAATGGTTTATTGTAACAAAAAAAATATGTGTAATAATTAATCTAAGCTAGTGAGTGGGGATACAATAGAAAAACGAAACAAAATCATTGGACTCGAACTGGTCCGCGTCGACGTGTGATCTTCACCAGGCGGCGGCGACGTTGGCGAGGCACTGGCTGCTCCGTTGTCGCAACAGGAGGCTGCTCCTGCTGCTGATCCTGATCCGAGCCCTGGGCGTAGCTGTAGCTGATGGTGCGCTTGTAGATGCGCTGCTCCTGCTCCGACTGCTGCGACTGCTGGGAACGCGGCTTCCGTTTGGCAGAAGATGCGGCAGATGCCTTCTTCTTTCTGGCCTTCGTCTTGTAGCAGCGTTCGATCTTCTGGCCCTTGCTGTCCTTGCACTCGTAGCACACCCTATTGCCCTGCTGCCGCCGGACGCACAGGCTGCTGGGTGCATCGTCCTGCTCCTGCTTCTGCTCCTTCTCCTGCTTCTCGGCGGGATCGTTGTTGCGATAGCGCTTGTACTGGGTGCCACTGCCAAAGGCATACTGCTCCGGTTGATCGTCATGCGAGTAGCTGCAGGTCTCCGATACCTCGTTGTTCTTCAACTGCCGACAGATCTCGCACAGCTGGCCATCCTTCCGCTTGACCCGCCGACAGCGCTGATCCTTGACACTCGTGGCCTCCGCCTGGGTCTCCTCCGCCAGATCCTCCTCGTCGTCGTCGTCGTCATCGTGGTTGTCATGGTTTTCGGCAGCCCGATCGAAGTACTCCTTGACAAACTGCTCGTAGTTGCGCTCGTAATCCTCGCCGGAGTATCCCTCGTGGCTGTCCTCTGCCTCTGCTTCCTCCACATCCACATCCACGTCCTCCAGATCCTCATCCGCCTTGGCCTGCGCCTGCGTCTGGACGGGCTGCATCATCTCCGGCAGCTTGGCCACCATTCGATTCGATTGAGCCGCCTCGCCGACGGTTAGTGCGTCCAGTCGTTGCAGCAGCTTGCCGGGCGCAAAGGCCTCCCAGTAGTTGACGCTCCGGTCGTAGCCATCCGCCAGGGAGACCACGGAGGCCAGGCCGAGTAGCAGCAGCAGCAGCAGCATTGCATCGAAAGCTGCGACTCCCGTCGCCGGCCGTTGCTTTTATGGACTCGAGATTTGGCCTAACTCCAGACAGAAGCGTGGCCAATGAAGCGTGTCCGAAACCGCAGAGCCATCAGGAAGTGTGGCCCAACTGATCCGCGAGGAGGGAAGTGCGAGTGAAAGGCTAGATTTATTTCGTGTGGCCAATCAACTAAATCGAACAAAAGAAAAGGCAAACAGAATGCAAGTGGTCGTCGGTTGTGGAATGGTCAATGTGGGTGTGGGTGTGCTAGGTAATTTAGGTAATTTGGGGGTCGACAACTACGCCGCTCGCTGTCCGTCGCTCAGCCGCTGGGCGCCCACGGTGGGCGGGGCCGGGCGGACGGCCGGCTGTCGCTGGTGGCGCAACTCGCGTCGCTTCTCCCGCAGAATCTGCTTGGTCTGCGAGGTGTCCAGCTCCTCCCAGCCGCCGGCATTGTCGTCCACCCAGTCCTCGAGATCGGCCTGTCGAAAGGTAGATATATTTCAAATATATATATAAACTTTGAGCTTTGCTGGCTTACGTTATTGCTAATGGGCACCAAGTCCTGGGCCTGCAGTCTTGAAAAGTCACTTGGCTGACTGGCCGCCGCACTCGCCGATGGATCCTCCAGGTAGAACTTCATCTGCGGCTTTATGGTGGGCGTGAGCTCCTGCAAATCGGAAATACAAATTAGAAAAACTACAAAACAAATAAATTTATTACCTCTCGCTTTTAAGCTGATTTACATAATAATCATTTAAGATTTATGGGTTTAAATGCAAATAGATTGGGAATATTATTACGAGTTCAACGAGGTATTCCAACTTTGGATTATTATTTCCATAGTTTGGGTTTAAAACACCGATTTTTTGGGAGGAAGATCAGGATCATGATTTGTAATAAAAAAAATTGGATTTTTTACTGTAACTTAGACATAAATGGTCACAAATAAAAAAGGATTACTGATTTGAGCAGCTAACAACCTAATAATTAATATCAGTTAACTTTCCGTCTGATTTAAAAAAATTAAAATTTTAACCAATTTTCACATTTTTGATAAGGGGTAACATCATGATTTTTTGTGAAAAATGGCAAAAATTAAAAAATTTCTAGGTTTTAATGCTAATCAATTGGAAATTTAATTGCGAGTTCAACGATGTATTACATTCCATGTTCGGTTAATTATTCCCATTGTTACGGATGAAAAGGATGAAAAATGTGGATTCGAATTTTAAACGAAAATAAAGTTCGAAAGGGATACAATGGAAAACAATTGAAATCTACAGTATCTAAATATCTAGTTCATCCTAATCCTATAGTAAATTCCAATCAGTACCTAGATAAGATTAAAGCTAATCATTTGTTTTATTACTTTGGCAGTACCAAGTGCCAAGTAAAATAAGGCATGTTACTAAATATTCTCAAATTAAATAGTAAATATTTAGATATAATATTTAGATTTTCCCCTGTCATGATCCGCAACCTGTACAATTTGCGGTGCTATCGGCTTGGCCCCCACTGTGGGCATATGTTTGTGCCAACTCACACTGAAGAAATCCGGCTCGGGTTCCTCCTTGGGCGGCGTAGGCGGCTGGGCCATCCGCTGGCGATACTGCTCGATGTGCTCCTCGACGGTCCGCGGACTGTCGTCCCAGGAGTTCCAGTCCCGCTCCCTCGGCCCCGTCGACCTGCCGCTGGTGGGATTTCCGCCGGCGGAGAAGTCGCCCCGCTCCACAATCACGTTCACCGCCTGCAGGTCACCGGATCCGGCGGAGGAGCCGCCGCTGTGGCTCAGCTTCCGGCGCCGCGAGAAGCAGCAGAGGGCACGGCGGCACAGCGTGATGATGCCCAGCACCAGCATCTTGATTTGCTGCAGCATTGTCACCTGGTTTCAAATACACCTATACGCTATTATTTACTTTACACTATGTTTCGGTTTTTTGGTCCCGATAGTGTGACCCTGGCAGCGGGGAATACCATGTGGTATATGGTATATACCAAAAGCAGTTACTGAACAGTGAAGCACCCTTTCTATTACACAGTAAACAATTACGGAGAATAATTTTTAAAGTTTCCTAATATTCAGGTTTCCTTGAGTTGAGGTCCCATAATTCCCAATATTCCATTACATCTTTTTAAATATGTTGTATATTTCCAAAACATAAACAAATTAACGGTAAAAACAGATTTGAATGACAAATTCTTTATTCGAAAAAAATAAATATTATGGTTTGTAAGTTTTACAATTTATAATTAAAGTTTATATGGAAACTCTTCTATTTTTGTTTGTAAAAAATTGTTTAGTAATATAGTTTTAAAGTATATATTTTTTGTAATTATGTGACTCATTCTCTATGAAAAATGTAGCTTAAAAAATCAATTTAAATTTCATTGTCATGTTGGCAAATGAAAAAATATTTATGAGCACAATCCTTATCCACCATATGCTCGTCATTGAGGACAACGCAGGCTTTACCAAGGGTGGGTTCTTTCTTCCACTTAAGAAATGTTGCAGGCTTCCCGGAGGCCATGGACATGAACTTGTTATCTTCCGCCAAATCGTTGATGCCAGTCCAAAACCAGTGCCCTATCCCATAATATTTATAATGTGATATGATGGCTGAAAGTTCTTCTTGGTTTTCGAAACCAGCCAAATAGCCGCCCATTCGACGGCAGGTAGATGCTGCATCGTGCCAGTTTCGTAAAACACTGTTCTCGATATAGAAATATCTAGAACCAAATTTCTGGAACTTTTGAGGGATATTTTTAGCGTGGATCCTGAAAAGGATTTCCTGTTGTCTCTCAATCTGCTTATGCAGTTCCTTTAGTTGGGATTTCATTTCTGATCTCGTCTCAATGGATTCTAAAATTGCTGCATTTTGGTCCTGCAGTTTTTTCTTTACCTCCAGAAGTTTAACTTCCAGCTTACTTAGTAAAGCAGTTTCATGATCCTTCAGTTGTCTTTCAAAGCCTTCTTTTGTGGTCATATCCTTCAAGGAATCCGGTAATGCGGATTGAACAGCCAGGAGATTGGTTTTTATGGTCTGCTGCTCGCCGTGCATCCGGTTCAATTTAAAATTGATCTCAGGAAACAATTCGCAGAGTTCCGTTGAGTTCGCCAAGGATCCTTGAAACTGCAGGATAATAATTGCCAGCACAGGAAAATATGCCAGGAGCAGCATTTTAACTAATTTATATTGTAACTGCTCGATGAGAAATTTTGAATCGTACTAAAATTGGTCTGTCTGTTTAAACCAATGAAACCTAAAATGTTTGAATTCTTAGAAAAACCTAATGAGTAGATTTTAAATATGTGCAATAAGTTTGAGTCCTCAATTCAGTGAAAATAAATAATGCTACCATTATCAACACTCACAAGAATGATTCTTGTTTTCATGTTGTTTGTTTTTCATTTTATAAAAATTCCAAATATGTTGATTCATTCCAAAAAATGTTTTCCAACCAAGAAAAAATTAACCAATGTTTAATAAAATCATATATATTTGTAACAAAAAAAAATGTAAAATTAACATTAAAGCTTAATAAAAAGGAAATAACACTTTGACAATAAACAATTGTTAGAACACCCCCCTCAAAGATATAAGCCCTTTGCCATCATTTCGAAATAAACCGTTTATTGAAGCATCTAAGGAGTTCTAAGGATACATGCCTAGAATCCCGCTTTAAAACTAATCGAGCTGCACCAGAAATAACCACGAGAGCAATATAACCGTTCGCCGATCGCGAGCCAGGCCCCAAAATATCAAGCGTATATATATATATATAGTCGTCACCTTCTTCAGTATCTGCGAACACATCGAGTAGTCCCTGAGCTAAGCGATGAAACTGGCCAAAGGGGCTGGACTCGCTGATCGGCTCCTAGAACTAGATCTGTATATGGTATATGGTAAATGGTATATTGTATATATCTGTATAATCTGTATAAACATGTATAATGTAATGCAGGCTAGGCGGGCTTCTAATGTTCAAAAGGCGCGGGGTGGGCGATTAAATTCAGGTTGTAAACTTTCGGATATTTGTACAATTTTACTTTCTTTGTGTCGTTTCGCCTTTTGAGTACGGATCAAAGTCTTTTTTTGAGAAACACATGGCCAAACGGGGAGCTGGTACATGGTCAATATAAATATATATATAGTATATATAGGAATATAGATAATAATATCAAGATAGATAGAGAGGGAGAGAGACGTGAGCACTCGCACAATTTGAATCTTTGGCAAGACCGCAGATACTGATCACATGAATCGTTTCGTTTCGATTTAGTTTAGTTTAGTTTAGTTCGTAATGCTAATGGCTACTATTCTAATCGTACTCGCTCGTTGGAAAAAAAAAATTTGGCTAATTGTGGAGCAGAGAATCGGGTACATCATCATCATCATCGTAGGAATACCTTTTACACATGGCTGACAAAATCGAATCCCTGTTACGTTAAGTACTCTAAGATCTAAAAATTCGCTGCGTTCCCTGCCTTGTCATTCTCACGGTTCGACGATGGCTCCCTCGCCGGGATATAGATTCACCAGGATGGCATAGTAGTGACAGCCGGCGGCCAGCACCACGAACAGATGCCAAATGGCATGGGCCATCGGTATCAGGCCGTCGGCCTTGAAGAACACGATGCCCAGGATGTAGAAGGCGCCGCCGAACTTCAGCTGCAGCATCCCATGGAAGTGGTGCCCGGTGAACACGACCACTAGAGCCGGTCCCAGGCCCATCACCAGGTAGAAGAACGTCTCCAGGCACTTGTAGCGCTCGTGGAACAGCTGTTCGTGGGGAAAATAAATATTAATATGGCATTGGAACAAGATGTGTCTAAAGTAGAGGAGTATATATATTACAAATTAGATTATTAAGATAGATCTTCAACAAAATGTGAAACAATTGTGTGGATTCTCTAAGACAAGCTCCAGAAAAGTATCAGATTTATTAAAATTTTAACTTAAATCAATTCCAAAAAATGTCTAAAAAAAAAGTTCATTTTTATTAATTATTATCAGAACGTCTCCAGATTAGATTAGATTATTAAGATCGATCTTCAACAAATAGATCTAAGAAAAGCTCCAGAATTTAAATTAAATAAATTCCAAAAAATGTCTAAAAAATGAGTTAATCTTTAATAGTTATTATCAGAACGTCTCCAGAGTAGATTAGATTATTAAGATAGATATTCAACAAAATAAGCAACAAATGTGTGGTTTCTCTAAGAAAAATGTCTAAAAAATGAGTTAATCTTTAATAGTTATTATCAGAACGTCTCCAGATTAGATTAGATTATTAAGATAGATATTCAACAACACAAGCAACAAATGTGTGGTTTCTCTAAGAAAAGCTCCAGAATTTAACTTAAATAAATTCCAAAAAATGGCTAAAAAATCAGTTAATCTCTAGTTATTGTTATTGTAATCTCTTTCAATATTTTTTACCTGCTGGTAGGCTATGCCCACGCCCGCCATCAGCCAGATGACCCATTCCATGCAGAAGAGTATGGCCGAATGGTCGGTGTTCTCCAGCGTGAGCCAGGGGAAGTAGGAGCCGGCGATGAACACATAGATCATGGCCCTGTCGCAGCGATGGAGTACGTTCTTCAGGCCCTGGTAAGTCGTCTGCCAGCCGAGATTGGGCCAGGCCTTGACATTCCTCGGGGGTCTACAAATAAAACAATGAGCTTATGGATCCAGAGAAGGCGATTCCAGGCACTCACTTGTGCTCGGCGCAGTAGCAGGAGCAGTGGAAGAAGGTTGAGACCGTGAAGAGCATGCAGAGGGCACCGCCATAGACCCACGAAACCAAATACTGGCTGGCACTGGATGAGCGTTCGAAGAGCTTTATGGCCGCAAACACGGCGGGCAGTATCCAAATCCCATGAGTAATCACATTGGCCACCTGCTCAATCTGTTTTGCGGGAAATATGTGGTTTAGTTATGTGTAGAATACATAAGTGAGTAGCTGAGAACTCACCTCCGTTGGCTGGTAGGCACAACCGGGCTTCGCCTTGGCATTCTTCCACTTGACATTGCGCAGCTGCAGCTTGAGATTGGAGTTCGACTTGATGATGGTCTTCCAGAACTTGCTGAAAAGATTCTCGAGGAAGGCGTACTTGTTCTGGAGGTCCTGCATCAGGCTGAGGTTCCCATCCGCGTCACCATTTCCATTCCGAATCCGAGGGCCACTCCCTTCGCTGGTGCTCATCGTGGACAGACTGCGGATTAGATTACAAATTGGTTGTCCAACCAGTAAAATTGATTGATTGCCAGTCGCCGACTAACCCGGCTAACCCATCCACCCACGCTTCCCCCTTTTTTTTATGGCCAATTGATTATCAGCCCCCCGAAATCCCCCGATCCCCTTATCTTCCCCCGTTTTGGGCCTCCTCGGGTGACAAGTGATAAAGCACTCGACTGAGGCAATGACTGGACAATGGCACTTGAGATATGTATTCCTGCATTTAGGCTAATTTATGCTCATTTAGCCTCAGCACAGACAACTTGCATACAATGGCCAAGGTTGCTGATTTTGACCCGATCCGCAATTGAAACCAGTTCTCCGATTGTCCGCCAAGCTTATCTCGCGTGTCGGCGGCGAATATGGCTCAAAGTCCGATTCGGATGAGATATCTGCGGGAATACGATTATGGGGCACTCGAAATTTAATTGCAGTTGCAATAGACTTGAATTTCGATTTTTAAATCCCTAAATATCTAATATTTTTATTTTATATCATAAGGGGTTTAAACATTAAAAATAATTTGAATACCGAAATATCTAACATTTATATTTACAATTATTTAACAGATTCACTTACTTTTTTTAATGATTTCTCTATTGAGACTTGTAAAAATATGTTTTAAAACATATTTAAATTTTTCTTTTAATATTCCAGCTTTATAACCGGAAGCCGTTGTATTATCTTAACGTTTACCATCTTTTAGAACATCGTGCAATGTTATAATTACCAAAAAAAAAACCATGCTTTCAGATTTAATGACTTGGAAACACTAGTTATACCATGGTTAATAGTCCGTGGAAACCATTATATTTTTAGAATATTCACCTACATATTTACCCGCACTTAGGTAGACTTAAAACTTTTACTGGCCCGTCTGCGAAGGACCTCGCTCATCGAATTATGACAACTTTTCAATAAACGAGCCACCAGTGGGTGGCAGTGGGCGACGCGGCCATGACCACCCCCCAAAAGTATGCCCCATTGGGCGTCACAGGGGGTCGGGGGTCACAGGGTGGGAAAACATAACGGACGCCCCCACCATTCGGAACTTCATCACCATAACGACTATGCTAATCGTTATAAAAATAGATGCCTCAGGCATTCCTTATATTGCCAATTACTAACAGCGGGTGGGGAACAGGTACACTGGGAGAAAAGATCACAGAACTTTAAATCTTTATATTGGTCATTTTCAAGAAACGCTCAAATTTTATTTTCATATTTTCAATGTAGGATTAACAAATTTCCTGTTCATAACTTTCTTAGAACCCCATATTTATGTAGGTTTTCAAGATTTTAAATTCCGTTTTTCAATAAATCGTTATATATTCCCCTGACAATATTTTTTAAAGAATCCTGTATATTTACTATCTGAAAAATATCATAGAATTTAAACCTTTAAGTTGAGTTTGATTGTATTTGTTCTATCTATATGTTTATTAATGCTTTCAAGATCTTAAATGCTGTATTTTTTTTAGATACTATTTTTCCAAAATAAATATTTTTTTTTAATCCTATATTCGATTTTAATAAATTTTGTCCATTTTTGAAATAACTAATCAAAAACCTAAAATAAACGAATTTTGTACGATTTTTCTCAGTGCACAGGAGACCGTCGGAGATTGTTTACATCTTTCATTCAGAATCAATTGCCGTTCTAATCCAATTTGTTACGCTGCCGTCACGCAATTCAGCCTTGTCACTTTCCCACCTGTATTTCCTATACCTTCCTATCCCACCTTTTCACCCGGAAAACCTTGGGAAATTGGGAAATATCTAAATATCTGGAGGGAAACTCACCGTCTTCTTGGGGCCGCGGATTCGAATGCGGATGCTGTGCGGGATGGAAGGCGGCAAAGGATGCGGATGCGGATGCTGAGGCCGAGACCAGGATCCGCAGATGGGCGTACGCGGATTCGGAATCGAAATGGGAATCCCAGGCCCACGCAGGATTCTCAGGGACCCAAGACTCGCTGCACTGCATCCGGGGAACGGGGGAACTTGGACTTGGCGTCCGCTTTTTTTTTATTTATTTCGGCGGATTTCTTAGCGGTGGGCGAACGGCGATGTAACATCGATAGCCCGCCGTTGTAATGGTCACTCAAGTCATCGATTGCCTGCCTTCGATGGTTTATTCTTCAATTTAAATTAAAATATTTAAATAGTAAATACATATTTAAAGAAAAAAAGAGTTCTTAAAAAATATTTTGCCTGTATCCACTAGGCTTTTGTAAAGCACTCAGATTTACCTATTCAATTGTAAATCTCTCTTCTCTTCGTTGAAGCAAACTATTCATTTCAATTGTAAACCTTTTATTTCCCAACGAAACTTGGAAGTAGTTGCGACTTTGGAGACCTACCAAATTTAAAAATCCAAAGCGCGCCTAGTTTTGACATAACGGTTTAAGAACAATACTTTTTCCGGATCCACTAGTCTTTTGTAAAGCATTCAGATTTACCTCTCTCTCTTCTCTTCGTTAAAGCAAACTATTCATTGCAATTGTTAACCTTTTAATTCCCAAAGAAACTTGAAAGTAGTGAATTTGCGACTTGGTGACCTACAAAATTTGAAAAAACCAAAGCGCGCCTAATTTAGACATATCGGTTTGGCCCACCCTAGCCCACGATAGCTATCGCCAATCGGTCGGCGGAAATCGAATCGGAAAAACGTGTGAAAAAGGTGCGTGACTTTTTTTTTTGGCTGACTTTATCCCGATTTTCACCCGTTCTCCCACGCAGCAATCATGTCTGGACGCGAGGGCGGTAAGAAGAAGCCACTGAAGGCGCCGAAGAAGGACTCGAAGGACATGGACGAGGACGACATGGCCTTCAAGCAGAAGCAGAAGGAGCAGCAGAAGGCCCTGGACGCCGCCAAGGCGAATGCCTCCAAAAAGGGGCCCCTCGTGGGCGGCGGCATCAAGAAGTCGGGCAAGAAGTGATGACTGAGCCACTATCCAATATCCACAACAATCCGCAAAATCCACAAAGCCACCGGGATCACACAACTCGCCCATGTGGAGACCAAAATTGATCGTCTAGCCAGAAGCTTACATTTTTTTTATACTTACGCTTACCATTAAATAGAGCATTGTACGTCAGGCTAGATGGATAGATAGATAGATTTATTGTACGTCAGAACGCGGAAAGCTGGCCTGCGTTCCGGGCAGCTGGACGGATTGCGAGGCCACCGCGCAGGCGGCGGCTATGTGCTCCTCCAGCTGGGCCTTCGGATGACGGGCCAGGTTGTGGGCCAAAGCGCCGATGAAGGCGTCTCCGGCTCCCGTGGTGTCCACCACCTTCTCCGGCGGCACTTGCGGCGCCGCCACATGCCGATACTCCTCGTTGGCGGAACCAAAAACAGCTCCCAGTTTGCCCAGCGTAATGATCACCGTGTTGGCGCCCATCTGGACAAGCTTTCCGGCTGCAATTTTGGCCTCCCTGGCGGGGGAAATACACGGATTAGCAGGGATTACCTTTGTTAACTCACCCCACTCACTCGACAGTCTCGATTTGGTCCATTTGGGTCATCAGTGCCGCCTCGCTTTCGTTCACACAAAAGATGCTGGCCAGCTGGAGCAGTTCCGGTGGGGTATCCACCATCGCTGGAGCTGCATTCACAATGGAGACACCCTGGAAGTTGCGCAGGGCCGTCAGCGTGGCCTCGACGGGCGTCTCCAGCTGGCAGACCAGAACCTTGGCCTCCCGGAAGAGCTCCTCCGCCTGGGCGACATCGCAGGGGCTCAGCTGGCTATTGGCGCCCACCACAATGATGATGTTATTCTCGCCGCCATCGGATACTCCAATCTGGGCCACGCCCGTCGTTTGGCCAGCCAGCTGCTGAACATGCTCCACATTGATGTGTTCCTCGCGCAGCTGGCGCAGGTAATCGGCGCCGAAGGTGTCCGCACCCAGCTTGGCCACCAGAGCTGTGCGGGATCCCTGGCGAGCGGCGGCCACACACTGATTGGCTCCCTTGCCGCCATATCCGGTTTGGAAGCGGTGCCCGTGGAGGGTTTCCCCCGGTTTCGGCAGGCGGGGAGTGTAGCTAATAGGTAGGGAAATATATAAGAGATCTTCCTGGAATCAAGGGGATCGTGTTCTTAACTCACCATATAAAGTCTATGATGGCCGAGCCAAAGACCAGCACTTCCGTGCTTTGATTTTGAGCCATGTCAGCCGAAATGTAAAGGAAAATGCACTGGTTTGTTGTCAGAATGGAGTGAGCGCTTATCAGTCGTCGCGGGATTCGAGATTAGGTGACCCCAGCGGACGAGGGGCAAGGGCAAGGACGGGGGTTTCGGGCGGAACGCTATCAGCTAGCTGGCCCACTCCAATTCTGGCCAAGATCGGGACAAAGGGGGGTTGATAAATCAGCCAATATATATAGCTAGAAAAAAAATACCAGAAAATACCAAGTATACTAGATTATATGTATATTTTTCTTATCAATCGAAAAATTTGAATATTTGGAAATAATTCCTGAAAATAGGGAACTAAAAATAATATGCAAATTATTAAGATTTAAAAAAAATGAGATTTTTAACTGCTGTTTTTGCGCGGTTTTTTTGAATTTCCATTATCTTAATAGTGGATAGATTAATATATTAATAGTCTGAACTAATATTTAAAGGGTTTGGATTAATTCTTGTGTATAAATACATAATTATATAGGCTATTTATTAAAACAAAATATACTTTTGAAAGTTAAAACAATTATTATATAGCCAGAAAAGAAACCCACCATCACATCATATAAATCATAATATTTATTAAATATACATAGTACAAAATATCGATTGGGCTGGCCATGGGACAAAATAAGGGACCAAAAACAATTCTAGCCTATTTGGGTAATACATGGGATTTGGGTTTTGGAGACTGGACTTTTGGATTTTTGGACATAACATAATTAATTAGAATTACAAGCCACTCCACCGATTTACACGTGTTTAAATCTAGCGTACAACTAGCGAGCGATTTTCGTTTCTGTTCTGAGAGGCGGGGCCATCCATCAATTTAAATATATATATATCTGACTCGTATCGGTTGCTCTATTGATTATCCTGCTTAGACACTATTATTGCGACTCGTGGCGGCTGGAGGATGTAGAATCGAGATGAACATTGAGTGGACAGCCGGTGCACAGCCAATGTAGATGCCCCCGAAGCAATCCTAGATGCCTGCCCGTTCCAAAGCACTCAGCTGGGAGCCCAGTCGCTCCTCCTTGGCCTTGCGCTCGGCGCTGATCTTCTTGCAACTGGTGTAGGTGTTGAGGAACGTCTGCACATCGATCTTTCCGTTCAGGAAGTGCTCCACATGCCGATCGCAGTCGGCATCGGCATTGGAGGCGGCAATCTGAAGGAGTTCCTGAAGGGGAAAGTATTATAATAGATAATAGATCACTAGGAAAGTGAGAAACCAGCATACCCTTATGTGCTGCGGAGCATATTCCTCCGACTTCTTCAAGTACTTCTTGTTCAGCTGGTCGCACTTCTCGCCCAGTGTCTTCAAAGCCGTGTAATCATCACTCAGCCGGCGCTTCAGCTCCACCAGATGGCTGCCCTTGCTCTCGTTCTCCCCTGGATTGGATATAGGATATAGGATATAGATTTACAAGGATTTCTATTAGTTAACCCCAATCCCAAACTCACTTGATATGCTCTCCACCTGGTTCATCATCGAGTCGAGCTCCTCGTTCAGGTGCTGCACCACGGACATCTCCTCGATGAAGTCGTCGAAGAACTCGGGATCCCTGTCCAGCTGCTTCAGTTCGTCCAGCGACAATGTGGACAGATTGGGCATATTCTCCGCCGAATCCTTCCCGGCGGCGGCAGCGTCTCCTTGCGAATGCTGTGTGGTGGGCATTGTATAGGTGCTCTTTAGTTTCCTTTTCCTTTTCCTTTGCCAAGTTCCAAATTCCAGTGGTTGTGCGTTGGGTTCAACTACGAATTTACAAGTGAGTGTTAGGACTTAGGGTTTATCAAAGGTCAAAGTCACCACCTACTGGGTTTTCCAGATGAGAGCCCAGGGTCGTCACGAACTGGAGCACCCTCTGACCTCCAGTGGAAGTTGGCGACCCCGGCTGCGGATTGCAAATTGCGAACTATGATATTCCCGAAGGTTCCAGCCGGCGAATTACTCACCCAATCGCCGTCGGCTGATTTCCTGATCTTTCCTGCTGCTTTTTGCCTTCGGATCGGGAGCACTCGCTTTGTTTGCCCCGATCGGAGTTTCATTATCTTCTGGTTCTGGGCCCAAGGCAGTGCTGTCACTCCAGCTACTTTCCAGCTAGATTGGGCTACTTTCAGAGAGAGTGCTAGCATATATTTATTTAAAAACTAAATAAAGACAACTGTTTTTAATAAATTCAAATTGTATGTATTATAGGATTTAATATTAAAATATATTTAATTTATAAACAATTTGCATAGCTATTTTTCACATCTAGCTACATTTTGAAAGCGAAAGGTGGCAACTCGGTGCATAAAGCACCGTTGGCTGGGGGTAGTTTTTTCAGGGCCATTTAAGGCCATTAATTTTAAGTAGAATTTTAGTTAGTTATACATGTTGTATTATATTAAATATATATTTATATGTATATAAACCCCCACTAATTACATTTAGTTGACTGATTTGAATGACCAGTAGAAGTGCCAATTCATTGCGCCTGTCTGGCAGCCCTGTTCAATCAGCTGTTCCGTTTTGTTTACAATTTTTGCCTCGCTACTTTACATAACAAATTCGGGGAATTTCAACAAATAAACACGAAATGGCGCTGTTCGAGATGAAGTGGCTGCGTCGCTGGGTGCGCAGGAACACAAGCCCCATACCGGAGCACCGGGCGGAGCTGTGGAAGCGGCGCCTGAGCATCGGCTACGCCGTTTTGGCCTGGCAGGCATTTGGCCTCGTCTGCTACATGGTCTACACTGGGCGAAACGATTGGGCCAAGTTCTACGGCTACAAGACGGAGGAGGAGGCCGCCTTGTCGCCGGCACAGCAGTTCGCCAAGCACCTGAAGGTCGAGGGCACCGGCAAAATCATCCGCTTCTCGGGATTCCACAAGGTCGAGGAGGTGCCCTTCGATGCCAGCGAGGTGCAGCGGGTCAAGGAGTAGCTGGATATTCCTCCTCGCAACTAGAATTGGAGTAATTTACCTTTCTTTTTTTTTTTTTGGAACGAGCGCATCTTGATTGCCATTAAAGCTTATGAATAGGACTGAAATTCTGGTGTTGTGTGGTTCTTAGGTGTACTGTTATAGTAGCTTCGGGTCTTTTAGTAACAAAATGCTCCAATGTAAGGAAATATTAACAAACGCAATTGTTATTTTTGAATTTAAGTAATGGCTATTAGAGATGGCCCAAAAATCCAGCGATAGGTGTGTGTACGCACTAAGTCTTAACAGTCTCCTCGCTTTCCCTTTAACAGAAATGTTAAGAGTCAACGTTAGTTTACATTGGCAGAGCAAGAGTATTTAAATTTGAATGAATTATATTATTAATAAATTAAAAACAATATAATTACAATTAAATTATTAATTTAATTTAACTTTTATAATTTTTTACAATGAAATTAAGCCTTAATTTGAAATTTGATTAACTTAACATTTATGTTAAAGTGTGTCCTCGCTAATGTAAGATAACATTGTATCCTAACATTTCTGTGAAAGTGTGTCTTCGCTAATGTTAGCAAACATTGCATCTTAACATTTCTGTTAGTAACAGTCCTTAGCGATGGGCAAACTCTGATAGACCCAATCGATATTTCAAATACTTAAAAAAAACATGCATTCGATACTCCCATCGACTCCCGCTCACCGCCAGCGATAACAACAACAACTGCTGCCAGCGACAACAACAAACAACAAAAAACGCAGCGGATTCGGATTTCGGAATCGGACGGTCGTTAAACAAATAACAACAATAACAAAAGCATAGCCTGGCTGCAGCGGTAACGGTACTAGCGCCACCGTACTACTAGTGATAGCTTTTGACCCGCAAATGTGATTCCAATTGGCGATTGAGGTTTCCGATTCAGTGCGACAATTTCTATAAATAAAACAACAAGCAGCAGCAGCATCTTCGTCGGCGAAGCCAGTGCAAAGTCATATTTTTAATTGCGGCCGAGAAAACCTAAATGAATATTAATTGCCCATCAAGCGGAGGTCATTGGCTGTCTCGCTCGCTCTACCCCTCCCCCTCCTCCCGCGGCCCCATCTAACTGCACTCGCTGTCTGCGAAATAACGGGACTAACGGCGGAGCGGAAAGCAACAACAACAAGAACAACAACAAATGGCAAAGGCATTTGCAGATGGCGGCCGCCTCGTCTAATTGCAACAAAAACAACAAAAAGAGCCGCAAATAATTGCTAATTAGTTGCATTTTTTCCATTGTTGCAAGGCTTCGCTTACGAATTACGAATTTCTAATGTAATTAACGCGGTGCAGCTGTGCGCGTGTGTGTGTGTGTGATCATTTTTTGTTTTCTATTTTTTCTGTGTGCAGCCCCAAAAAACAACAACAGAAAAAAATAGGCAAAGGTGCAAGTGCCTCACAAATACATGCAAAGGAAGGAACTTTTGATTGATGATTGAATTGATTGATTTCGATTGTTGCCGTGCCTCCTCCTGCTCTCCTCCTCCTCCTCCTCCTTTCACCACTCTCCCCCTCTTCCCCTTCTTCTTCTACATTCGCCGCGGGACGAAGGGTGAGTAAATACATAGTTTTAAACCAGATTCCCCATTGTTGTTGCTAGTTTTCCAAACTGAAACGAAACGAAAAAAAAAAACCATTAAAAGCGCATTAATTATATAATTTTCGGGGAAGTGAAACTCTAAAACTTCCACTTTCTTGCTTTTGCTTCTAAGCCCCAGCAACAACAATAACCAAGCAAAACGTAAACCATCGACAAAGAAACTTTAAAACTTCCAAGCCGCGCATAAATATTTATATGTCTCAAAAGAAACCAGAAAAAAAGAGTTTTTTTTTTTTAGAAACGTTAGCGAAAATGAAACCGTTTTCTAAAAATAATTTATTGTCAAACGCCGGCGTTTGTATATAAAGCGTGCAACATACAAATAACACAACATATGGCGAGCGGAGCGAACAAAGGCCGATAAACACAAACATAAACATATCAAAAGAGAGCAGCGCATAATTCGAGCGGTAAAACACGGAGTTTGGCCAGCAAACACAGTTCGCAGCGACTGCGCAATCCGCTGTCAAAAATTTCCAGGCGATAATCTCTGAAAAAAATATCTATATCTTGATTTAAAGATCACTTTATCGATGTAAAAGAATTTCACTTTGCTTGGAATTCGGTATACGATATATCTGCAATTCCATCTTATTGGGTCCAAAATACATAGGTATATCTATCTATATCTTTGGTATATAATCTAATAGTGAACTACTTACTTATATTATTTACTATAAAAGGATACTTCATTGATTTTGGTATATGATCTATCTATACTTCCATCTTATTGACTAAATAAAAAAAATTCCAAAATTATCGGAAGAATCAAAGATTAATTATTTTATAAAAAAAGTTCGTAACTATCTGTTTACTATTACTAAATCACAGGCCCGATGAATCGATATATTTTTATCCTATAATACAAAATATAAGAGATCCTTTTTTCTAAAAAAAAAATAATAGTTCCAAAATTATCGGAAGAATCTAAGATTGATTATTTTATAAAAAAAAGTTCGTAATGAATGTATACATCATTATCATTATCTTATAATACAAAACATAAAAGATCCTCACTTATACAATTACCCGAGTTATTTACAGATACAGTTTGTAAGACTGAATTACCACTGATCATTTGTAATCCCTTTCCCACTCTGTTCTGAAATATCTCGATTATCTGTTTTTCTTATTACAATCTGTCATCTGATCTTTATAATTTCCTGAAAGTGTGGGAAAAAAAGCCAATATAGCCCAGTGTTTAGAGTATAGCGCACATTTCTTTGGCGCGCCAAAGCGTAACATTCATGAAGAAACGAAAATTCACAGAGCAACTGCCCCCTTTTGCCTTTCCAAACGCAAGTGAATGGCCGGAGGGGCTATGAACCCCCTGCCCCCCTCTCAACAACTTCTGGTTATTATTTTCTTTTTTTTTTAATATCTCAGGAGCGAATGAATGGCCAAGTTTTTAAGTTTTAACTGGCTGCCCAGTGGTTTTCTCAGGTGGTCAGCAGCGAAATGCGATACAAAAGAGGGGGGCTTTTGTGGGTGGAAGGGGGTTTTCTGCGGTTATCAGCTGCTGCTTCCAGGGGCGCACTGGAGGGGCGGAAAGGGGGCGGGTGGCCTTAACGATAAGCGCTGTTTTGGCCTGGCTTTTTGGTCATAGACCTCTAACGTACCTGGCTTACAAACAATAAAAATCATAAAAGAGAAACGTGGTGGGTAAAAAGTGATACGGGGGGAGGGGGGTTTAGGCCGAGAGAAACGTGGAAATGGCAGAAATGCAGAAAACCGCAAATGACCCCCCACCCCCTTCCCCCCAACGACTCGCTTAGCTGCCTCTTGCGGTTTCTTTGGCTGCTTTTTTCTGCTTTTGATAAGCCCCACGCTTAAGAAGAAGCATCAGAAGAAAAGCCCCAGAAGAACGACGAGAAGAATCGGAAGAATTAGCCCGACACTGGAAGAAAAGAAGGGGATTTAACGTTCCTCTTAAATCTACAATGATTTTTAAATAAATCTGTAATACAATTTTACAGTTTAAAGACTAAAAAAACACAATTTGAATTTAAATTCTTCCATTTAAGTTTAATCTGGCCTCACACTTTTCGCTCAGTGCATGCACACGCACAGCGGAAAAAATCAAGATATCAAAAAGGTAGCAAAGAATGCGGGGAGAGTCGCCAACTAAATTGAATTGTCATTCAACGCCATGGGAGCTCGACTTTGGTCAACGTCTCTAGTTTGTTGTGAACATATAAACTATTTGACCCATACCACACCTCATAACCTCTTAGAAGTCATTCAAATTCCTAACTACCCAAGTTCTGGATAATTATTTTACATAAAAACGTATCTTTAACTTGGCAAAAAAGCGAGGAAAGCCTAAAGATTAGTTAATCAATTTTATTTCTTTGGAACTATTTCAATTTACTGGAGATAATATAACTGGTTTTGAGATTTATTTCCGATTTAGATAAATAAAATTAAAGTTCTGAGATTGAGATTTAGGCAATAGTAATTAGGATTAAAAATCAAATTATTTTTTTTTAAAAGTAAGTTTACCCCATTCAATATATGAGTTGGTACCCACAATAAAACGATATTTCGTGGTCAATAATTCAAATTTTCCAATATATACGAAAAACTTCAAAAATATCACCTTTTCATTTATGTTGAAATCATATTTTTCCATTGTTCTTTGAGAATTCAAAAGAAAGACATTCCTATTCCACCAATTTGATCAATTTTTACATATATGTAACAAGAAATATATCCAAAATAAAAATGATTAACAAATGAAATGTAGAATTCAATCCAAAGCACCTGCACTTCAATTTGAAAACGCAAATTCTTGGCGCCCACTAAGTGTTGGACAACGCGCCACGCATGCGCCGTGGCCGCGAGCGCCCTCTGGCGGCGGCGTGTTATCGGGGCGGCGGAGCGCTATCGATAGGCGCCGTCGACTGGACACTTGTTGTTGTTGTTTGCGTTTGCAGAAAGCAGAAACAGAAAACGCGCGTCGCTTTGTGCCAGTTCGTTTGCTTAGTGCCGTGTTCCCCTCGATTTTCCTAATCTACCTTTAATTTTTTTGTATTACTGTCTTCCCCCCCGAACTCTGTGCAACATTAAAGGTTTTTATTAAACAACAAAAAAAACATAAAAACTCGGCTCGGTGCGTGCGGTAGTGTGTGTGTGTGAGAGCTGTTTTATAGTATGCGTGTGGAGTTGGCTTTTTGTTTTGCTGGCGCATTCCGGTTTTTTTCGACGAAAGAGAGTGCGAAAATCGAATGAAATCCCTTTTACAGTTAACTGGTGCAAATAATTAAGCGGTGTTGTTGGAGTTTGATTCATTATCCCCTCTCTTTCTCCTCTCTCCTCTGATTTCCATTCAATTATCGTGCTCTTTCTGGCAACTCCATTGTTGTTGTTGCTGCTGCTGCCTCTCATTGAAGGGCAACCGATCTTGCCTCTCTCTCGCTCCCCTACATCCTGTTTCGCCCTCTCTCTCCAATTGCAGTTGCAGTTTAGTGTTGAATAGTTCCCGAATTGGGGCGCGATGTCAAATCTTTAAAAATTATATTTTCTAAAAAAAGATCAAAATTAACATTCGAACGCTAAGTGGCCCGCTCTTTCTGGTCTTGCCTGCAGACCAATTATCCAACTTATCGCTGTGCAAACGAGATAAAGATAAACCCCCCTATGTGGCATACTGATAAGGAAAAGTCCCGTGTTCATCAGCAATTAGGCGACAATCGTCCCTCAGAATATGAATTTAATTTCGTGTTTCGACCGTTTGCATGATGTCACTTCACTGTTTGCGTTTCAATTTAAGGCCCAGAGTAAAGTAAACAAATTTGCGTGTTTCGCGTGGGCAGCCTGTCACAAAAAAAAAGAAGAAAAGAAATCAAAATCCAAGTGATTCGAGGCCATAAATGGCAAACAAGCGAAATCGCCGAAAACCGGAATATTTACCAACACTGGCCAGATCGCCGCCGTGTTGCAAGTGCAGGCAGCGCTGCTGCGGTCAGCTGTCAATGTCATTTGTTGGTGCAGCTTGCAGTTTGCAGTTCACCGTTCATTTCACTCTCCTGCTCTCTTTTCCCTTGCTCTGGCTCTTGCTCTGTTTTTTTCTGACGCGTCGTGACATGAGTAATCCGGCATATTTGTGACAATGGGGAAAGAACACATGAACAAACACGCACGCACACACTAGTGTAGAGTGGAGGGGCGCGGAAAGGGGGTGGTGGTGCTGCAGGGGGCGAAGGGCGGAGAGTTCGAGTCCTCTCTCTTGCTCACAATCAACACACACCAACATTCGTGCACAGCAAAGGTCAACCGGCTAATGATCAAAGATTTAGAAGGCCTAAATATCCATGAAATTTTGAAATTCACAATGATTTATTATTAAAAAATTAAAAAAAAATAATTTTTCTTTAGTGTGGATTCTAGTTTAATTTTAATGTATCTATACTTTATAGATGTCTTGTCTTCCTAATTTAATTTACAAACAAAAAACACAGAAATCACTCAAATCAAACACAAATCAAAAATATCTTTCAATCAAAACGAGTTAGTTTTGTATTGATTTCAATTACGATTGAATTTTGTGACACTACGGGCTATACATCTATTACCTTGTATAATTAATTCATGAATCCTAAAATTCTTTTTTAAAAATATAAAAACATTTTTAGTTACACAATCCACAACTCTTAAAAGGAAACTCTAGAACAATAGTTTTTTTTATAAAGGGGTGTGATGCTAACGGCTTGGCCTCGGCTGTCGAGCGGCGAACGTGTGATTGGGAGTGTACAAATGCCTGTATGCAAGTGTGGCCGTTGAAATGTTGACGTTGCAGCGGAACTCTGGTCTCTACAATATGGCAATATGTCCATCACTCTCCCATTCCGGCATATCCCATCCAAATCCGAGCTGGAACAAACGTATCAGAATATCAATTTCGATTTCATGATCGTCGAGTGCATTTTAATTAATAAATTGGGTGTGAACGCTGCTTTGATTGTGTGTTTGTTTTGATTTCTCTCTTCATCTCTCTCTCTGTCCCTCTTCTGATGATAAATAAAAACAACAATGCAATGCGATTGTTTGCCGCCGCACAAACGGGTTATATTGTTGTTGCCATTGGGCTGATATTGCCGATGTTGCGTGCAACATGAGCATCTGCTGGTGAATCCGAATCCGAATCCAATTTCCAGCTCGTCGTTTTCCTTCATTCATTTATTCGTCGCCCGTCTTGCATTACAAATTCTGCCCAACACAATTTCGCACAGCAATTTCACTTTTTTTTTGCCCCATCAAATCTCAAAAGAAAGCAGAGCAAATTGAGTTGATAAAAGCATTATGATAACAAGCATGTACAAAATAACTAGCAAAGCGCGATAACCGATAACCGAACGATAAACGAACACTGCGAAAAATTACCTTCAAACAATAATAAAAAATAAAAAAAAACGACAACTACATTCCGAGAAATATAAAACATAGTAAACAAAATGCATCATAAATGACGCATTACAAAAAAGATAAAAAACCAAAAACATCACTGATAAAAAAGTTCAGGGTTCAATCCCAGTCGAAAGTCAGTACACCGACTATAAATAAAATGCACCATGCATAATCTTAAATAACCGAACAAGAAATTACACAGAAAAGAATAAGAGAAATTTTAAAGTTGGCCCGTTGATGGTTTACGTTTTGCAACGAGAAAGGATAATCCGACAAGATGATCAAACTGAAATCCTTGTTCCGCAGAGGACAGGGCACCTCCAGCTCCAATTCCTCGAATTCGTCGCACAAACAGCAGCAGCACTCCTCCAACAACAATCGCCAAAAGTCGCAGTCGAGCACCTCATTGAATACCGCCCACGAGCAGCAGCAGCAGCAGCAACAACAGCAGCAACAGCAGCAGCAACACAACAACACCGCAGCAACAACAAAATTCTACGCCCACCAGGAGGCGGCCAGCTACGAAAGGGGTGTGGATGTGGGCGATGAGGAGGCGCTGCTGCTGACAAACCAACAGCAGCAACAGCGGCGACAACAGCAACAGCAGTTGCAACAGCAGCAGCAGCAGCAGCAGCAGCAGCTACAGAGCAACACCTTGCCCCAAAAGAAATCCAAGCTCAAGGGACAAAAGCAGCCAAAACAATTGCCAGTGCAGCAGCAACACAGCAATGCAGCTGAGCTACAGCAGCAACAGCAACAGCAACCACTGATGACTTCCCTGGCAGCCGTGCCGCAGGCAGCAGCAACTAACAACAGCGGCAGCAGCAACATCAACAACAACAACGCATTGGCCGCACTGCAAGATGGTGGCGCTGCTGCCGCCGCTGCAGCAGGTTTCTATCAGCAACTAGCTGCAGCAGCATCAGCAACATCGGCCAACGGCAGCAACACCAGTGCCGATAGTCCAGCCAACGCTTTTCCCGCAGCAGCAGCAGCCGTTGCTGTTGCCGCTGTGGCAGCCAGCAGCTACCAGCAGCAGCAACAACAGCAACAGCAGCAACAACAGCAGCAGCAACAGCAGCAACTTATCAACAACGAACAGCAGCAACAGCAACTCTTAGAGGTGAATTATGCCCCTATTTTTATTTACCATTCAATTAATTAATAAATAATTCAACCCCACAGGCTAACAACAAAATGCAGGAGCTGCACAAGCAGCTGGAGAGATTGGGAAGCGAGCAACTGCAGCTGGAGACACGCATCACGGAGCTCCTGCCATACCAAAGCGAGGTGGCCAAACTGAAGGGCGATCTGGTTAAGATGCAGGTGCGCAAAAAAATTAAAAGAGTAGGATGATGGACGAAAAGAGGGTGGAAATGGGGTGGCTGGCTGGCTGGCTAACCACAAATTGCTGATGTGTTGTCACGGCTGATTGATGTTGTTGTTCCTGCATTTGTCCGATGATAAATTCATTACATACCCTTTGCACCAAATTGGGAGTGATCTAGATTTTTTGTTAAGCAAGTATTACACAGAAAAAAAAATTCGATATGAAATGGGGTAGCTTCTACCTTATTTCATATCAATTATAAAAAGCCGATATGATTAATGTCGAATGTATGATTGAAAAATATCAACTTGATATTTTATCATTTCATAAAAGTTATCAAAATACTGTTTTAAAATACCAAATGTAGTATTTTTTGAACAAATATTTTAAAATATGATAACCATAATCTTTGCTCATATCAAATTGATATGAATAACTTGATCTTTAAAAAATATTAAAATAATTTCTTTTCTGTGTATGCTATAGGTTGCTTTATAAATAATATTCCAAGTAATTGCCATAAAGTCAGCTATTTAAGTACTAAGAATAATTACTAATTAAACACTGGAATGATTAATAGCATACACAGAAAGGGTATTCTTATTAGAGGGTACTAGCCAATGACTAATCCATGTTCTCGGGGGCGTTGCGCTTCGCTACCCTAACCAATCCATTGATATTCAATACGATCTATAGGCTATGCGCTCCTTTAATTGAGTCTAGTAGATAGTTTTTGCGTCGTAGAACCAGCATCATCAGCTTAGAGGGAATCAAAACTGATCAGTATGATATGTGTGCTTACAGAGTCTACAGGAAAAGACCCAGATGGAGATTGGCAACCTGAAATACGAGAACGAATCTCTGCGCAATCGGCTGCGGGACGTTGTAAACTCACCGCTTTCGGATGCGGAGAAGCACCAGATCATCCAAGACTCGCAGCGGCTGCACAGTTCGGCGCCCGCCTCGATAGCCCTGCCCAGTGTAAGTGAATCCTAGATGATTTCCAGTCAAGCATTATCCCATTATCCCGCTTTCCAGACAAACGATGGACATGATGGCACACCCTGCCTCACGCCCGACTGGGACAAGCAGTCATCCTCCAGCGAGATCTCTGTAGCCTGCCTGCAGGACAAGATCATTCAAATGGAGGAGACGCATTACTCGACCAACGAGGAGCTGCAGGCGACGCTGCAGGAATTGGCCGACTTGCAGACCCAGCTGACGGACACGCAGACGGAGAATGTGCGCCTCGCCGAGGACAAGGATGTGCTCTTCCAGTCGCTCTGCCGGCAGACCGAGAAGCTGAACGAATCGCGCACGCAGATAAGCACACTAAAGGAGCTTCTCCTGCGGGACACCAAGCAGGCTGCCTCCGAGGTCAGTGCCTCGGAGCGGGAGCAGAAGCTTCTGGATCTGATCAAGACATCGCAGGAGGAGCGCGAGGCCGTGCTGCTCAAGCAGGAGGAAATGGGCGCTGAGCTGGCCGAGCTGAAGCAGGCGCGCGAAGCTGGCCAGCAGGAGCAGCAGCGTCAGAGGGAGAGGATTGCGCTGCTCGACTCGCAGTTGGATGCAGCCAATGCGGAGCGGCGGCAGGGAGAGGCTCAGTTCTCGCAGGCCAAGGACGAGATCTCGCAGCGAGCCATCGAAATAAGTCGATTGAGCACTCTCCTAGAGAATGCTCGCTCGAAGATCGAGGAGCTGGAAGCCGATTTGGCCAGAGGCGATAAGACAGACCTGAGCGATGTCCTCGATGTGGCCCGCAAGGAGAAGGATGCCCTGGAGGAGCGTGTGGCCGAGCTGCAGGATCAGTGTTCGCGCAGTCAGGCCGAGCTAAGAAGGCTACGCGAACAGCTCTCCGGGCTGACAGAGGAGTGCAAGGTGGCCAAGAATAATGCCAAGTGCGCCGTCTCCCATCTCGAATATCGCTTGGAGCAGCTGCAAAGGGATAAGGACAAGATAGCCGGCGAATGGCAGGCGCTGGAGGAGCGAGTGGCCGAGCTGCAGGTGCAGTGCAAGTGTCACCAGGAGGACAAGGCCCAGCTGCAGTCGCTGCTAAGCGAAACCCAGCGCCACCTAGGCGATGTCCAGCTGCAGCTAAACGAGTCCGAGTGCCGGCTCGACCAGGAGACGCAGCAGCGGCGCCGGGAGGCCGAGGAGTGGCAACAGTTCCAGGCCGATCTCCTCATGACCGTGCGCGTGGCCAATGACTTCAAGACTGAGGCGCTCAGCGCCCGGGAGCAGCTGGTGCTCGACAACAAGACGCAGAAGGAGAAGATCAGACTGCTAGAGCAGCAGCTCGAGAAGCTCACTAAGCAGCGTAAGTTGGTCTCCTTTTCTCTCAACGTTCCAATGAAGCTAAAGATTATTTGTTTTTTCTTTCGAAACACCCTAAACAGAACTGCCGCAGTCGGAGACTCCGCAGTCGGTGCTGTCCACTGTCCAGCGCGAGATGGAGATGGCCACGCGGCGCAGTAAGCTGAGCTTCAGCCGACAGGACTCGCGACTCTCCGTCAAAACGCTTATCGAGAGCATCGAGAACAACAAGGCGGTGAGTAGAGTGGTGTAATCAGTTTTCAAAGAAATCCATTTTCAAAATCAAATTTCTTCCTGCAGCAAGGCAAAGCCGACGAGGCGGAATCCCACTACAGCTCCACGTCCAGCCTAAACAGCGGCACTCCGGAGCTGGGCACCACGCCCATTATCTTTCCCCCCTCCAGTGATTGGCATGAAAGCGTGAGTTAGAGTTACTAGAAATCTGAATGGCGCAACTAATGATAACTTGGAAAACCCCCTTTAGCTTCGCCTGCCTGTGCTGCAGAGCAGCAATCTGCACGTGAATGTGGGCGGCAATCAAGGAGGATCAGCTGGCAATGGAGGAGGAGGATCAGCTAGCACTACCAAAGCCACATTGCCGCTGCGGGATCAACAGCAGCAGCAGCAGCAGACTGCGATAACAACGCCACAGAGTGCGATACAGTCCCAGATCCAGAATGCCTCCCAGCCCTCGACGCCGGCCACGCCCAGCAGTGCCGGCAGCAGCAGCAGCAGTGGGCTGCCCTTTGGCAATGTCTCAAAGTCCTTTATCGGCGGTAGGAAGATGACTCAATTGATGAAGATTAATTCTAGAATTTGACAATCACATAAACAATCAAACTTACATTGTTTAGTGGAAAATATTCTTCTAAAACCACATAAAAAATCAAATCGATATGAAATATGGTCAATTCTACCTTATTTCATATCAATTTATCATGTAAAATACCAAATTTAGTATTTTTTGAATGTAAAATAAGATAAACATAATCTTTATTTATATCAAAATGATTTGATTTTTTGATCTTTAAAAAATATCAAATTGATCAGCACATATCAATCTGATCTTTTGTCAATTTTTATTCTGTGAATAGAAATAATTGGTTTATCATTATAATCATTAAGATTCACTAGCCTTAAAGATAAAACTTTATAAAACACCTATGTTAAAGTCGGAAATTTCCTATATTTTCCAGGTGAACGCAAGGATCCACTGAACATGCTGGCGAAGAACGGCGGGTCGAAGCGCAACGCCCTGCTGAAGTGGTGCCAGAACAAGACGGTGGGCTATCGCAACATTGACATCACCAACTTCAGCTCGTCGTGGAACGATGGCTTGGCCTTCTGCGCGATCCTGCACTCGTACTTGCCGGACCGCATTCCCTACGATCAACTGAGTCAGGCCAACAAGCGGCGCAACTTTTCGCTGGCATTCGCGGCTGCCGAGTCTGTGGGAATTGGCACCACCCTGGTGAGTTTTCATGCTACCATTTGACGATGAGATACACCCCTAATTCATTATTATCTGTACAATTTATTCGCTACCAGAACATTAATGACATGTGTCAGATTGAACGACCCGACTGGATGCAGGTGATGTCCTATGTGACGGCTATCTACAAGTACTTTGAGACCTAGAGAGGAACTCGAGGAGCATTTGCTGCCCTCCACTTGGGCTCCTTTGTGTAGTAGTTGTGTAGGGTTCGCTTTATTTTCAATATACAATTTTTGTTTTTTTTTCCTTATAAATACTTTTTTTTTTTTGGTTGTTGTGTATATTCAGCATTTCCAGGATGGACAGCAAAGAAATCTTTTAACCTAGCTTGTACGCTTTTTTTTTCTCTTCTAGTTTTCTCAAAAACCCCTCTCTCTGTTTTAGTGTGTCTACTTCTGCGTCCATGTTCTTGCCCGTGTACAGTGGCCACTCAATGGCAACGCTTCTGTAAAATGCATTTGTTTGTTTTTCGGTTTTACAGACGACCCCTTAGCACTAAGTTTAAGCTTAAAGTTTAATTTTAATGGAGCTTCGAAGGTTGTTCAGGTCCATCAATCCAGAGGACAACGAAGACTCGCCCAGCCGTGTGTCCACTGTACATGGATAAGGTAGTTTATTATTTCGTTTTTTTTTTCTATTGCCTGGTACAGAGTTTATTTTTACACGCAAATCGATGATGGAGGATAAATTAGCTTGATTAGCTTTGCGACGAAGCATATAACTATAGAGATAATAAGAGGAGATGGTCCGGACTTTAGCTTTAGCTTATCTATATATAATTATTTATTCCAACTACATCAGATCACTAATTTAAACGCAAACAAAATGTATTTTTTTCAACGATTAATTCTACGATCTACCCATAAAGAGCAAAAACGCTGCGAAAGGCAGTGAAACAAGTAAAATCCCCGTTTGTTTTCTTTAGCTTTAATATCGTTTAAAATACCTTAATTAAAATGGGATTATCAGCTGAGCCGAGCTGTGTGGGTTGTAAATTAAAAATTCTCGGAAATTTTACAGCTTTCACAATTTGCATTTTTCGTAATCAAAAATTTTCTGAGCCCCTCGCTTATTAAAATAGATCAATCTTGTGTGTGCCTTTAACTTGAGCCCTCGGGAAATGGAAATGGGGGAGTGATGATGACGATGTTATGAGGAGGCGTGGTGGAAACTCTCGGAAAACTCTCAAAATGGCGCTTTCTTGAGCGCGGAAATTTCCCTCGAGTGGGAAATTTCCCAAGGAGCAGAAAAGAGATGGCCTCAGTACGTTGATTGTATCCTTTTTTGTGGGCGGGATTGTGGGATTCCGGACGTGGTTGGTTGGTCGAGATTTCGGGGGATGGTGTGGGTGTGGGCGGCGGCGGTGGGAGTGGCATGCGGCATTGTGGCAGAGGATTTAATTAAGTGCCCATGCCACACACCGCAGGGGGTGTGTGATTTCTTTAAAATTAAAACAAGCCGATGATTGATGTACTCGAGGCTAATGAGAAGAGGCAGCCAAAGCTGGGAAGGAATAAGGAAAGTCCTATCGCCATGGACTGTATGCTTAAGTTTATTTAAAAGGGTTTGGCATATTGAATAAATTATTAAATAAAAAATTTTGTATATGCATAATTATATATTTTTAATAACGAGCTAAATAAAAATATGAATAAACCGAATTTTATTTTCTAACTAAATATAAATATTTGCGCATTGCTTTTTTTGATGGTATACGCATAATTATATCAATTTGTAGTAAGGAGCTAAGATGTAATAAATAAAAATATAAATGTATCACAATTTATTTGCTAGCTTAATGTAAATGTTGCATGGCTCTTATTACAAATTACAAATTCTTAAAAAAAAAATACAAAATTGAAACAATTTTTTTTGCATACTTTTGGGACTAAAGAAAATATATCACCTTAATATTTGTGCAAATTAAAAGTTCTATCATATCATCCCCAGATTATTTATAGAAATTTTCTTTATATTTGTTTTTAATATGTTATCTACCAACAATAAAATTGGAAATTAAATACCGGAATAGGATTAACTCCTTGTGCTCGAATCAAATGCATATCCTTGTCCGCTTTCGTGTCCGTTAATTCTGTCCGCTTGTTTAGGCCGAAGTCACGTACTTTCGAAAACCTTAAAGCTAGCGTACTACCCATTCATCGTTTGACTCGCAGTTCCAGGACAATAGCAAATTGTAACTGTCAATTAGGCGGCTCCTTCTGGTATCGTCCTCTCTCTATTTTAGTCCTTTAATGCCCGGCACATGTCGAAAATGAAATTAAACGCTGACGCATCTTTTGCTGACCAGCGGACAGTCACCAAAATATTAGGGGGGAGTTGGGTGGCTTGGAGAAATAAAGGAAAACGCTTGGTCATAAATCAAGAAATCGGCAAAAATAAATTTCAATGCGGCCAACATTTTAATATACAAAACAGATTGGCTGGCCGAAAAACCAAAGAGATTCACTCACTCAATCGCAGTGGCAGTGCAACTATAAAAATATTATCTATAGTTTCCACTTAAATGCACAGCGGCACTTACCGGACGGCGCTCGTCCTTGTCCACCGGCCAACTACCCAACCACCCAACTCCCTCACATGTGGATAAATCATAATGGTTAATGTGCACTCATAAATGGATAAGCCAGACGGTATGGTACACTGGAATAAATTACTAAAATCTGTAGTTAAAGTAAAGCTATTCCCGCTTATCATTGATCTTACACAATTTTATCAATAGAATGACTTATGTACATATGTAGATTGCTTGTAGATATTTGTAATATTAGTAATATTTTATTGTTGATTATTTTAAAAAGTATCTGATAAACAATTCTTTAGTTATTTTTTATAATCCTATATTATGTATTTTTTATTTATTTGAAAAACTAATTTCTAATCTATTATTTTCTCTGTGCAGGTACATATGCTTCAGCCGAAGGAAACCGAGGTCGTGCTGGGGAATGTGGATGTGAATATGAGTGGTGAGTGAGAATGGGTGTGGATGGGATCCAGATATATATGTTTATATAGATAGCGCGGGGTGGACATTGCTCATTCAGGTCAGGTCATGTCAACTCAGGCGGCGGGAAATCGTTTTGTGTGCGTGTCATTTATGGGTCATTTGCCAGGGATCCATGGAAAGCGTGGAACCCGCCGACAACAACAAGTGAGCCAAGCCAGCCGGAAAAGCTAAAGGAGATGGGGGTTGGATATAGGATATATAGATCGGACATAGATCGATATAAAAAATCTCTATGGAGTGTACGGAAATCTAAGATTAGGGTTCTTAAAAATCCAAAAACTTTTTATCTACCGATATTCAAGGTACTCTTGAAGAGAAAACTATCTCGAATGACTTAATTCATGTTTAAACATCATCATCCCAACTGCCTGAACTTAAACTTCTTGCCACATTCGATTTTCCATTTGCATTTGCTCTACATTTTCCAAACATAAAAAACAGACCACACAGACACTCACAAAAAAAGTTGACTTCCTGTCATAGTTGGATGTTAATTTGGATCCCAACTTTGTCTTCTTAGCATATCCCCCATCTTCTTCCGCCACTTCCGATGCCCGCAGTCAAATCCTGTTTACTGCCTGTCAACTTATAAACAATTTTCCATGATAATGACGCCGCCGATCGAAGCAACTTTTGCGGCGGAAGCGAAGACTTTTCAAAGTAACAAAAAAAAAAAAAGAGGAAGGATTATAATCGGGTAATGGAAAATCGAATCGAGCGGGCAGAGATTAAATGCACTGGGCAACATTTCCGGTCTCGAATCGAGAGAGATGGTCGTCCAGTCCAGAGCTCCATGACGAGCCCGCTTCGATTTGATTTCCTCCCGGTAACAAAGAGCTTTATGATTTTCCGGTCAATACAATTCCAGCGGCTGCACTGCATCCTTACAAATCAACAAGCATGACACATTGCCGCCCAGCCATTGTTCAGTTCAGTTCTCGGGGCTCTCCGCTCAAGGAAGTACTAAAAAACACAATGGGACAAGGGCAGGGGATTCTACATACATACAGTTCTACAGTTCGACTGCAATGACAGTCACAATGGACCCACAAAGAGACCCATGGAGTGCCCCGCGCCCTCCTCTCCAGAAAAAGAATGAGAAAAACCTACCTAATGTCATCCTGCATCTGAAGTCGTTGGGTCATCGAGGCTGAGGGTCAATAAATTGTGATTAGACAAATGCAATTCACTTTTTTATGGTTCCGAAGTCAATTGCCGGCAGTGGAAATACTTGACTGGGGTTGGGAATATCAAATTAGCTAAGTAATATGAAGATCCTTAAAGAGTGAGAAAGAAATAAATTATCTTAAATGACTTGAATAATATTCAAATGATTTCAAATTTTGAAAACCAAAAAATAATACAAAATTTAATTGGGCGCCAATTAATATGTTTTTCATTAGATTAAGATATCTCTCGTTTTTTTTTGCAAAACATTTTGTTGTAAATACCCTGTATGACCTTCCTGCTAAACGATCCCCATTACGATCCCATAAAAATTCAATATGGTATCCCCTTATGCGCATCCCTCGAAATGGGGAATCACCAGGCGGCTCATGAATCTTGTCCCACGGGCGGAGTTCTGTGTCGTCAGCTAATACGAATCAGGGCTAAATGCTCTGGCCGAGCCAATAAATGTGCTTGTGCACCCACCCACCACTTGCCTGCCCCATTCTGGAGAATTCCCCCCTCCGATCTGGTACACAAGTCCAGCACCCCTGACTTCTTGCCCTTTGTCCTTTTGGCCACACTTGCCGGGCTCACTTTGATTTGCACGCATGAACTCCGTTTCCTGTGCAGTGAAAAAAAAGGTATTTACATTTTAAATATATCCTTGAGTTGCACCTAAGTAGAGCTTAAAAATGATTGATGTCAGTATCGATAATATCGATAATTTAGATATTTTCGATATTTTTATCTGTTTTGTATATCTGATACATCGATGTTTTTCTGACGTATTATTAGAGAGTATCAAATACAAAACCACTTAAAGTTGGGGAAAATTTCCATTAAAGAACCGCAAGTTCTTGATAATTTATTTTTCTTTGGTATCATAAATTGTATGGAATACTTTGATCGATAAATGTACATTATCATTTCTAAAGGTGTTTTTAAAGTATTTTATAATAACTTCATCGAATGACATGTTCTCTTTTATTTGTATAATGAGTATACTGCACAAAATATTGTTTTTAGATGACAAATTATGATTAAGAATTTATAGCAAAAAGAGTGAAATATTTATGATATTATCTATGAGTTACTAAGCATCTTTTCGCACAGTGCAGCCTCTGCTCCTTCGAAATCACAGCCTCCTGGCGTTGAACTGAACGGCGTGTCAATGTTTGTTTAGCACCCCTCTTTTGCCATCCTGCTAACCAGATTTCAATTTGTGCCGGAGCAAAGTGTTTATGAGATTTCGAGCTGCCGCTGCTAAATGGCCGAAATCCTAGTGTCCTGGGACACCCCCACAGGACTCGAAGGACTCGCCAGGGAAGTCGGGGATCTGCGTGTGCGTCCGATATACATATACCTCTATATACACTCGGTTTTATTCTTCTTCCCTTTGTTTGACTTTGTTTTGTCCTGTTTGGTTTGGTTTGATGTAATGTGACATGATGGTTTCATCAAAAGCGCATTAAAAACAAAGCGAAATAATAAACAAAAGAAGGCGGAATAGAGCAGGGAATTCCGTTATGGACTTTGTATCTTTGTATCTCGGAAATAAGCCAGCTCATTTTTGTGAGCTACTTGAAATGCTGATCTGTTCTCTAAGGTTCCATTCTAAAAACCTTTTAATAATAATTAAGCTATTATTTTATATTCCTATTATATTTACCAAGACTAATAATTATTTTTAATGAATTTTTTTTAGAAACTTAAAAAGGAAATCTGTATATCAAGGTCACTACATTTTTTTCTCTACTCTAAAAATTGATCAAATTATGCTAGCCAAGAGGAAAACTTGCTTTGGATTTATTAAGCCAACAAGGGTTAGCCTCACAGGATCTCACAGGCCAATGCACTCCGTTCCGAGTCCTGCGAAAGGAACTTTGGAACGGGAGTCAAATCAAGGCAGCAAAAGGATTCAGGCCATTAAGTTCCGGAAGCGAGTTGATAACCAGACAACAAGTATACAAATCCAGCCGACCACTGACACGGGACACAGGATTCAGGCTGCAGGATTCAGAATTCAGGATTCAGGACTCACGACTCAGGACTTCGTGGCATTACGTAGCTGTCCTGGCTGGAGATATTTATGCGTGTTTGTCTGTGTTTGTTTGTTCATTGCAGTAATTGGCTGGCGGGTCCTCCGACAAACAACTTTTGTGCATATATGCAAACCCAAAAAAAAAAAAAAAAAAAAAAGCGAAAACTAAACGGGCAAAGAACCCAAGAAGGAAAATGAATCAAAGCGAAGGCATCCACGATAAACTTTTTGGCCCGCTGAAAATTATTCCTCGCCTCTCTAGTTGGATGGGTTATTTCTTTTTAGAAGTAACTGATGGAAACAAGAATTACCGTGGAAAAAAAACAGTATATTATATTATAGGACATTTAAAATAAAAGTGTACTCATAGGTTTTGAGAAAGTCAAGACTTTTTGCATATAAAAACCCTAGATGGTTCTGTATAATAGATAAAATAGTTGTATTATAGTTACTTCTTGTAGTAAATATCCTTATATTTTATTATACAACTACTGACCGTAGATAATTTGTACACCGAATTAAAAAAAAAGGTTTTCCCGATTTGTATTATAAATTTTCTAACCTTGGTTCCGTATACCCCGTTCAATCATTTATATGCTAGTTACTATTGTTTTGTTCGTCCAGCCTGGATGAGTAAATAAATAAAAGAGCCGTCAGCGGGAATTAAGCAACCCTTCCGTTGCGAATAAATCAGCAAATTAATCGCACAGCCGAGTGCAGACCGCAGTGACTACTGTGCCGTTGCGTCCACCACCCCTCTTCTTTTTCCGCATTTCCATTTCCACCATTTCCACCATTTTCTCCAACTACAAGTCCAACTCCCGGAAACGGAAACGCACACACAGTTAGCCACACATCAAAAAACTGAAACCGAAATTCGAAAATCGAGCAAACTTTGCACACACTCAAGTGGATTTAAATTGGTTTTGCTTAACCGCAGTCGAGATTGGATTTTAAAATTTCACTTCTTCAGTTATTTGTTGCTTCTTTTTCGGTCCTGTCTGCCACTGAACGGCGACACATTTCCGCTTCCGCTGGCCAGAATAAAAAAAAAACTTAAACCCTGGCTGGGTTTCATTTGATTTGACTTTTCACGTTTCATTTAGCAAACGATTTCATTAGTTAAAAAGCGCAGTTTCTTTCCCTTTGCTTTTTTTTTCAGGGGGGTGTCCTGCACATATTGTCCATGTCCATGTCCTTGCCGGCTTTCCTTTTTCTTTTCTTCCCCCTTTTTCAATCGTCCGGGCGTAGCGGCCCCTTTGTATTCTCGTTTTTTTTATCGCCATTCAAGTTTGTTTTTCCGCTTAAAGTATTTTTATTGAATCTCCTTATCGTTTTTTATGGGCCACTCACCCAGTGGTCCATCGAGCACAACAAAAACACCCCAACCCCCCGATTAATGCTAATCTAAACAAATTCTGTCATTAAGGGTCCTTGGATAGTCTCCGTCTCCGTCTCCGGAAATGTCGCGCTGCTGGCCTTCTAGTTCCACATAAAATATTGTCAATCAATTCAATTACAAGTTGACATCATTGTTACTTATTGTTGACGTCAATTGTCCGGCGGCTGTAACCCACCCACCCACTGCTTGGCCTGGAAACCCCCTGATTTATGGAGTTGTCCGGAGTTTACTGACCATTCTTATCCAAGGACCCAACCCCTGACCTGGTTTCCCAAAAGGAGATGGACTGATGGACAGAGGTCCAAGCTTTTTTTTCTTACAAGAAAATATAGCCTGCTGTTACGAGAAAGTAATATATATACATATATATACAAGGCAATAAATATCATCTTTAAATGTAGAAAAGAGGTTGAAAATTTTCGATATTTTCACAATATGGATACGATAAATTCGATGTTTTGAAGGAAAAGCATATGTATATTACTATATTGTAAATTATACCTTAATTATATGCAAAAAAAAATATATATTTTTAAGGTCTATTAAATAAATATTTTTTTTTAGGTCACGTAGGCATTTGTTTAGAACTCATTTGACTTTAAGTTGACATTGAATAATAATAATATGACACTTAGTTAACAATTTAATAATAATTTAGATATTTAAGCAGACTGAAGACTTGATGGGACTTATTACCCAATAATTTCCGGCTCTTCAAGGTCCACTCGATCTGCTTTTTTGGATGCGTGTCTACTCGAATTACCGATCAGACCCTCAAAGTTACGCCAACCCCTTTCAGTTGGTCGGCAATTAGGCGGCGCACACACTCACACAGGGTTAAAGGTCAGTGGGTGGGAGGACCCAGGACACTCACACACACACTTCATGGCAACCCTTTTAATGACTTCCGTTCACTCGCTTTTCCATCGCCACCAGGATCGCCGCTTGTCGCTAATTGCCACCGAAGAGCCTTTCCATTTCCATTTCCATTTCCATTGATTGATTTCCCTGCTCGACTTTCTCCTTGCGATCACGTTGGAAAGGCTTTGTCCGCCGGTTGCCTTTGTTTATTTACCAATAATAATGCAATAAAAGGCCAAAAAGGTTGAACTATGGGTAGCCCCCCAAAAGAGACACCTTTTCCACACTGAGGAAAAATATTTACATGTTTTATATGCACATTTTAATAGGGGTTTTAGTGTTGAGAAACAAAATATGAGATTGTGGTTTATTATGTTATAATATGTATGGTGTTAAGTCATCAGCAATTCCCACGGAAGTTTATATGTGTGTGCGTCTTCAGTACTTCCAGAGCTTCCAGGGTTCCGTATTATAGCATCAGTATCGTATTATTTTGCGTAGCATTGAAAATAAAAAATATATCCATTATATATTATATTCAGCATTTCCCACGGAAGTTTATATGTGTCTGTGCGTCATCAGTATTTCCAGAGTTTCCAGTGTTTTGGATTATAGCATTAGTATCGTGTTATTTTTCGTAGCGTTGAGAATATTATGATTATGATGGGTGAGCATGGTTATTAGCCAGACCCAAATGTATAATGTATTTCTTCATCACTCGTATTTCCAACCGATTTGTGTGGTTTTTGTGTTCTATAATAAAATTTTAATTAAATTTTAAGTCTCTTGATATTAAGTGCTTTACCTATGGGCGAGAAATCCCAAGTAGTGTCCAGTGTATGTGTCCAGATAATTCATCACCTTGCATTTTCGCCCGCCTAGGAAAATGCTGTTTTTTTTTGTGTATATCTTTTTCGATTTCTAATTAATTTTTTTTTGTCTTACCAAGGTGAGAGCCAGTTTTTGGCTTTTTGTTTTAGGTGTTGATGCAAAGGAGTATACAAACTGAATGAACACATTGGGACCTGGGTCTGGGGTCTGCTTTTGACAGCTCAGAATTTCGATTTGAATTTTAAGGCGTCGACTACTTGGGATCAGGGCCAACGTGATTTGAGAATTTTGTATTATTTTGTTTTCTTAAAAATAGGTTTTATTTAAATAAAAAATTTTTAGAAATTAGGATATAATTTCTATGTTACAATATATAAATCAGTAAAAGAAATATATAATATAATTTGATAGATAATTTTCTACAAACAAAAATTTCAGAGGTCCAGTGCTCGAGTTCTTTGAATTTTTTTTAATAATGCAATTTAATACGAATGATATTAAATATTTGATTTTGTTATAAGTTATAAGTTAAGATTGTATGGTAATATATGAAGAATATTTTTTTTCGCTCAGTGCCCCCTTTACAGGTGGCTCGCGAGCTGTTCTTTTGTCTGCTAATGGCTAGGATCGTATCGTATGGTATGGCATCGTATCGATGTCGTGGGAAGGTGGTGCAAAGGTGCAGTAGCACCACGCATTCAAATTCAAATTAGTCGATCGACACCACAACAACCACCGAGGATATAAACATAATATATATGCGCCCCATAGGCCACTCGCCGGGGTCATGTGAAAGTGCAAATTTATATTGGTTTAATGGGTTTTCCCCTTTGTTTTGTCTGTGATTTCGCGGCTGAGAAGGGGGTGTACAGTGTACACTGTACACTGTTCATATATAGAGTATATTTATTATGAGATATGCGTGCGCCCTTTATGCAAATCATGGTAATGCAATATTTAAATTGATGTTCGTGGCTTTTTAATGGCGCACGTTTCGCGGCTCCGCACGCAACTCCCCTTCTCTTTCCTTTGCCGTTGTCCTGTCTCTTTCTGCATTCATTAGGGGTAAAATCATCTCACTAGTTCCCCTTCCCGACTTATTGACATGTTAATTAGGCATGTGAGCATCGAATCAGTGGGAAAAGTTGCTGCTGAAATGTGGGAACTTGGAACTTGGCGATACGAAACCATTAAAAGTTGTATTCTTTTTTTTAGAGTTTTTGGAGAATATTACCCTTAAAATATATGATTCACCATAATATTAATGGAATTTTAGTCTTATTAGCCTATTACTTTTTCAATTACCTCATCTTATATTTATTTATTCACCATATTATTTATGGAATAATACAAGATGGTTGTCTAAAATTATTAAATAAACTTTTTGTAAAGATATATGTAATTCCCATTCTATTACTTTTTCAATTACCTCATCTGATATTTATTATTTCTCGATGCCCAATCTCACCCCGATTAATTACTCATTTCAGATTTCCCACAAAGACCTGCTGATCCCTGGTTATCCCACCATATCCGTCCAATTTCCCATCCCCCACCATCGGATCTGAGTTCACACCCCATTAGAAAGTCAATCTGTGAATGCACACAACCTCATTCACACCCATTAAGTAAACTTTCTGGGTATCTCTTGGTCAGCAAATCGTCAACATATTGGCCGCATCTTCATAAATAAGAAAGTGTGACTGCGGCGCACCCAAAAATTCGAAGGGGAAAAAAAAAAAAACAACAACGTGCCACGTGCGGGTGGAAAAACAATGGGGGTGGTGCAAAAACCCACACACAGAAATTCAGAAACAATTGACTCTGGACAAGATTACATGGCAGGAAATTCAATTTTAAAAGCAGCTGCCACGTGTCGTTTTAGTGCTTGAAATTGTTACAGTTATTGCCTCGAAGGGTGGGTGTTTGAATACTGAATACTGAACACTGAACACTGAATCCATCCAGTCATCCTCCATCGCTCATCGATGAGCCCGACTATATAGGTATATGAATACGTAATTCCCTTTTTCCAAATTGAGCAATAAACGCGCTGCGCTGCGCGTCTCTTTCAAATTGCGTTACAAATAAACAAAAGAGTGGGGGTTCGAAAAGCGGAAACGGAAACACACCACCGCCAACGTGTTAATTTCCAGGGGGTGGCTTTCAATGCTTTTTGCCTTCAGCTTTCAGCTTTCCAAAAGGCCTCTTGCGGTGGCTAAAAGGGCGTGTGATTGACTTAATTGACTATGAAAATGAGAAATTACATGCTGATAATGACTCTGGTCGCGAAATGAGCAACAACATTATTAAAAACGCCAAACGCCATTCCAAAACCAGAAAAAAAAACAAACCCCAGGACTGTAAAATGCGCCATCAACTTGCGACTTAATTTGATTTGATTTTCTCCCTCCTCTCCTGCCGCCACCCACTGGCTTTTTGGCTTTTATGGCCCCGCATTGGCTAATTAGAATTGCGTCCCGCGACTTTGTAAACCCCATTTTCCAGGCCGGGATCAGGACATTGTGTTCGCCCCCGAGAGTTTGGTCATTAAAATTGCATTTGGCCTGCGGACACGAGTCCTGCCAGGAGACAAATCAAAAGGTCAGCCTTTTCACAGCCAGGGGAAAAACATTGGTGGGAAATGGTCAACTCTATGTGGAAATCGTGACATTGTTATTATGCCAAAAATACCTGTATTACCATAAATATCTAGAAATTGGCTTTATATATTCTGCAATATTAACTTCCCATGAAAATAAGATGTATTATCCAGGTACATTTATTTCATAATATCACTTGAAACATGAGATCCATAACATTAGGTGTTGAGTAGTGAGTATTAAGTAGTAAATAGTTTGTAAATCTGGTTTAAAAATACATCAAGTATATTAGTTTCTCCTGGATATTCTGCAAAATTATGTTTAAAGATGAAACTATTATGAGAAAATGTCCGCTAGACTTCTGTAAAAGAGAATTTCAATTTCCTAACGAACTAATCTAAAATAAGCTCCTCTTACCGCTGTCTTCTGGTGACGAGTTTTCATTATTTCCCGCTAGCTTCCTTTCTTTCCTCAATGCCTCCTTTTCGGCCCTTAGAAGCTTATTTAGGCACTCTGTGCAGAGGGTCTTCGGCCAATGCATGTTTGTACGAATAAAAAATGTGAAATTTTTAGTAAGCCTCTCCACCAACTGCATTCTCAGACCGCGATCCCCAAACAGTAGAATTACGTGGCGGTGAGCATCCATGCAGAACGTGCAATAAAAGCCTTCAATTTTAGCCTTAGCGATGCTGCCCATTTTGTCCTCCAGAATATTCTCCTCTACTTGTAAGAAGTGCGAGTCATAAAGGTTCTCTTTTTGGCCAAGTGAAGTGTGCCAGGGTTGTCGCCTTTTTCGATAGCACGATAAAAAAGTGTTGGAAAAGGGAAGGAAATCCTAAAAAGTATTTCCCCTATATACTTTTTCAATACTTCAACTGAAAAATACAAAAAAGTACTCCGAAATACCAAAGACCCTAAAAGTACCTCACTTTTGCCCACATCTAGTTGCCTATACACAGCCTATGTAAAAAAAACAGGGTTATAACCCCATAACTCCATAACCTCACCCCAGTGTAAATAGATTACACTATGCAGCATCAAAAATTAACCTCGATGAATGCTATATTTTTGGATTCGTTACGAATTCCCAAGTTAAACTGCGTTTTCCAAAGAGTTCCCCGACGCAAGGATTCTTTGCAAAAGGACTTCAAAGTTCGAAAAATGCTGAAATTGACCAACTTTGCGGAGCTCTCAGAGGCAAATGGGTGCATGGCTTGGTTCGAAGTTAAAGTTTTTTAAAAGATACACCCTTTATCTTTCAAACCCCATACATAAAATAATTTTAGGATTTTTTTTAAGGCAGAAATAAATTCCAAAAATTTAGTCAAAAAACTGAAAAACATACAGCTGCTGTCAAAATAGTAGCAGTGTTTCCGCCTTGTGTTTTTAAAAGTTTGATGTTGTAATTTTTTCTTATCCAATTAGTCTAATAGTAAAATTATAATCAATACAATATTACCAGGAAAAGATCAATTACAACAACAAACTTTTAAATACACAGGGCGGCAACACTACTACCATTTTGACCGCAGCTGTATACTTTTATGTTTTTTGACTATGTTTTCTAGAAATTGTTTCTGCCTTAAAAAAAATCTTAAAAATTTTTTAAGTATGGGGTTTTAAAGATAAAGGGCGTATCTTTTAAAAAACTTTAACATCGAATCAAACCATGCATCCATTTGCCTCTGAGAGCTTCGCAATGTTGGACAATTTCAGCATTTTTCGAACTTTGAGGTCCTTTTGCTAAGAATCCTTGCGTCGGGGAACTTTTTGGAGAACGCAGTTTAACTTGGGAATTCGTAACGAATCCAAAAATATAGCATCCATCGAGGTAAATTTAAAAAGCACTAAAAATGCTGCACAGTGTTATTAAAGTCAAATATACATACAGGGTATTCCCTAAACTGTTGAATTGGTGAATTGTTGAATTTTGGTCAGCTGTTAATCAGCTGTTCCATACAAAGTCAACTTTTAAAAAATTTCTACAATTCAACAGTTTAGAGAATACCCAGATAATAAAATAAAAATATATAATTTTCCGGATGGAAATGGATAGCCTGGGAACCAATCTGCTGGGCATTCCGCCTGGCAATCTGCACCCTGCGTCGAGTGGTTACGGCAAATCAGAAAGCGTAATTAACTTGGGCCTACAATCTCCAAGTCCCCCCCAACTCATATAATATATATATTTATACATACGACTGCATGGCCACTTATCGATTATTTTATTAATTGTAATCTCATTTATTTGCCCCTTTTCTGCTTTGTGGTTCCTGGCCTGATTCTGATTTGCTTCGGTCTGTTCTGTACTGTTCAGTGTTTAATTTCCACGTTTATTTTGTGATAAATTTATTATTTGATCGGTCTGTCTACGTAGGCCGTATATATATGTATTATATAGTGTGTGCGTGCTTTAATCAATTTTTCATTACAAACTGGCAGTATCTGTATCTGGACTATATCTGTGTCGCCGATGTCCGATGTCCGTCCGCTTGCGGCTTTATCAATGCCAAATTCGAGGAGTTCCAGTCTCAGAGGTCCGAGGCATTCGGAAATCGCCTCCGATCAAGTGTTGTAAGCAATGCCTTTACCCCAACCACCAACCCACCTGTTCAATAGCAATGTTCTTGGGACACAAGTGTCCGGAGGCGCCCCCTGAATATCTATGTGTAATGGATCCCCGATTTCGATTCCGATTCCGAATCCGCCGTTTCGGAATCACCTTGTTCCCATTACCCAATTCGCTTGAAAAGAGCTGGGCAAATACCGAGTGTCTGACGAGGGGCCTGGAATTTCCCGGTAGACAGTTTCTAACCTCGGACATTAAAAACAAAAAAACAAGACCACTCATTGTGATTTGTTATATACAACCTAAACCCAATTAATCATTACAAATACGATTAGTTGGAAATTGCAATAAATAAGAAATCGAAATTCTTAAACCTTAAAAAGCAAAACTTAGACTAAAACTTGTGTCTTCAAAAAGAAAATGGATAAACAATATTAGCGAATTTAGAGATGTGCCACAGTTTTGGGTCACCTTTTTGGGCGGGACATCAGGGACTCGAACCTTTTTGTAGGTTACCTTTTTGAAAGCCATTAGAAACTTGGAAAAATGGTCAATGAAAAAGTGGAAAGAAAATTAATAGAATGAAGAGAATCTAAGAATATTCCTTTTTTTAGGTCAGGAACGCAGGTTTTGGGTCACCTTTCATCGGGACTTTGAAATATACAACATTTAGAGGTCCGAAAATTTTAATCGTGGGGCGTAAAATTCATCATAATTAGGTTACAAAATCCAAACAATATGAAATATATTATTTTAAAACTGAATATTACAAATATGGGAAAAAAATTGCTAATTTGCTATTTTTATTAAAAAGCAGGTTGATAAGACTGTCATTGGAAAAGGGGATTCGTGGAAAAAAGCAGTGCCCGCTGTATCCTACAAATGCATTTACCGTAGTGGAATCCACCTGAAAACCCCCCTGGACCCCCCGTAATAGTAGACCCCTAACACGCCGATAAGCTGCACGTTTGTACTTGACATGACGGTCATGCATGCTTGACCAGGTGGGAAATCTACAGGGGTGGAGTTCGGGGGAGTACGAAACGGATCGGATCGGGCCAAATAACTGTCCAAGCAGTTGTGAGACATATCGCTGATATCGCCCCATCGGGGGCAGCGGTATTCCGGGCGGTCTGGGGACTCCGGGGAGTAGGCAATCAGCTTGGCGCAGCGTGTAAACGTCGCGGGTTGTCCAACAGTCAAACAGGCAGTGGGAATCGGGCTTATCGATATGGTACCCCCGATTTTACCCCCTTCTCCCATGGGGGAGGGGGGTAAAAAATATTATTAGTTTATTCCACGATTGTGCTGCTGCTGCCTGCCTGCCTGGCTTCTATATCACTGGCCCACTCTAATCTAGATCATTGAATTGTATTGAAATGTACTCGCTGGGGCCATATACTCGTTTACGTACGGTTACTATATATATACGCACTGGGCACAATCAACATCCTGTCCGATCCGATCCGATCCGCGCGATACGGGTATGCAAATGATTAGGCCACGATTAGGGGCTGTACTTGGATTTCTGACACTCCCACTCGTAATGCCTACCACCCTCCACCTATCCACCTATCCACCTATCCACCCCCCGGATATCGCTAATCGATGGCTTTATGGCCACATATATTGCCTGCTGCTGGCCATTCAAACGGGTTATGGGCCCCATAAACGGGTGCAGCAATTATGTACTTCTGGTAATTTGCTGGCCAAGAGCCCACTGCGTGCTACGATTTTCGATGGACAAGTGGGGGATCCTGCTATGGATATAGGCATATCTCTCAGAATATGCTGGAAAAATGGTTATTTCTTTTCTAGTCGCAGCTCTTTTAATATTTTCCACACATTGTTAAAAATTATTTAAATACAATTAAAATGTTTATGTTTAAGACATACAAACTAAAAAACAATTTAAACGTCAAGTTAACCAACTGAAATAATTGTTGAATACTTTAAAAAATTTTATTGTTTCCTTAATATACGATAAACCTACAAAATAACTATTTTTAGGTTGCCCTACAGTATTTTTTATAAAATTCCAAGTATATCCAAAATTTAATCCTTGGTTAACCTCCAGTTAACTGTTACTGCCAATAATTGATCAAATATTTTCTCAAAATATGATCAACCAGCAACGAATTGAAATATATATGGACAGCACTAGAACATCACAAATGATCCAATTAAAACAGGAGGTAATCCAGTTAACCTCCAGTTTAATACTGATCTTTGGTTAAATTTTTATAAGTGTCAATCATGAGCAATGCTCATGGTGGTGGCCCAGTGATTAGCCGAAGCTTTCCCCATTAAGATGGATCCAAAAAAAAAAACAAGTCGCTGCGATCCCCGATCATAAAAATATAATTAACCCGAGTGGAGAATAACCATAGAACGCGGCGTATGTAGGGGCAATATTTATGGTACTTCAGCTGCAGTTGTTGAGTTTATGGCCCGTGTAAAAAAGAGGGTTTCGATTTCGTATTCACCTTTTCGGGTTGCTGCAATACGAATATATATATATATATATGACCGGTGGCCCACTTGATGGTTATTAATAGACCGCACAAATAATATTGCCATTATGCTCGGGATTCGGATCAGCAAAGCAATCGAATTCGAATATGGGTTGGGTGGGTGGCCATAGCTATAGCATGTGGGTCCACTTGTGCCCCAAGTGCCAGTATTCCATTGATGAGTAATTTAATTTGTCGTTTATTAGAATAGCACTCGTTTTATTTTATGAGATACTCCAGCGCCTCTACTTGACTTCGAGTTCTTTATTTGCCAAATGTGTCAGAGCGAGATATCTGTGCCCGCTGTTCCTATATCTTCCATAACTGATTTGCCGTCGGTGGTTATATGGGTATATATGTATATATGGGTATAATGCCCCTGATGGCTAGTTAATCGGCTCCAAATCGGAGCCACCAGACAGAGTGAGTGCTCCACGAGCTAAGGTCCCCGATGATTACCCCTTATTTCTATCCGGGTCTGGGCCTGACTGAGTCCCCCCGTTATCGGATCGGACCCACTGGCTTTATGGCCTCCACAGCCCCCGCAGCCCCCGCTTCCCCCGATCTAGAAATGCCAAACGAATATTGTTTTGGTAGCGTAATCAAGCGAACTGGACGGATTACGATGCCAATCGCAGAACGGTAGCTAACAACCATAATCAAGACCATATTTATGGTTTGTCCAACATGTTTATACGCCCCGGGCGATACGTAGGAACCTCACCCTACAAAAAATGCGGGGGAGGGTGCCAGTTTACGATCCCATAAAGTGCATAGGGCAATAACTCTTTGAGCAATAACATTTTCAGATTGGTCTTTAGGTTTTCATAAGCTTTTGTTTTTTCCAGGTGTATGTCAATGTAGGTTAATAAAAAATAAAAACTTTTTTTGTTTTTTTTTTAAATTTTTGTAAATTGTTTTTATTAAATCTCTAAAATGTATTTTGCAGTTTGTAGTGTTGCTTCGCTTTGCTTTCTGTCTTGAATACACTTGCCGTCTCTGTCTTTTGTTAACATTTATGAACTCATTACTTGCTATAAATTCAAAGAGTTTTTTCTTTTACACGCTATACACGCACACACACGAAAAAAAATATCGGTTAGGACTAAGTGTCTATATTATATATGTATTCATACAAAAAAAAAAATGGGGGGTCATTAAATTCTGTCTAAAAAATTTGAACACTAATTACGCTTGCTTTAAATATAATATTTATGTATATATAGTACAGGTTTAGTTGCATTGCCGTTTATAAGTTTTTCTTTTTTGGAATAATCCTATTTACTTAAGTTCTTTTTTTTTTGGTTTAATATTTACAGAATTTTTGTATTAAGTTTCGACTTAGGTGTAGAAAAAAAATAAAAAAAATTGTTGTCTAACTCTAGATTTTTATAAGTATTATCAACTTTAGTGCAGTAAAAATGGGGGAGTTATTTTATGGGACTTAAATGCCCCATGACAAGAGATACTAGATATATAGTTTTCCTTTGTCATGGGCATTTTTTGTCTTGATCAGGATTGGGGGTTTTATGTTTATATATAGAGGTAACCCCTGACTAAGTGGACTATGTTTAGTATATATATATATTATATAGTTTTTGGGACTAACTTATGTACAGGAATGACTCAAGTTGGAATCTGTGAGACTATAAATTAGTTGTGATCTTTATGCATGTATCAATTATTATTTTATTTCCTTCGTTTTATTTTATTTTATTTTATTTTTGGCTTCTCCGGGTTTCTTGGGGGCCTGGTCTTTGATGGTTGATTATTGCACCAAGGGTTCGGTTTGGGGTTCATCTATTCGATCAGATCCTAGCAATATTAGGGCCACCAGGCCGCCCGTTGGGCATGGGCATGCGGATGGGCGTGGCCGTGGGCGTGAGCATGGGCGGCATGGGCATGGGCGTGGGCATGAAGACCGGCGGCCGCTGCGGCGGCATGTTGATAGGCGGCTGCCCCGTTCAGTGCGACCAAATGATGAGCGGCCGCTGCATTTTGCATGGCCGTGGCGGTGGCCACTGATGAGACGGAAACACAATCGGCACCCAGCTTGGAGCCATCACCCAGACATGGTTTGCCATTCCTCACCAGCACAGGAACGGCGACGCGACGCGGCGATGGCAAGGCGCTTGGATGATGCGGATGTGTGGCATGACCATGAAGCAAACCCGGATGCCCCTCATAGCCCTTCTCGTTCTGGGCCCTCTTCGTCTTGTAGCGATGATTCTGGAACCAGATCTTCACCTGCGTCGGCGTCAGGCGTATCAAACTGGCCAAATGCTCCCTTTCCGGGGCACTCAAGTAGCGCTGCTGGCGGAAACGACGCTCCAATTCGTAGGTCTGCGCCTTGGTGAAGAGCACGCGACGTTTGCGCTTCTTGTTCGGCAGACCATCGGATCCATTGGCACCGCCACCCGAACCATCGGCATCGTCCACATCGTCGATATCCTCCTCGATGCCATCCTCATTCAGGCTATCATCGTGGCCACTACTTGCTCCATTCAGGGCCTCGTGCTTTAGGCTATTGTTGTTATTATTGTTTGTGCTATTGTTGTTGTTATTGTGCAGGGCATGGGCCGCCGAAGGACCTCCGCCACCTCCCTGATTGGTCAGCGATGATCCGTGCAGGGCATCGCCCACGGATAGGGCATCGCTATCGGCCGATCGGCTGTAGCTCTTGTAATCGCCCGAAAGTGCCGGCGATGTCTGGCAATTGGAACCGATGTAGGTGTACGATACCTCCGATGTCACCGGGGAAGTGCTATCCGGACTGGCTGGCTGCTGGGTTCCTGCAAAATGGAAAAAAGAAAGGGTTCAGGATTAGATTAAATAATAATATTAGCTATAAAACATACACACAAAAAAACATATCGTTTTTACCATGCAATACTGGTACAATTGAAATTAAATAACATCATTTAGCCGATTTCACTCTCTGACTTCGAATTTAAAATAGAGCGGAATAGCGCTTAAAGTTACATGAGTGGGAGAACCTCGAGCATATCGAATTGATATACCGCATATCAAGTCAAAATTGATACCACATAATATCAAATTGATCATCTTTTCTTATCAAGTTCTTTTTGGGTGTAGAAACTAAAGCTCTTTTTTGAAGAAAGAACAAAAAAGTCGTTTAAAAATCCTATAAAATAGCAAACATAATTTTTGTTCACTTAGGCGCCCGAATTTGTTTAGGTTTTCAACTACAGATAGCTCAAAAAAAAAAAAAGACAATGACAAAGTGAGAGAGCTGGGTGGGAATTTGTCAGCAATTGAAATACCTTTTTTGGTCGTAAATTAATGCACCGACACACCCCTTAGCATCGACATTCATATATGAAGATCCTAGGTGATCGAGCAGAATTCGACATGAAAAAGAAAACAGGGGGAAAGTCAGGATGGCAACTATGGCAATTGGATTAGGCGCGACATGAGGCTGCTGCGGTCGATACACGATCCGAATGCCAAATGCCAGATGTATAGTCCAAAGTGTCAAATCAACCCCATCCCCATTCCCTTGCAGTTTCACCCTAATAACGTCAATTAGGCGGAGACAAACAGAGATCGCATACACAATCGTATATACCACATAGGGAGGTATATTCCCTCGTCTCCTTGTCTACCTGGAACGATCGTTTCGATCTCCCGCCGACCGACTGACTGCTGACCTTCGGGCCTGTACTAAAAACCAGGAATCAGGAATCGGGAATCGGGAATAGGGAACCAGGATGCTAATGAAAGGGCGACACAAAAGCCAAACCTCAAACACATCAATGGCAGTTCGGGGCTCTTCCGGTTCGCCCACTTTTGATAGAGTTCCCGACATTCAGGCACATAGATAGTGATTTATCGCCGGGCGTGGCTATATATCTGATATTCTGGGGCGGGATCCTGGCAACCGCAGAGAGGAATTTTTGGGTATTCATTGGGAATATTGGATATTGTATAAGAATAATAGACAGCATTTTATAAAAATAGATATTATCAAGTAATCAGTTTAAGAACTGGAACTTTAAATGTTTTACAAAATATTATATTTAATATTTTCTATTTAATCTGTCAATTAAACGTTATAAAAATAATATTATTGCCAAGTGATTTTAAATTTTGTATAAAATTATAAAAATGTATTATTTTCTATAGGTTTATTTAAGGGTGATTTTTCTGTTTTTACCTGAATAACCATTGACTAAACAAAAAAATCCAAGGGTCGTAGGAGCTGCTAATGCTCATCCATTAGGCCCCTCCTCCAAAACCTCCAAACCTCATTGATTGCAGTTGCCCTGCGAAGGTAACAAAAAAAAACCTATCCGCTCACCATGACAACTCAACAAATTAATAACTTAATATAATCAAAACGACTCCTCCTCGACTTCTTCACAGCTGTGAAAATTCCCAAAAAAAAAAGAGCAGACAAGAACAAAAAAAAAAACGGCAAGCGGCCAGCAATTATAATTTGTAGCTAAACAAAAAAGGAATAATAAAAAAAGGGGAGAGGGACCAGGCGGAAGTGCGTGCCATAAATTTCCAGGACGAGAACTGTTTGGGCCGCAACAACAAGGAGCCATCGAATGGGCCAGCGATTGACTGTCCTGAATGAAGGACACGAAGGCTAATCCTCAAGTGTGAAGCGCATACAAACTATTAGTCAAGATTAAAAAAAAAAACGAAAAAAAAGGGGAAGCCCAACCCCAATCCAAAAAAGTGAAAAAAGGAAAACAAAAAACAACAGGGCCAGGATCAGACATGGCTCGTCACTAAATTCCACTCCCTTTACAAGCACCTGAATCCTGCCGAATCCGCGGGGTATGCAAACACAGCTGCCTCATCGCTCGACTGCTCTTTTTCCTTTTTTTTTTTTGGTTAGGAACTCTTTTTATGGAGGAGTGAGTGGGCAATTACGAAACAATATCATTAGTCGGCCAGTTAATCGGGGGTTAAACGTATTTCCAAATTGGAAAATCTGCCACTCACCGATGAATTTATTTTGGTTTTTTAAGATCACAGTACCTATATTATGTTTTACCTACACTTAAGATGACCTAAATTTAAGTATTCCAATATTATTAGGTATTTTTCAAGTGATTCTTGTTTCTTCACCAAAACTCTAGTCCTAAAGTTAAAAATGCACTTGGTATATAAGAACATTATATCTTTGCCATATGCACGATCATAATGATCAAGGAGAAACTTTTTAACTGAACTATTATCACCCAATATCCTATAAAATCTATATAAATCCATATAAATACAATATTATAATATTATTATTAAACTACATCAGAATCAGGAATATCATTGAGAAAACAAAGATCCTCTCTATAAGCAGAAATCTCAAGGAAATTTTTTAATTGAACATCACTCAATATCCTATAAAATCTATATAAATCCATATAAATACAATATTATAATATTATTATTAAACTACAGCAGAATCAGGAATATCATTGAGAAAACCAAGATCCTCTATATAAACAGAAATCTCAAGGAACTTTTCAATTGAACTATCATCACTCAATATCCTATAAAATCTATATAAATACATATAAATATAATATTATATTATTATACTACATCAGAATCAGGAATATCATTGAGAAAACCAAGATCCAATCTATAAGAAGAAATCTCAAGGAAGTTTTCAATGGAACTATCATCACTCAATATCCTATAAAATCTATATAAATATAATAATATAATATTATTATACTCCTACATCAAAATCAGGAATATTATTGGAATATTATTAAACAGAAATCTCAACTCACCGTATAGCTCGTTCTCCTTGATCCACGCACTCCTGCCCGAGTGCTGGAGCATCGTTTGGGCCATGTGGTGGTACGAGGACATCTCATCGCCGAAGCTGCCGGGGAAGTTCTTGGGCAGATTGGGCAGGTATTGGCCGGCGGCCACGGCAGCAGCGGCGGCAGCATTGTGGCTGGCCAGCAGATGGGCGGCAGCGGCGTTGGCATGGGCGTGGCTCTGGGCATCCGCCCCACTTTGGTGGTGCGCCCCCAGTGGAAGAGGGGCCACCGCCTGCTGGTGGTGATGCGGATGGTGGTGCTGCTGCTGGAGGTGCGGGTGCTGCTGCTGCTGCTGTTGGTGGTGGTGGTGGTGCGGGTGTTGCTGCTGCTGTGGGTGGTTGCTCGTTGGCTGCTGGGCGTGATGCTCGGTGGTGCTGTGGTGATCGGAGGAGGATCCACCGCCACCCGTTCCACTGCCATTGTGGTGCTCGTCCACCGAACCGCCGGCGGGCGTGGGCGAGAGGGCCGAGGGCGTGGCATGAGCACCACCACCGTGTCCATTGGTGGACTCACTGGCCGAGTGGTGGCTCAAATCACTGCCATGCTGGGCGGCTGCTGCAGCGGCAGCTGCGGCATTCTTCAGCTCGGAACCCTCCAGATTCAGGATGTCCGATATGTGGAAGCCGGAGCGCTGCGACGACGGAACCTTGGCATCGAACAAGCTGCAAGTAGATAAATTCACATTAATAATTAGATGGTTTCTATTTTAAATGATTAATTTTTTGTATGGGTAGTACCCAAAATATGCAAGAAATTCCTCCATTTTAACAGCCTGCCACTGAATGAAAACTAATTAAGCCAACTAAAAACGTAATTAAACTGACAATGAAATGGCAAAGCCTACTTAAATCGTTTATGAAGAAAATGTAGAAAATGTCGAGGAAAATATGGTCACACTTAGCTTTTTGAGAGACCCTTTTTAAGTAATATTGCTGGGGATTTTTAAATCCATTACCTTTCTATAAAATCTTTAAAAAAAGATGAATTGCCAAAATTTGTACTTGAATTTCTATATAGGCAATTAATTGCCCCCAACGACATTAATGATTAATGACCTGAAAAGGGACTTGGCATTTAGCATGCTCATTGCAGCGACATCCGGTGTCGATCTTATGAATGGAAGGAAGGAAGTTGCCACAAAGGGAGGTCCTTTTGGCCAGGATCTGTGCAGAGAAGAAAGACTACCTGTTCTACCTGCCGCGCTCTGACTTTCACAGATTTTCGCACTTTTCGCAAAGAGAAGAGGAAGATATATAGAATGTGCGTCCTTCTATATCCTTTTTATAATAGAGTAGAGCTCGAACTCTCGCACCTTTCCACCGGAATTAACTTTGATTAAGTGCACGCAAATCGCTGGATTATTGACACCTAGTCCCCGGGCAGAAACCGAGTTTTGATTTTCCTAATACCATCAACAATTAAACGCAAATCCGCTCGGGATATCGATGGGACGGCGGGACTATCTACCTGCTCGGGACGGGATGGGATGGGACAGGTCAGGGAATAGTTAGGGACGATTCTTGTCTCAGGTCGAAACAGGTCGTGCCACATGTTGGCGCAAGTTTGTCTGCTTCCGGTTTTCCCAACTCGAGTTGGGAGTTTTTCCCGAACAGAACTCGCGAATTTCCCACGCTATGCGGGGCATTCCCCGTCGTCCTGTGTGTGCGGAATTGGAATTCCCTTTTGCCCAGACAGTGTGACGCCAGGATCTCTGTCTAAAGGATCTGCAGCACACATGTCACCGCCGATGGGGGTTTCCCTGCGGCACTCACCCACCACCTACGGGAACTGGGAATTTCTAAGCCAGGCCCGAACAAGCGAACAACAAGCCAGAATTTCCAATCGCCAGGACCTTGAGTACTTGCCAGATCAAAAAGACGGGGGAATTACGTCGTCCCGTATCTCTGGTACTTGGTATCTATCTCTGGCCTTTGGTATCTCTTGTATCTCTTGGATTAGCCGGACAAGTCCATTAGCTGGATGGGATCGAGAAACTGATACGAAGGCAGGGGCTCGCAAGGGTGTGATCTTGAGCTCGGAGCTCAAGCGAGGGCATTGGTAGCTTATGACGGGACTTATGGGGTTTTTTCTTTGCTATCTACCCATCCTATAGGGACGAAGCTTAAATTTAAGCTAGCCTTGAGTTCAAAGAGTTAGTCTGTTGGGGATCCTTAAGATATCATATCATTTAGTGGGTGAAATATAGTATATAAATATTTAGGGGGTAATTAGTCAGACTTTAGTCCAACTCTTTGAAGCTTTACCTAAATATTAATATATAATATTATATAAATATTAAATTGGGGGTATATTTTCTTAGTCTGTTAAGGATCCTTAAGATATCATATGATTTAGTGGGTGAAATATAATATAAAAATATTTGGGGGGTAATTAGTAAGACATTAGTCCAACTCTTTGAAGCCTTACCAAAATATTAATATATAATATTATATAAATATTAAATTGGTGGTATTTTTACTTGGGGGAAAAGTATAAAAAGATTCTTAATGATGCTAAATTCCGATTCTCTAAGGCTCATATATGAGATCCCCAGAATTCATTTTATATGATGTATTTTGTATTCCTAAACTGTGTATTTATTTCTTTGTGAATAACATCATATTTACTAAAGGATATTATCCGCTACCTTTTTCCCCAATTCATCTATAGTGTTAACCCTTCTCTTAACCATTATCTTTGAGCTTTTTCTCTTAAAGATTTAGGGTATTATCCTTATATAGGTAAAGGTATCCTTGAGCTTATTTTTCTCAAGTTTTCAGGATATTATCCTTGTATAGCAATTAGTTAATTCTCCATCCAATCATCCATTGAGCTTACCCGGGCAGAGCGTTTCGCAGGGCCGCCGGATAGAAGGCGGCCGGCAGTAGGGCGTGGCTCCACGGCGGCAGCAGGATGGGCGACCAGGGCAGGAAGGGGGCGGCAGCCAGGCTGCTCATGCTGTGCAGACCCGGGAAACCGCTGAAGGCCGCCGCTCCCGTGGGAATCCGGAGCTGTTCCGGTGCCAGGCCGGAGAGGGAACTGCTGGAACTGCTGGTATTCGTGGGCACGGTGGTGCTGGCGGTGCTGAAGACTTTGGCCGATCGCTCGCGATCTCTATTCCGCTCCTCGCGATCCCGTTCCCGCTCCCGCTCCCGCTCCCTTTCCCGCTCTCTTTCCCGCTCATGATCCCGATCTCTATTCCGCTCCTCACGCTCCCGCTCCCTCTCCCTCTCCCTTTCCCTTTCCAGCGAGGGCGTGGAGGTGCGCAGCGGGCGTTTGGGCGTGGCTGGGGAGGCGGGACTGACGGTGATCGCACTTTGGGGCGAGGCGGGCAAGCTGCCGGCGCTGCCCAGACCGCTGCTATTGTCCCGCTCGCGATCCCGCTCCCGCTTCGAGGGAGTCCGCTCCAGGGATGTGGTGGTCATGTCGCTGGGCGACATCATGGGGCTGCCACTGTTCGATTTGCGACGCTGCGACGCGGGTGGCGGCGGCGTTGCCGGACTTTTGCGTTTCTCCGCCACTTTGGAGCTTTTTATTCGGTAATCACGCCAAAAAAATATATATATATATATAGATTGTTTATCACAAGCACTTGGGAGTTTTCTATGGATATATATATATCCTTTTTTCGAAAGCAACTCAAATTCCAGGCATAGTTTAGGGTTTATCAAGAGATAAGTTCGGGCTCGCGATTTATTTAGTTTCGAAAATCGAAATTTCTCAGTTTTACGGATCCGCGGAGCAGCGCACTCTAAACATTCCAAACTGAAGTGTCATCAACAACTAACGAGGCATCAAGAACTCGACACGAGACCAAGTCCAGCGGGCCAACAAGCAACAACCAAACAGCCAACGGCAGAAAAGTACCAGTACCAGGTCCGTGTGCTCGGGGTGTCTTTGGTTCATATCGGTATCTGTGTATCTGTGTCTGCATCCCTCTGCCATTGGGTACATAACACAGATACTCACACGCACACACACACACATCTGCGGACTTGAGAGACTCTCGGCTTTGTTGGGCGCGCTAAGTGGCTTCTCATGTCCTTTTCAACAAGGATACGAAGGATACGGGGCTACAATGTGAGTGGCCCATTCAACCACTGAAAACCCGAAAGGAAAACAACCACCATTCGTTGCCAGAACGAGACGGAGCATGTGTACGGGAGTCCTTGTGCAGGCAGTACTCAGGCCATCTCGCTCTAGCTCTCTCCTGTTGCTCTCTCTGCCGCTCTCAAGAGTGCCACTTGAGTGAGAGTGTGTGCGCTGCACACTCTCTATGCGAGTGTGTGTGTGTGTGCGAGGGTCTTTGTAGCGCCTCGAGAACCTCCTGAGTTATACGAAATTCCCATTCCCACTTCCATTACCAGATTGGGATTCTGGGATATCCCCATCCCGCTCTCTTCTGCACTTGATGTTGTCAACAAACGCCGCGTCATTATATTGTATTTATCATTATCAGTGTGCTCTACAACTCTGGACCTCTGAACCTGTGAACCTCTGAACCTTTTCCACCAGGAACTACACACTTGCCAACGACTTACCACGATTCTATGTGAGTAGAAGGACATGTGCTTGTGGTGGTGATTCAATATGATATCATCAGATGGAGATATCAGGCATTATCCTATTGAGTGGCTTGGGCGATAAGGAAGATTTGATGGGGCTTATTTATAGAGATACAGTTTTACCACTTAAATACCGATATGGAATATAAACAAGGGTGGCAATCTTAAGTCGTGATATGTTCAAAGGATTTTGTTAAATTTTACTAAGAGATCATTCAAATTAATTATTGATTTTTAAGAATTATAAATTCAAGAATTTGTATTCAAGCATGGTGACTTTTTCGTTTGTAGTTTTTTGACTTCCTTTAAAACCCAACAATGTTTATGGCTTACTTATAAATGCATTATTGAGAAACTTAAAGAAGGTTCTTTCCACCATAAAGGTTATCTGTGCAAATCGAAACTTTTATCATATAATGAATTCATAACTTTAAGTACGCACTTTAAAAAATGCCGAAACGCAATGCCATTCATTTGTAGCACTTGTACTTCTGTTACAAAAACTTTATTATTGTGAAAGTTTTCGATTCCCTAACCATTTTAGTGGTACACTATCATGCCAGTGCATGATTTTAGTCTATTTTATGGCTCGCTTTTTTCGGAATCCTATTTCTTGCGTGTAACGGAACTGTTATAGAGCACTTGGGCGCTAAAGTAGAGTCCCTTATATACAAGGATATAACGTCGCTCTTCGGTGTTCGTGCAATTTGAATTTCGATTTCATAAGCTAACCCATGATTAGCTCAGATCCTTCACATGCCAATACATGGCTGTCCTTCGAGGGGAGCTCTAAGGACACACCCCGAGCAATAGAGAGGGAGAGAGAGAGAAAGAGACAGGGAGCCAAAAATAAAATATAGGAAAATACATAATCAACACGAACATTAGACTAACTTGGGTTAGAGTCTTCCCCCCACCCCCGAAAGGCAATTGAAAAAAGGGATGTTGGGCGCCAACTATATAAGCAGGGGGATATATAATGTATATATACATATATGGATGGAGGGTCCTTTATAATGCAGGTCCTGGTACTCCTGCCACACCCATCCGCCCTCCGAAAGTGGGCACTCCATTGTCGCTCATGACGTTCACACCAT